AGTTTAATTACTTTTTTTTTATATTATTTTTTAATACCTTATCTTTTTTAAAAAAGGCTAAAACCCTTTAAGAATTTAACTACTTAGCCTAAGAGTTTATTATACTTTTACACTAAGTAATTAAGGCTACTAGCTATTTATTTAAGGGTTTCTTTAGTAATAAAGTATAATAAACTAAGGAATACTTAAAGAAATACTTTTTCCTTTTTATTATATAAAAAGCCTTTTTAATAAACTACTTTAAATTAATATAATAAGCCTAGGTTAACTTCTAAAATATTATTAAAGTAGTTAAGAAAGCTAGCTTTAGGGTATATATAAATAATATTAAAGCCCCTAGGGATATTTTTAAATTTACTTAGTAATATATATTAAAATATTATTTTTAACCCCCCCCTTTAGAATTTAATAAAACTATAATAATAATAAAAAAAAAAAAAGCTACTTTACTCTAAAGCTTTATTTTAAAAAAAAAAATTAATTAAAAATAATATTTTAGATTTATAGTAAAAGCCTATAGTAGTAAAAACTATTTTACTAAAGCTAATTATTTTACTTAAGAAAACTAAAGATTATATTATTAAAATTAGTAATATTTTCCTAGGGATTAATAATATTATAATTTATATATTAAAAACTACTTAACTAGCTATAGGTTTTATTATTAAACTTTTATATAAGGGATACTTAATTATTAGTTACTACCTAAAGCTTTTTAAAAATACTTAAGTTATTATAATTCTAAAGCTTAAAAAGTATAACTTTTTTATACCTTATACTTAATACTTTATTTCCTTACTTAATTACTTAAGTAAAGGATTAGAAAAACTTATTACCTATAGGCTAGCTTATATTATTATATAATATTAAATTTTTTACCTTAATTAAGCAGAGGCTTTTTTTAAAAAATTAATTATTAATTTTATAATTATTTTTACTTATTATATTAAACTTACTTTATTATAGGGACTTTTTATAACTTTTATTACTATTAATATAATAAAGGCCTTTAATATAATACTATAAAATAAGTTTATTAAATAATTAAGAAAGTAAGGCTAATTAGTTTTACTTATTTACTAAGTAAAATCCTTTATAAGTAAAAGGTTTATTAATATTAAGCTATAGGATTTTTTTTTTTTATTAAAACTTTTAAAATATAGCTTTTTATAAAAATCCTTTATTTTCTTAATTTTTTTCCTTTTATATATATAACTATTATATAAGGTTATTATTAATATACTTTAGCTAGGGTATATAAATAATACTAGCCTTTTATTTATAAAAAAAAGCTTATAGAAAAATATTACTAAAACTATTATTACCCTTTAGTTTTTAAAAAAATAAGATAATAAAAATAAAATTAATTTTAACTTAATAAAAACTAAAGTTATATATTTCTTTTATAATTATAAAAGTAACTTATTAATAATATATTAAGCAGAATTAAAAATAATAATTAAGGTAATATATTAACTAAGGGTTTTCTTAAACTACTGCCTTATTTTTAAAATATATATAAAATTATAAATTAAAAAGACTTACTAACTTATAAAATATCTTTTTAGCTTAGTTAATACTAAAAGCAGTTTATTTTTTATTATAATATATTAAAATATAAAAGCCTATATAAAACCTATTTTTTATTATAAGTCTAAGGTATAGTTTAGTAGCTTAAATACTTCTTTTATATAGAATTCCTAGTATATAATATTAGCTAGGATAAAAATAAATATATAAGTTATAAATAAAACTATTTAATAAAGCCTAAGATTAATTCTCTTAGTTTAAAAAATAACTTTAAATAATATATATTATTATAAAAGTATTATATTATTAATTAAATAACTTTTATAAGCCTATAGGCTTTTTTTTATAATATATCTATAGTTATTAAACTAATTATACCTTTTAGTTAAGTATTTACTAAATATAGTAATTAATAAATACTTAAAGGAGTTAATTTATAAAAATATAATTAAAAAGTTTTTATTAAAAAATTTTAAAATATTCTTTTTTAAGCTTTAATAAACCTTTATACTTTTCTCTTATATTTTATACTTAAAGCTACTTAAACCCTCCCTTACTTTATTTTTTTTTAAAATAATAAAAGGATTTAATAAAAATTATATTATTAAATAATTTATAATATAATAATAAGCCCTCCCTTTTAATATTATTATAATTTTTTTTAATAACTTAATAAATAAAAATAATATATTTAATTATAAATATATTATAATATAAAGTACTAAAATATTTATAAAAGAATATAATTAACTTAATTAAGCAGAGGTTTTTAATATAAAGGTAGTTAAGGTTAATAAAAAACTTTAAGCTATTATAAAAAAAACCCTAGCTAATTTAATATTTTATTTTTATATTAATAATATATTAATAATTATAGGTTTTTAAAATACTCCCTTTAAATTTTTATAAGCTATTTTCTTTAGTTATTAATATAATATAGCTAAGGTTTTAATAACCTTAAAATAGGCCCTTAGCTATAGTAATATACTTAAAAATAAAAAGGCTAATAAGCTTATTAAAATAAATATTATATTACTTTAAGTAAGTCCTTCCTTAACCTTTTTTATTTTTATTAAATAATAAGCTTAATAAATACTTATAAATATATTATAAGTATAGTAAAAAACCTTAGCGCTTTTCTTATATAAAAACCTAAACTTATTTATTTTAATTAAACTACTTAATAAACTTACACTTCCTTAATCCTTACTTTATTAACTATTAGCTATAAGGTTAAGTTATAAAAACTTTGCCTTATATTATAAATAATTTAACTATATTAATATAAACTTAAATTACTTATATAAGTATTAGAAGACTTTTAATTACTTTTTTTATTATTATAAAGTTCTTAGCTATCTTAAGTATAATTAGTAATTATAAAATAAGTAGTTAGTTTTTATAGTAATTAAAAAAAAATTTAAAAAGTTTATTTAACTTTTATTTATATTAAGCTTTTTTTAAAAAATCTATTATAAATAGTTTTTATTTAAAAAAAAAAAATATAAAAAAACCTTAACTAAAGTATATAGCGCTATAAACTATTTATAAACTTTTTATATTTTCTTTTTTTTATTTTATAAATAAAGTAAAGTATAATAAAAAGCTAGTTATATATTAATATATTAAATAACTAAAATAAAAATAAAAGTAATTAGTAACTTAGATTTTTTTTTATACCCCTATAAGAGATATATATTTTTTTATATAATATATATTACCCTATAGACTTATAAAAATATAAGGAAATAGGGATATTAATTAACTAATTATTAATATAATCTAATAGCTATTAGGGAAATTCCTTATGTAATTATTATATTATAATTAGCTCTCCCTTTTACTAGTTAGCCTAGCACGCCCCCTGCTGCACCCAGCAGCCTGATTAATTAGTGGTTATAAGCGTAAAGTAATATAATAATAATAATAACAACAACAACGGCGCTAATGGAATTTGTTCCTATTTTTATGCTGGCGTGAATAACAAACGAGGTGGAACAACGTGTTGCTGGCGCGCTAGTGGCACTTAGTGGCCGGCGGGTCACAAAAGTCACGATCCATGTCGACGATCGGCCCCCAGCGACGAGATCAAAGTTGAGCCTTTGCAACCGCCACCGGGGGCTAGCAGGGATTGGCTGCTTTGGGGGCGTCTCTAGCGGTTCGTATTGAACAGAGAGTGCAGGTGGCTTTTGTGTTCGCTGTCCAGCTGAGGGTTGTGGTTCCATGGAGGCATCAATTGCATTCTCGGGTCAGGCACTGACTGCAGGTCGACATGGATGGGTCCAGCCGTTAGTGATTGATACTACTGCGCTTGCACTGGGCATCAGCGACAGGTGCGCTAAAAAGCTAGCGCCATCAGTGGGCATCTCCCACCGCACGTCCCCACGCAGCGGCCCCAGCCTGTACGAAGCGCTATTGCTGCTAAACTCGCACTTCAACCCAATGGCCTCACCTCACGTTCTCCGTAGGGGTCCCTCAGAACAATATCCATCGGCGAACCCCTGCAAAACCCGACAATCGTCTTCGCTTCGCTGCGTGCCCTCAAAATCCCACCTGCCCAAAAGCACCAGCGCCAGGCCCAGGAGCCGGAATCACACTCTCTGTGGGCTTCTGCTTACTCCCGACTCCGTTAGCACTGCCTGCAGGGTCGCACCGTCGACCGGTGAGCCAGGGACCGGAACTGGACTTGTCACTCTCGAATACGGATCCCAAGCGCGTCAATCAATCGTCCGACTGCTTTCAAGTTGCCGCCTGCTCAGCTGGCGTGGTTCGTCTGCTCGGCTTATTGGGCCACCTCATCGCCTGTGTCTCAGCTTTGCACACCACACTGCCCCAAACCTTGCTTCCCCAGCTCGTATTGCGGGCACCAAGGGCGCTGGCTTGGTTTTTGGCGCCTCCTTTATCCGCTCGCTCCCGGTCCTTAGTTTGCTAGAGCATGTTCAATTAGTCGGGCTTGATTTGCGTTGTGACCTGTACGAGACGAGTCGGCACAGTACTGACTGAGTCGAGTCCTGGGCCAGAAGCTCGGATTGCCAAACGTCGTCTTCGCTTCCACCAGCCCCCACGTGCATTTGTCGAATGCTTCCTCAAAGGGCCAACGCCCAACCGCTTTTCTACCGAGGGCAGCTCATGCATGTCTCCGTTGGATGATTTTTTCTCTCTCCTTCTTCTTCTCGCCTTCCATCGTCACTCGTTTCCACAGCGGATGAGCTCTGTGCTCGAATCGAATCGCCCAACATTCGTCTTGATACGGTGCTCGTGAGAGTTGGTCACCCTGGGACCTCAGCAGAGGCGCATGCTCGCGGTCGTGCGCCAGCTTATAGTCTTACCAGCCACATCGTAGCCACTGACGGAGTCTCTCCCTTGTGCTGCCTTGCCAGCTCTCGTCCTCGGCCCTCTATTTTTACACACATTCCGTCCATTTCGTCGGGCAGGATTTGCCAAAGCGCCCAACTCGCAGCTTGGCCATCATGTCCAACCACAAGACTCGACCCGCTCGCTCAAACAGCTTGCAGCGCATGCTCGAGCTCGAGCGACGCTACATGGTAAGAGCGGTCTCCTGTCGCGTTGCACTTCTCAGCCAGATGTCTCCAAGAAGCCCCATGGAAGCTAATGCTCTCTCTTGTTCGTCCAAATGTAGCTTGAGCGTCTTCAGACCTCGCAACCAAATGCGCTGTCCATCAATTCAGCTTCCATAGCTGCCGTTGTCTCCAGACCACCACCTTCGGCATCGAATCGCCCTGCAGTTCAGGTTCACCGTATTGAGGCGGCTCCTCAAAAAGATGCTCCAATGGGCGCCAACATCGCCAAAGAGAGATCGCCGGTTGCTCAAATAGTTCCACTGACCATCAACGTCAGTTCTCCCAAACTCAAATTGGATTTTGCGCCCGAGATAGACAACAACGCGCAAAGAGCCGCTGTGGTAGTGCATAACCACTCTCCACCTGTGGACAAGCCCGCCCTCAAAGCTGTTTCTTTCGATGTTCCGTTAAGCGATGAAGATGAACGGAGGTCCATTTGCCAGTCACCAAGCTGGGAAGCATATGGTCGTCGCAAGAAGAGTGATAAAAAGGATAACAAGAAAGAGCTGAAGAAGGAACAACTGAAGAAGGAAGAGGAGAGAAAGGAGCAAGAGCGCAAAGAACAGCTGAAAAAGGAGCAGCTGAAAAAAGAGCAGCTCAAGAAAGAGCAGCTTAAAAAGGAACAGGCGGAGAAAGAACAGCGAAAAAAAGAGCAGCAGAAAAAGGAGCAGGAGAAGGCATCGAAGCGGGAAAAGGAGGAATCCGCGCTCAGGAATGCTTTAATTAAGAAGAAGCGCTTGAGCAAGCAACCTCCCCCTTCTTCGTCGTATGCCTTGGAGCAGGCGAATCGCTCATCAGCGGCACAGGCAGCTGCCAGAGATAAGCAGAGACCTTCGAGTGCGCTAGAGTTTACCAAAGATGACGCGCCAGTCCGCCCTCATCACAGGCGATCCGGCTCTTTCACCTCGTATATCATGTCGCCGTTCGAGTCTCGCCGGGCTTCCGCTGACACTGCTCGCGCTGACACTGCTCGCCCCAACGAGACGGGCTTCATCGGTGGCATCAAGTTGGAGATTCAACGACATGCGGCCAGCCAAAAGACCGCTGAGCCACCTGAGAACATGGACGAGTCTCAAATCCATCCGGCACTGCGAACCAATAACGCTCACAATCAGAAGTGGTCTGCACCTCCAGCGCGGCCAGTCCCCGAGTCCCAGCGCCGAGTTTATCCTCCCATCACTCGACACCCGGCTGCAGCGGCCAAGACAAGATCTCTTATTTCGTCTGCAGAGATGGAGGCTCAGGAGACCGGGACAATGGAGAGCAAATGGAGAGCCTTTGTGGGTCTGAAATCAAAGGACTCGGCTGAACCATCAAAGACGACTGCCCAGCAAGACAAGTCAAAGAAGCCTGTAATAACTAACGAGGCAACCAAATCCGCATCCGCATTGCCACCACCCCAAACCAGTGCAAACGCAGGATTAAATGCCGATACACGTCCTCAAACGGCCGGTCAAAACGCCCTTCAACCAGCCTCACCTACCGGCAACGAGAACCAAAATACAAAGCCCAAACTCAGCGTATCTACAAGCGATCTCCTTCCAAGCGGCGCTGTTACTGTGCAGCAGCCAGCGAAAGAGAAGCTAAGCCAAACCAATCTTGCTCGGATTTCACGCGAAGGCAACGGGGCTGTCAAGAGTGGCAATGCTCAAGATGCAACCCTCGCGACGACATCTTTGCCTCCTGCACCGCCCCGTCGAAGCTCAAAGCGGAACTCCATGGTGAGTTTAGATGGCTCAGTGTCATCCGTGTCATCTCCACGCACGCCAAGACCTGGTAGCTCTGAGTCTGCCAACAGCAATCATGGTCTGCCTGGCAGGCCCAAGCAGGTCGCAAACAATGCGTCTGGAAACACTGAGCTGAAGAGCGGCGGGGCATCTCTCCAAACTACTCCACGAGAGGCTGGTCGCATCGCCAAGGGTCAAAAGCCAGACCCGATAGAGATTCCGACGTGGGAGGATATTCAATCCTCCGTCATGAAGGTCATCGACACCAAGGTATCGCTATCTCCAATCCGTAAATCTCACGGATCCCTTCGGGATGATAGTGATTTTACTGTTCGCCGTCTTACGGACGACTCAGTTCCAACGACATCGACTGATGATGATTCGTCTGACGATTTCCATTCGCCATCAATGCCTGGTACGCCTGACACCTCCCGACCTCAATCTGAAAAGGGTCTCCCCCCCATGACGCAAGATGTTGAGAGTAAACGAGTAGCGACACCTCGCGCCAGGAACGGTTCCACGAGTCCGGTCAGACAGCCGCTTCTCCTCCAGATTGGGGGTGGTGGCTTCTCAAGCCCACCCAAGAACACACGGCCCGTGGGAAATACCAGCACATCGAGTGTCGTCATTTCCACCAAAACCATTGCCGCGGCTACAGGACAGACTGCTCACCGCCGGTCTCAGTCGGACGTGGATGCGATAACTGGAACTGATTTTCTGCCGAAATTGAAGCACCAGCCCCTGAAGGCCGTGGAACATGTGTCAGTGCCAAGGCAACACTTCCCTTCGACTGCGCTGCTCTCTGGAGAGGAAAAGGTAAATGGCAAACTTCAACTAGTTGCTTCCCCGTGGCCTGCTTCCTATCTGGAGGAAGCTCGCAAAGCTGCTCCCCTCGCTCCGCCTCCTCAGGTGCTAGGATCGCCACGTCTTGGTCCCAAGGTCACGCCGCCATCTTCGATCCGGAGCCAGCCATCCCCCACTACTGACCTTGCGCCGACCAAGGCGCCGCGACACACAACTGGCTCACCCGTCGGCGGCGAGCCGATTGCCAAAATGTTTGTGGAGTGTTGTGGATGCAAATATTACCACGACATGCCCAGCAACATCTATGAAGCCATGGCCAACCCAGAGGCTGTTATTCGACCAAGGGGAAACGTCGGATTCACTGGCGCATTATCCATGACGGTGAAGTGCCCGTGGTGCTTCCACGAGATGAGCACCAAGTGCTGCGCTGGCTATGCCGCCATGGTATATGTGAAGGAGAGGCTGCATTAGTGACGATACTGCCGCCTATCCCATTCTTTCCCATTCTTTTTCTTCTTCTGTTCATAACAACCCATTTACGATGTTACGATTTGTTTCCCACTAAGATTGAGCTCCTGCAGCAAATGTCTCTTTCAAAATAATGAACCAGGGTTGGAGGCAGCTATCAGCTGATGTTCCATCCCAGCTCGTTTTTCTTCTCTGATTCCCTTCTCGTTTCCTGCTTATAATGATTATGATTATGACGATGTACAAAAGTCAAAAAGATGATTGTGGACTTATTCTAATTGTGAAGCTTGTTTGGATTTTGGTTGCTGATTGTTGACTATCATTCAACTATTTACGACCTCTTTCATATATGCACGGGGGAGTTTTCTTGTTCTTGTACCTGATGATTTAGAGGGGGGCGCTATTTATGTTGCAAGATGCGGGCGAGCTTTGGCCCAGAGTTAGCAAGAATGAGATGACAAATATATCAAATGATACCTCGCAGCCATAGTGCCCTCCATCTACGTGTGTACCAACCAATCATAGATACTCCCTTGATGAAGACGTTACACAGCGTACGTCCTGCGTAGGTCGTGGTTTCGCTGCTGCACTTCCGACACCTTTCTGGCCAAATCCAAGTTTGTCGAGCGCAGGGCTCCCATTGCTTGAGTAGCTCGATCGAGCTGACCGTCTAATAGTTCCTCCCTCTTCTCGAGGATCATGACCCGGTCTTCTAGAAACATCAGTCTCGAGTGGAGGCTTACGTCGTATTCCTGGAGGTCCAGGATGTGGTCGCTGCTCTCAGCTGCATTCTCTTGCGTCATGGTGCCACCGGTGTCGGCTAGGCCCTTGATGAAGCTGTTTTCGGTGAGCACTTCGATGAAGGGCTTATACGGCATCTTGGCCTGGAGACGGAGAACGTTGTAGACCTGGTCGGCGTAGCGCACGGCAAAGGCCCAGAGATCGGGGCCGATGTCGTGGGTCATGGGCATGTTGCTTAGGGGCTCGACGGCGGAACGGTTGAGGCGAGGCCAGATGTCGTTGTGGGGGCGGACAGGGCCTGGTTGTTCGTTTGTGAGCTCTGTTGATGGAGGGGGAAAATCAATTGCCCTTTGGTTAGAGGTTTTTTGTTCTTTTCTTTTCTGGGTGGGTTTAGGTAGATATGGAGAGGAAGGGGGAGGACGTTACTCTGACGAAAGTATTCTTCGCGGAAGTCGAAGAGGAATGATTGGATGCTCCAGTGGGTGTTGCGATCCATGCTGAGCACGGTCTTGAGGACGTCGGCGAGCTCCTCTGTGAAATCTGCTGGAGGTGAGGTGGTGATGTGGTGGCACAGGAGGTCCTCGAGGTCCTGTACCACGCTGATGAAGTCCTTTGGCATGGTGATGGAAGGATGCGGATATGCTAAGAGATGAACCAACCGAATGCCGGGCGAGGTAGGAAGAAGGGTTGCCTATATAGTAGTGTGTATGTTTGGTGGTGAAGGAGAAGAGTCGAAGAGGGTGATTTGAGGCATGGAGTTTTTTTTTTTGTTTGGGAAGAAATAGGAGGGAGAAGTGCTGCTGTAACTGATGCACTGCAGGTGCTTTGAGAGTGCCCCTGGGCAAATATGGACAGTGCTTTTAGCTCCTGTGAATGGAGTGCTTCTGACGGGATAAAAAACGAATGAAAATAAAGCTAATGTATTCTTTTTCATCCTGTCTAAATACTCTGTTGTTAAATTTGAAGTGATCCTTGGGCTGTGTCACCCGCGTGTGACTTGTAAGGTCTGGTGGCTTCAACGGTTCGCTTAGGGAACGTTTAATTGATGTAGATAGAGGGTCACTGCTGGGCTGGGAGCGAGCATTGTGTGATAAGGCGGGACAATGGGATGACGCTTTTCTTGATAACACTTGCATGGTTTCTGTTCTTATTGGGGCGGAGAAGAGAGGTATCTTGGTTCCATCTTTGGTGAAAATGTATTAATGTGAACTGACTGCCCAATAGCTAAGTGGATGCGGAGTATCGGGTAACGACGTGATGAAATACGTAATATGTTTCACCGGGCATCTGTCGCTGCTGTTTCTGTCACCCTCACAAAATTGAAGCTATTTACATGCGCCTAAACTGACGGAACTCTCCGACGAGTGGATGGTCAACGGCGCCGCGGCTAAAGCTCGTATGTGTGCTAACGAAACGATAAGGCGAGACGATGCATTCTTTGTACGTAAACTGACATAACTAATCTGGTAGAATTTATTTCTCCGATGCCGTCCACTTTTTTTTTTGTCTTCTACGAGTTATAACTTCTACCGCAATCCCATGTCCCACGCCCACTTTATACTGTTCCAACGCTATTCTGCTTTTTGAGCCTCGGGATTGATGAATGCGTCTATCATCATAAGCACAGACTGCAATGAGCTCAAAGGGCTCGGCTGACGCATCAAAAGGTGAGAGAGGCATTCTCGCCCCAGGTTTGGTCTTGATGCAGCGCTGATTTGCTTTCCCCCCCAAAGGCTGCCGCACTTGCATGCGGCGACGCATTCGATGTGACCTCGGTCGTCCGGCTTGTTCGAAATGCATCAAGAAGGGCCTGAGCTGCCCCGGATACGGGCGGCATCTTCGCTGGGCTGATGGAGTGGCGGTGCGAGGGAAACTCAAGGGTCGGAGACTGCCTGTGGCGGGCTCGATGGCCATGGAACTGGCGTTACCGACAATCGAAGAGCCCGTTCCTCTTCCTCTTCCTCTCGCTGCTCCGGCGCTCGCTCCGGCACCCTCTCCTATTTCTGGAGCCCTCCAGGTTATGGGACAGACGGCTGTCAGCATTAACAGGGCCATTGAAAGCACCTCTGCAGGCACGGACTTGTTGAACTTTACGCAGTGGGCGTCTTCGCCGGAGATCATCGAATACTACGACAAGTATCTGGCGGGCCGGATGGTATGGATCGACTCGGATGAAAACGACTATCGGCGGCGCATGTTGCCCATGGCTGCCAATGCCCCAGGCCTTCGTTTTGCCATTGCCGCCTTCTCTCTCTACCATGGGCCCATGAAGTTTCCGAGCCAGCTAGCCCGGTACCATGAGGAGGCGAGAGACGCATGTTTGGAAGTCCTCCAAAGGCAGCTTAGTGAAATGAACTCCCGGGTTATCGGCGGAGCGGAGCTTAATACGCGAGCCGATGTTGCCAACGCAGAATGGATGCTGGCCTGTATCCTTGTGATTGCGAATTACGAAATGGCAAAGAATCACTCCGAGGCTGCTGAAGGCCATCGACTTGCGGCAAGGAGAATCGTCAACGTATTTGGGCAGCACGAGGCGTGTACCAAGGGCCTGTTTGCGTTCTTGAGGAACCAGCTCGCAATCCATGAAGTGCTCGGCTCTTGCACGTCCTTCGACTTGGCCGATGTCGCAGAAACCATTCTTCCCACGCCAGGCTCCGGTAGCCATGTGCTGTTCTCCGAGTACCTTTCTTTTCTGCATCAAATCACGCTGGCTTCGCGACGGTCCATGGCCGTGAACGAGGCCATTGACGTATCGCTCTGGCCCGAGAGTTTTACCATCATCGAAGTACAATCACGCTTCGAGCAGGCAAGAGGCCAGACACTGATGATTGCGGGGAAGCTGCAAATAAACCCCCCGGTTGTGCGCCGTGACTTTATAAGGCTGGTGGACATATACCACCACGCTGCCGTCGTTTATGCGTACAGATGCCTGGGCTACGCGATTCCCAGTAATTTCGATTGGCTGGCTTCCGTTACCAAGCTGTTTGACCAGCTAGATCAGATTGAGAATATCTCTCTCTGCATTCAAAACCTCCCGTGGCCGATATTCATCGCGGGCACGGAGTGTCATGGCGACACGGAAAGGCAGCACAAGGTCGCCACAATTCTCGACAAGACCATCAGAACGACGGGCTTTAATCAATACGAAACCATCCGGAGCTTTTTAACCGCCTTTTGGAGTGGTACAGAGCCAAACTGGCTGCCGGTTGCACAACAGCTGCAAGCGAATGGACTTAGAATCCTTGTTGTGTAAAGCATTAAGAGAATTGTTCATCAACGCTGTATACTACTCCTATCTGCGGATTGTTTCTTCGTCCAAGACGTTGAATATCTCCTCCATTGGGTCCTTATACTTGTATAAGCCCAGCGCTGGTGGGCAGAGTCCATACCCGAGAAGACGCAACAATTGCGGTGAGAAACCTCGATCCTTTGCTACCTCTGGCGGCAATTCCAAATACTGATTCTCTTCTTGCCTTAGGGTTCCTTTACACATGAACACGCCGATTGTCTCACGTGCGTCGTCCCTAATACGGTTGAACATAGGTCAGCATCATGATTCCCATTGATGGGAGTTGCCCAGGAAGGTTTCAAGGGGGATCGTACTTGGTGACGTTTGCGCCTCCTGCGTGATATACGTTGCCAACGAAGATGGCTGCGTCTCCGACTTCGAGTTCTGCCGAAATGGTCTCCTCGTCGAGCGGGCACCTCTCCGGTCCCCATAGGTGGCTTTTTGGGATAATGACCGTCGCGCCATTCTCCTTTGTCGTCTTGGACAATGCCTGCAAATGACCACGATTGTCAGCTCGGGATTCATGCTGTCATTTAAAGGACTCAAGGGCCAGGCAAATACCGTGACGCAGCCCAGCATGACAGGCATATCGCAGTTTCGAGTATGATAGTCGGAGTCGTCCCTGTGGAGAGGCTGTTGCTTGCCGCCGGGCTCGACGCGGAAACCTACGATACTCGCAATCTGTGGCTTTGCTGCCACGCTCTTTTGCTCTTGGCCCTCCCAATAGGTGTATCTGCTGGTCAACATGGCCTCTGCGACGGACTGAAAGAGCGGGTTCACTACCAGCTTGGCGCTGGAAGGTGACTGAGCAAGGATGCCATGAGCACGCTTTGTTGTGCTGGGGAAGAAACCAGCGGGATCCGGCTTGTCTGCGTCGAATATGGGCTTGAGATCTTGCTTGATCTGGGCACAGAGGGACTTGGGGAAAAGATTCTTGACGATTACGGCGCCATCCCTCTCCAGGAGGGAATGGAGCAGGGTGGTATTTGTGGCCGGGTCGTCAGCATGGAGGGTGGTGATTTCCTTGCCGGCTTCGGAGGGAAATGTGTCTGTAGTGTAATGCTGAGTGCAGGTCATTTTTCTCTTCTTCAAAGATGGATGCATGGCTTACTAGCACAGCAGGCGATGGGTTTGAGAATAGTTCAGATCGATAGAGGGACAGAGATCTACTTGTTTGAAATCAAGGCATGCGGTTCCCTTTTTTATCCTCGTCCAGCAGCCCACCATGTCCATCAAAACGAGGCATCTCGGGCTTGGGCATCTCGTCTGCCCGCTCTAAGCTTCCATCGGAAGCCTTCTTGGGGAAATATCCAGAGAAAAAAGACGCTGCCGCCTTGCCAATCCAAGCAATTAGATCGAGAATGACAAGCCAGAGCCTGGCGAGAGGACGGGGGTGTATATCCGAAAACCCAAAGAATAAAGACGACGACATCGGACCCCCAGACGAGAAACTACCACCATGGCTTCCCCGAGAACTATCTTTGGCTAAAATTATAAGGTATATGTAGTAGTTGTAGTTTGGTTCCCCAAGAGGGGAAGATTCGATGGCCCGGAGGGCGTTCTTGTTCCCCGGCGATTTGCTTCTCCGGATAGTAACCTGATGTGGTTAGAGAGGATAGAAGAAAGTGCTCCGCTACATGGGGGGATTATTGGAGAAAACAAACCCGGGCGGAGAACATACGATGATGATGGGGGTAAAACTGTTGATGAGTGAATGTGTTTTTTTTTTGTTATGTGATGTGATGTGTGCTGTTTCACTGGTATGCCCGATCCACACGCAGCCCGTATTTTCCCATCCGGTGTACCGGAACATACAACTATGATAACGAATATGCTCGAGATGTTTCGGGACGCAGATACAGTAACTCGACTTGTTCCGTTTATTAGGGACCGGAATGTTACAGAATCTCCTCAAAATCTAATCTCAATGAACGGTCAGCTTCATACCTGGTTCAATGACTGTAAATGGCTCTCAAGCCAATAGAAGAGACAGGAAAGGGCGTTGTAGTCCAGTTGCATTGGCGAACTCAGGCCAGATTCAGATGTTACCAGAGATGATTTCGATATCTTGAGGAGGCCAACGAAGATCGAAAACGGTCAGTTTTGGGGCCATGTGCTTGCTTGAGGCTTGTTACAGGCCAGACTTTTGAATTGCAGTCAGAAACCCCAGATCATGTGCCTAGTTTTGAGCTTCTCAAGTTGTCATGGGATCTCCCTCGTTGTAGCCGCAATATGTGGCGCCGGTAGAGAACCTTGGGACCCGTCGGACGATGATACGGAGAAATACATGGATTGCTATAGCGAAGACGAGGCTTGTTTCTCAGTTTCGGGAGAGAACAACTGTCCCGCCGTGTTGCGATGGGGAGAAGAGGTTGAGAGTGGCATTGAGATTGAAAGTGATATCGAGATGGAGACCGAAGAAGAAGGACAGCCTGGTGAAGATTCTGAGGGACCCTCTTAGAAACAGGGGGCTATTCTACATCATCAGGTCAGTACTAGAGAAAGTATCGTATCTTTAGTAGCAGATATTAGAGAAACTACTGATAGTAGCGGATACCGAAAGCATCGCAGCAAGAGTCGAAGATAGTGTAGATGGTAATAACAACAGCAAATACCACTTGGGTAATAAGAAGGTATGATCTAGCCAGAGTAGCCAAAGTAAGAGACACATGAACAGGTTCTTCCTTACAGAGTCGTATTGAATTTTAAAAAAGAATCTCTCTTTTCTCTCCATCGGCACTGACCATGCGTCTTGTCTTCCTCCATCTTTGATATAATGTATATGCCGTCACATCCCTGTCCATTTATTTCAGAAGGGTGCTTGCAATGACTCACCTATACCTTACCTCGCGCTGTGTTCCAAAGGAGCGTTAAAATTGCTGTGAAATGCAAGCGCTAGATCCCGTCTACGCATATGCATTTGCAAGGATTCTGCATGTAAGGAGGTCACACAGCAGAACAAGTCGGATTCATGGGAACCGGCTACAGACAAGGCCACAGCGAAGTGAAAGGATGATGCATTTTGCCCATTGCGACGGCTATTCAAGATGGCCGCGAAACGCTCTCAAGAAGACGTCATGGAAACAGGAAATTGAATCGTAGCCTCTTGCTCAACTCCCAAATACCAATGCATTATTTTAGACGCTTCTCCCCCAACCGGTTATTATTTCTGTACTTTTGTAGTATCTCTGTTCCATCCACCAACGACCCCGGGGGGGCTTAAAAATGCTGTGAAGGGGGCCATAACATCACCAAAATCTTACTGGTCTTATCCCACACCAAGCAACAGCCTCCACAAAGCTATAAATAGGCTGAAAACAGTCTCGGGGAGACTTAAAAATGCTGTGAAAGACCCACACGTTTTCTGGCTGGTGAGGCTGCTTCTTCACATGATAGGCTGGTTAGGTTATGTCGATTTTTTTCAGTCTGGAACCGAGAATGGCTAGCGAGAAGCCTACATAGTCTCCGGATGGATGAAAGTTGCAGTGAAAACTCATACCACGAGGCTAAGTAGCTTCCCTCATATCTTGTGTGTCTAGAATACCAGCCTCGTAGGTAGATGCTTCGTATTTACCATGATGAAAATACAAACAAGCATCTTCAACTTAGACAAGCTAAGTAAGCATACACAAGGCTCTCTAGAGAGCGTAAAATGCTATGAAAGAGGACACCCTCAGCCACGTCCGCCTCATCTACACATATACACATCGACACGAACTACCAAGTACAACCAGGGGCGGAACCTCATATGAATGACCTCGAGAGAGGTTAGAAATGCCGTGAAGATACAACATTGCTTTCCTATTGGCCTGTTCCATGAATGCTGGCAAGAAGCCACATAGAGGCTAGAGATCTACAATGTCTCGAGGGAGGTAAAAAAATGCTGTGAAGCTTTGCTTCATAGGACAAACCGGGAATTTCCTCCCATCTCGTCTCCCAAGATATCAACTGACAAGGATCTACAAAACTACATCCGAGTACGTCATTACAACAACGTCGCTCTATTTAAACACGATATCCAAACTACATGTAACTATCACAATCACAATTCCAAGAACTGGAAGTAGCATCTTTTGCCATGGCATCTGAGTGTTGAATTGCCGTCTAACAAAAAAAAGAGATATGCAGCATTTCAGCCGCCCCTTCTAAATATACACGTTCTAGTCTCTATAAAAAAAAGACGAAAACAAAAACAAAAATCTATCATCGCCCGCACGCTGATTTCATGAGCGTAAAAACAGTTTATGCTGCGCGGACATTCCTCCATGTCTTTTTGTCTTCTGCTCCCAGAAAACAAATGTAGTTGTGTCGTTCCCCCCATTTTTGTCTAAAGCAGAAAAGAAAAAATCTTGGTATCTCCTCCACTCCAAAAAGCAAGGATAGTGTAGAGGATATATGAAAAGACAAAACACAAAATAAAAGCCGAATTAACCCTGGCCATCCGTTTCTTCCTCGTCTTCTTATTTTGTCTCGCTATGATGGCCCTCCCTCTCTTCTCGTTTCTTTGTTCGTGCCTCTACCCAAATTTTGTGTAACCGTGACGCCGCGCCAGAAAAAAAAAAACAAAGCGAAAAAGAGAAATATATGCCGCCGCCGTATCTTTCCCAAACAAAGGAGAGAGGATGATAAAAACACAAGTTTGGTCGGTATAGTGGAGATGGGTGTGTTGTCTGTTGTTTGTTTGGGTTTGTGATTTGGACATTGAGGGCGTAGTTTTGGAGGCGTTTCAGAGCCAAAAGGAGCTCATGCAATTTACATGAGCAGCATCTTCTGCTGCTGCAGCCTCTCCTTCTCTTCAGCAAACACGATGCGGCTCATCTCGAGAACCCGCTCAAAGCCCTCGCGGCCCTTGACGGCGTTCTCCTTGAAGCGCGTGCACAGCGTGTCCTCGATGCTGTTCTTGATGCGCTGCCAGCCGCCGCACAGGGCGGTGATGCGGGCGCTCTGGATGAACTGCGTCTGGTGGTCGCTCAGGGGCTTGTAGACGACCTCCTCCTGCACGCGGACCAGGTTGCTCCACGTCAGGTTCTGGCTGACCATTGTGACCGTCTTGCTCTGCGGGTCGACGTAGCTGGCCTCGTAGACGAAGCTCTCCTCCATGTTGCCGCCCAGCATCTTCTTGATCCAGTCGGGCGCGGCCTGCTTGCATGTGATGAGGCGCTCGGTGCGCAGGATGCCGGTCTCGGGGTCGACTCGTCGCGAGAGCGTGTCGACGGCGATGACGTGCTCAGACTTGTTGTTCCATGGCCCGTACTTGCGCCAGTTGGCCGTTGATACTTCGTCCCACGAGTAGTCGTAGGTGACTTGGTTTGAAAAGACCTTCATTGCTTCGTTCGTGTGTCGGTGTATATGGAGAAGCGAATGACCAAAGGGGGGAAGGGGGGAGAAAAGGAGGAAGAAAAAAAGGGTGTTTGTTGCTTTATATCGAGAAAAAGCTCCGATGCAGGTGGCGGGTCGCGGATGGCAAAGATAAAACCAATCAATGTCGTCAATGTTATCTAGGCTAGGGCAGTGATCAACCGCGTGCGTGCCTGACGCTGTGACTCGTCTCAGCGATGTCCGATCGAGTGGTCCAGTGGAGTAAATGAAAGAACGCTGCCGTCTATTAAAAGAAGAGAAAAAGGGATCTTCGTCGTATGTATACAGTATGACTCTTGTAAATGATCAAGAAACGAAACGATCCGGGGGCGGGAATTCGCAATTATATGGAGGCCGGGGGTAAGAAAAAAAAATCTAGTCAGCCGTGAGGGTTCGTGCGGGTTTTTTCCTCAGGAGCAGCTTCGCATGTGAACGGGCTTGGAAGAGGAGCTTCGGCATCGGAGCAAGCGACCTCGCCGGAAAAAGTCTTTTTTTTCTTCGCTGTGAGACTCCCTTCCACTGTCCACGGACTTAGTCATCTTGGCTATCGAAGAGACTATTCCGCAAGAGGGAACATGTAGCACGGATCAGGTTAGAGCCGCTGCAGCCGAGCGAGAAATCCTCGGGACGGTGGGAGACGGAAGTGGATCTGATTGGACTTCGGCGGTGCGGGAATCGGCAAGAAAAGGGCAAGAACAAAGTAAAAATACGGTATGCATGGGAGGGGCAACAAAGAAGGGCAGCTACGGTCCGGTGATGGCGGTCGGTCCTACACAAGTTGTGTTTCTCGGCTCGATAAGGCAGAGGATTTCTTGTGGCGAGCAACCGGCAGTACCGCAACAAGGCGGTGGCGACGCCGGGCGACGATCGTCATCGAGGGCCGCTTATTGGATTAGAATTATGGAACAATGCCAACTTTTTGGGATTCTTGGTGTTCGATTATTACGATTATCCATGGATTTTGCCTTGTTTAAGCCTTATGGGCATTTTCCCACGATCCCGGGGAAGGCCGCTTCGATCGATGCGGAGAAGCATGGCCTTGCCCTACTCAGCCGCATCCTCGGGTTCTTCGATTGCACCCCGCAGACATCAACCGCGATTGAGGACCTATCTACAGTATTGAAACTGGATAATCATGGCACCAAGTAATGTCGCAATCTCTTTGACTTAATCTTTGTTTCTTTTTTCTTTACATCTCAACTGTACCATCTCAACTGTACTATATCTGTAAGTAGGTAGGCAACTTAGTACCAGATAGGGACCTTATCCAAGGTCCTTCAACACGTAGCAGCAGCGACAATAGCAGCAACAGTGATCCCGCTGCTACTACTACGACCACTTCTACCGTGACTTATCTCTTGTCCCCCCTGGGCAGACTATCAAGAATGTCGTATTCCAGAATCCATCTTGACTCTAGTAGTCTTCTCCGCGGCTGATGACCTCCTTCACGGTGGGTCGGATAAGTATAGTCTGCAGACAGCGTGTTAGTCTCCTGCATGTCCAAACGCAAGAAAGGGGACAACTTACGTGCTCATACTGAGCGGTGTACGAGCCCTTCTTATCACACAAGGGCGGGTACGCCTCGACAATGTCGTTTTGCACCAGGCTATTGAGCTATAATCGAGCAGACAAACGTCAGCATCAAGGATTCAACGAGGGATAGGAGAATACCCCCCAGTAAGGGGCATCGCCACTTACACCCAATAGGTACTTCTCCTGGCCGAGGCGGTCGAGGTATCGTCGGCAGAAGGGCAGCGTTCCAAAGTTCTTGTTAATCACATTGAGGAGCGCCTTGGCCGAACTAAGGCGGAGGTCGACGTGCTGCACATCGCCAACCTTTGCATAGTGCGACACCTCGCCGTCATCACGCACGTGTCCGTTGCCCGTGCTGCCAAATGTCTCAATGGCAAACACGTCGCCCTCCTCCATCTTGGTCTGGTCGTTGCTCTTCACAATGGGCACGGCCTTTGTGCCGTGAATGCTGTACGGCAGGATGGTGTGTCCCGTCAGGTTGCGGATACTCTTGACGGGGTACGTCGTGCCGTCGATCTCGACCTCGTAGCTCTCCATGACCTCCTGGATGACACCACCAATCTCGCCGACGCGAGCATCAATGCCTGCTTCGCGCACACCGGCGTTGGTGGCGGCCCTGACTGCCGCGAGCAGGGGATCATACTTGGGCTCAAATGCCATGGTGAACGCAGAGTCGACAATCTTTCCGTTGACGTGAACGCCAAAGTCCACCTTCATGACGTCGTTCTGCTGCAGCACCATCTTGTTGCCCGCATTGGGAGTGTAGTGGGCGGCACAGTGGTTCAAGCTGAGACCGCAGGGAAAGCCCATACCGGCGATGTGGGCATCTCCCTCCTCCAGGCCCTGGTGGCCCGTGAGAGCACGCACACTGTCCTCAATGGTCTCGGCAATCTCGGTCAGGGTCTGGCCGGGCTTGATGACCTTTTGCGCATACTGTCGCACTTGGCGGTGCACCTCGGCGGCCTCTCGGTAGTCGGCCAAGAATTCGCTGTTGAGGTTATCGAGGTGGCGCTTCTCCTCGCTGGTGGTTCGGTAGGCGTTCTCGTTCAGGTACTCGACCTCCTCGCCCTTGGGAAACGTCTTGTTAGGGAACAGCTGGCTGACCATTACCCGGGGAGGCTCGGTCTGGCTGGTGGGAGCCTTCTTCTTCTTCTTGGGCTTTCTCTTCTTCTTCTTCTTGGCGGCTCCGGTGGTGGAGGGTTCTTCTGCCTCGTCTTCGGAGTCTTCTCCGTCGTGAGCGTCTTCGGCATGGCCGTTGGCCGAGTTCCCAGCTTGGCCAGCCGGCTGGGTTCCTTCGGCCACTGCATTTTCGCACACGGTCAGCATATACCGAGGTTGCTGTAGTAAGTAAGTAGATGCTCACCTTTCAGCTCCTTGAGAGCTTCAGTGGGGATTTGGGCTGCCATCTTGGCCAACTTGCGTTGTGTCGTGTGTGAGGTTTCCAAGCGATCAAATTTTGGCAGAGGGTTCTGCAGCGACTAAACCCCGCCAAGAGTGCTGACAAAATTGTGTACGCTAATCGGCAGTCACTCGCGCCGCCTTTTTGTGTAGTAGAGTGACCACCTTCTTATATCTCTAAATTTGACAAGGGGTGGATGACATCAATGCTTCAACTTGTCGCACCTCTAAAAGCTTAAACAGCCGTATAATCGCAAATTGGTATAGGTACTTTCATTGTCACGATGTTCAAAATGCATGTACATTCGCCTATTAATCGAGTCAAGAGCGTCATCCATCTCCACGTATATAAGCGGGAATAACTTATTTCGCCAAAACTACAAAGTCCACCCACGATTCGCCTGGCTAGGTATTAATCTGTACATGCGGAATTTCAGTGGAGAGACGTGGGGTTTGCTTTTGCTACCGCACTCAGCGGGGCGACGCCGGATCTCATTCAGCGGTCGATCAGGCAGCAAAACGAAGAGCTTTCAACTTCAAGCGGAAGCCGTGAAAAGCTTCCGACATTTCACAACTCCAGATAGATGAGTTTGGGGAGATAACATGGAGCCTCAAGTGCAGAAATTGCTGGACAAGGTCTGGAAGAGGTTCCAGGAAACACCTCAGGACAAACGCCTGTGTAAGCCAGCCACACATCTGTATACCAGCTTCTTCTTATAAGGCATCACGGCATCGATATAAAAGCTCTTTGAACCGTTCTTATAGAGCTTCAAAAGCCATAATCATCATTTACTAACGCTTCTTCAATACAGTAATCGGAATAGGCGGCATCCCAGGCTCAGGCACGTAAATCCCAGACTCGCATCAAAACCTCTCACTCTAACAGACTCACCAGGCAAAACAACACTAGCCCACACCATCACAGACAAAACCAACGCCCTCTCCCTCAAAAATGAACCCTCGTCTCCTCCACCAGCGGCCTTTGTCCCCATGGACGGCTTCCACCTCACCCGCGCCGCCCTCTCCGCCATGCCCGACCCAGCCACCGCCCACGCCCGTCGCGGCGCCCCATTCACTTTCGACGCTCCCAAGTATCTCACTCTCGTGCAGGCTTTAAGAGAACCCATTTCGCCTACTGTAACGATATTTGCGCCGTCGTTTGATCACGCCGTGAAGGATCCCAAGGAGGACGACATTGCAGTCCTACCGGCCCATCGAATTGTTGTCTTAGAAGGGCTATACCTGACGTTAGACAAGGACGTGTGGCGAGATGCCGCGGCGTTATTTGATGAGCTGTGGTTCGTCGAGGTGGACTTTGAGGTGGCGAGGAAGAGGCTGAGGGAGAGGCATGTACGAGCGGGCATTGTGAAGACTGTGGAAGAAGGCGATAGGAGGGCGATGGAGAACGATTTGGTAAATGGGAGGGAGATTATAGACTGCAGGTTGCAGGTTCACGAGTTGGTTCAGAGTCGGGAAGATGGAAGCTGGGTGCATGAATAGAATATGGCAATTTATATACATAGATCAAAAACCAGACTTTTTTCCTTTTTAGAAGCAAAGTAGCAACCAGGCTGAAATAACATGTACGCCGAGCAAATATGTGACAGCTCGCTTCAAAAAGAAGAAGGGAAAAAAAGAAGACTAAATAGTCACAAAGAGAAAGGGGAACAATGATGTCCATGCAATCAGCAGAGAAAAGAAAATCCCAACAAGAAGTGTTTCCAAGTAATGAAAAAGGTGTAAACAGGCAAATATCCAAAACGCTCTCCAACCAACTGCCAACACTTAGTTGTGCCCAACCGCCGCGGGTTCATGAGAGTGCTCAGCACTTTCGCGAGCCGCTTGGCTAAGCCTCTTCATCTCAGGGACCATGGTGACACCCGTGCCCTTTCTCTCCCGCGTAGCTTCCGCCCATCTCTTTTCGTCTTTGGGAGCTGGCACATGCGCCTGGCTATCCAAGCCCAGCACCTCCATCAGCTCGGGCATCTCCGCATGGTCCCTCGTAGACTTCATCCTGTGGCACCACGTAATCCTCTTCTCCTCGGCCCGCTCCTCCTCTTCTCTCGCCTTGCCGTTTCCGTTTTCCGGCCCTCCCAACGTTCCAAACTGGGGATGCTGCTCCACCTGCGGCGTCGTAACTGGCGTCGATACCTGGAACGGCTCGTAGAGAAACTCGCCGCCCACCTGCCGATGGTCACCAGATTTCAGCGCCAGGCCCTTGGGCACATATTTCAGCCCCTGGACGATGCTGTCAAAGATCCCCCTAGACGTGCTCTTCTTTGCATACGCCGGTTTGTCTCCCATGTTGAGCGTCTTGACCATGCCCAATGCGTCGAATAGCGACCGAGTCGGATCCGTGTATATTGGGAACTGGCAGCCCGTCTCTTTGGCATACATGTCGATCAGGGCGGGGTCGCCGCATCCGACGACGGTGATGAAGGTGCTGATGGGGAGTCGCAGAAGAGAATCGGGGGTGATGTGTTCGGACAGGGTGCGGAGGTATTCCTGGCAGTTCTAGAGCTGGGTGTTAGCCGTGCTGTCACAAAGGAGAGTAGCAGTAAGTAAGAAAAGAAAGACATACGCCGCAGAAAAAGTGCCGGATGAAGATGACGAGCACTCGTCTAGCCTTGTTGTTGCCCATGTAGAGGCTCTTGAACGTCATGGACTTGCCATGGCGGTCCAGCACGATGTAGTCTTCAATCATCTTCTGGACGTTGGCAGACGGCAGCTCGTTGTTGGTCGACAGCTCGCCGTCAAAGTCCTGCGGCTGGGTCTTGTCGATGTCGATGGACGCCGGCTTTGACCGTCTGTGAGACGACGCCTTTTCCGACAGTGCGTGGCGGTCCTCGTGTGCTAGGGAAGCATCGTCGCTTTGCCTGGGCGGATTTTGATGCTCAATGTCCTTGAGGATGCCCGTAAACGAGTGTGGCGGGGGGCCAGTTGGGTCAGCCATTTTCGACAGAACAAAAGATGCTATTATGGTGATGATGTAGAAGAAGAAGAAGAAGAAGAGCTGATGGTGGCGGGATGGTGGTAGCTATAGCTAGAGAGCAATAAATACTACAGAGAGGAGAACAAAGAAAAGACGACAAAGGTGCCGGGTGCAGCTAGCTATGATGATATATCCATCACGTCCCGAATGCAATCGGAACTTCAACAAAGCCAGGGGCGCTTGGAGCTCCATCTGACGCTAACGCAACCTTGGAACTGTCGTCCCGGCCTGGGAACCAAGTTACTCCGTCCGTCGTCGTCCTCTTCTTGCGCTGCGCCACGGCGGACCAATGCTTGTGCTTGTGCTTTTTCAGGGACCCCATGCGGTGACGGTGACGGTGGCATGAGCGCTGGTTGCTGGTGCTGATGACACGAATCGCCTGCTGCCAAGTGCCATCTGCTGGATGGTATCATGTTTTCTTAGAGTTCAATGTTGGCATTGGATTGGGTGCGGTACAAGCACAAAGCCTCAAGGGGGGGACTCCAGTGGGCGCCAATAGGCTCCGGGGCCCCTCAGGTCCTGGGACCAGCGCCTGCGGAAGCGTCCAATGGCAGCGCTTGGTTCGGTGAATCTGCGCCCGGATGCGTGGATGACAAAGTCGAGCCTGCGTACCTGTACCTGAACTTGTACCGTTGCTGTACCTGGATTGCACGAGTACCTCTAACGTTACAGTATTAGTAGCGCCTCTGTGGCTGGGAAAGGACCCATGCAACTCTCTTGAATCTCACATGCATCCATTCTTCAATATCACAAAGGCTACTGTACCCTACCTTACCCTACTCTAATCCAAACCCCAGATCATATCACAAGCGACGTCCTAAGCCCCCGACTCTCCCTCTCCACCGCGGCTGTGCCCGTTTCGTCGTTTCAAATTCCGTCAATCACTTTGAATCTGCAAGTAAAACGCAGTGACAGCGCAAGCTTATATCCGCTGCGTGGTTTGCCGCAAAGGTGGACCCATCCATCGCAAGTTTCACTTTTCCGGCTCTCATCTCTGCATCGACATCGCCATCTTCACCGTCCAGCCCATTATGTCCGACACAGAAGAAAACGACCTTTTCAACATCCAAATCTCCGACTCAGAAGATGACAAGGCGGAGAAAAAGTCCAAGCGTACCGGCCAGTCAGAGGATGACTTCAAGGCAATAAAAAACACATATCATGCCAAGGTAGAGAATGGCAATGTAAGGCACACTCCTTGGATAAAGCAGTACCTAGGTTAACCGCTGCCATTATCCAGATTTACCAGACACTCACTCTCCCATTGGGGCCGGATGCCAACAAGCAGCATGTCCAGGAAGTCATCCATGCGGCAGAAGAGCTCTACTTCTTCCGCCGCTATCAACAAGTCGTCGATCTCGTATCAAAGGTCCTCGATCTGGAAGGCGACAAGGGTGGCTTGGATGAGGAGTCAAGAGAGCTGCTCTCCATGTATCAGTCAAGATGTAGGCAAAAAATGAAACAAAACGATTAAACCAGCCCCTTTCTCAACACAGCCACTCAGCAACACCCCCTTCACGCTGGTGAACTTTGGCCACACATGCAGTTAATCTCGTATAGTCCTACACAGCCCGTTTGTCGGCCCTATTCATTACATTCAATGGACCTCTATCAACCATCCTAGAGATGTGCCTAAGCCTTGGTCCAATATAGATAGGCAATCCATTTTGATCCTTTCAACATTCATCACACACACCCAAAAATTCTCACTATTAGCCACTGATTACCAACCCCTCAATAATACCTCGAAAAGCTTTTCCCAATCCATCACGTCTCTGCAGACACCGGCCCTCAGAAACTAGCAAAGGCACCCTTGTTTGCGATAGGCATGTCGCCCATCGCCCATCTGGAAGAGCTCAAGCCTTTTGGGGCAGTCTTCTTGCTGATGAAGACAGGTGCTGTAGGCTTGAAAGGAGTTGTTGCTTCTTTCTTCGCAACCACAGCCGCAGTCGTTGTGGTTGGAGCTGACCAGGCTGTGGATGCAGGATCAGTAATCACATTCACCTCTACTACTCTCTGGCATGATATACCGCCTGGGGTGGCCCATCGAGACGTGGCAAGTCCACCTGGGGCCTTCAAGTCAGAATTCGAGGCTCCACTTGATGCTTTCGAGGCAGAGTTCAACGGTTCGGTTGGCGTCGCTGGGGCAGGGCTTGAGACATCAGTTGTTACCTTCGCCGTAGAATCCGGGAGTTCTGCTCTCGAGGAAGAGTGCGAGGGTACGCTTGGTTCCTTCGCGCCAGAATTAGAAGGGCGAACTGGCGTCTGTGGACCAGAACCAGAGGTTACCTAAGCTCTATGTTTGGCCATACCCAGATCTATCTTCTTCTTCGGCTCATCTGCAAGAGGCAAACCCGTTTTAGAGTCATCTGGACCAGAGACATCTGGAATAGAGACATCTGGAATAGGTGAGCTCTCTTTGGACTCAACCGGCTTAGGTGATTTCCTCTGGATCTCTTGAAGGCCCGAGGCCATGATCTTATCTTGGCGCGATACAGCATGCGTCTCCAGCTCCTTGATATCCGCGGTGGTGTATTTGATGCGCTTGCTTGGCTTTTCGACAATTTCTTGGAGGTCTTGCAACGTTGCGCTTGAGATAGAGACATCTTTGCTTCCAACGCTGATACCATGTCTGTACTGTACCTTTCTTTTGATGCGGACGAGCAGTCGAAGAAGATCAACGAGTTCGTCTTTCATGTCGTCGGATCCAGTCTCAGATTCCATGAACCCTTGTGCCATCCAATTAGCGATCGCTGTCGATTCGATTTCCTCAACGCCCTTTTCAGGAACATTGACTCCAGTTGCAGTGATTTCTGATAATATTTGGGTAACAATGCGCTGCATGTGGTCTGCGGCGGCATCTATGGTCAGTGATAGTTGCGGTTGAGGTTCGTCCTCCAAGTTAAGAAGGCTTCTTTCGGAATCTTGTTGCAATGGTGCTTCGGTTGATTGTGGCGTTTGTAGAGCGGCTCTTTTATCCCCATCAGAGATCTCTGGAACATCCTCTGGTGCTTTCGAGGCTGTTTTCGAGGGAGTTGGAAGAGGATTAGCTGCTTCTTCCTTTGAAGCAGCGACAATTGGGGCGGGTTTGGGAGACGCAGGTCTCGGCTCACAAAACTGCCGAGCAGATTGTTGGAGGGTTTTCAGTAAATACTGAAAACTTTCTGCAGCAGATGTAGTTCGGAGCTTCACCTTGTGCAGGCGCTCATTCCTTGCGCCATAAATGATACAATAAGGTCCTTGAATGACCGGAACACCGAGGCTGAGGACGTTGTATACTGATTGGGGTTGGCCAGATGGCATAAGCATGAACAGTCCCTCGTTTCGCTGCATAATGACCTTTGCTACGAATTTCGCAGAGACAGATGAGTCATCACTCTCGTCAATAAGCATGCATTCGCCTTGAGACAGGATGTGCTCCACGGTGTGTTGCGGAGTAGATGATGTCGGCCTGGGCTCGCCGAGATTTCTTCCCGTAGAGATGGCATTCTGGCCCTGGTTGCTAGAACCTGAGCTGACTCGGAGTCCATTTCGCGGCGCAGTTTGATGAGAGACATGAGTTGATGCCTGCGCGAGAGCATTGCTCACACCTTTCGAAGATCTGGTAGACGAGGGAGCCTTGGGAATGGCAAAAGGCCGTGTTTGGGGTGCTCTCACTGCGAGCCTTGGTGGTGCACTAGCAGAAGATGTGAGCACAGATGAAACATGGAATCTCTATGCAAGGTATTTTGACTTACGACTCAACTGCATGGCGTGCCATGTACTGATTTGTGATCTTGGCCCAAGGGCGGCTACTGCCAAGCTCCAGCCCTTCCATTTGTTGGCTTTCTTCATCGATGATTTTTTCTATGCATATGTTAGTTAGGAGATCAGATTAAAATCGGGCTTCGTTCACTTACTCCCCCATTTGCTCTCAAGCTGATCTTTTCGAGCCTGCGGGATATGGCTCGTTCCAGAACGCATGGGCTGATAGCTTGGTCGCTTCGACTGGTTGCTCAATGGAAGCTCATCTTGCCTGCTTCTTCCGAGCTCGGCCTAGAGTTGGGAAAGGTTAGATACATCAGTTCTTCTTCATTCATCGAGCATTCACGTTCATCGACTGAAGAACAGCGATGAGATAGTCAGGAAGGCGTCGAAGGCTGATCAGGTTCATCTTACCATAAGAGCTTGCTTGATCTCCTCGGGATCTGGACCATGCATCGTGTCGATGGATGATGCCATTTTGGAAATGATGCTCCAGGCAGCTGATGGGGATGAACTTTCGAGAAGAGTTGAGGAATAGCGTTATGGGTGATGTATCAAGAAGATGTGTGGGAAGCTGCGAAGGAAGAGTGTAAAAATTCATGAAGAGGGATGGAAAGAGAAGAGGAGGGGGGGCTCAGAATTTCTGTTTAATTTTATCATCGGGCGAGAGATCGGATGAAATTCAGTACCTCAGGCACACAGGGGGCAGCCTGCCCCCTATCCAGCGCTGAGCAGGTGCCAAAGCTCCCGAGAAGAGCTGCAGCAGCGCTTCTTATCGGCTGCAGATACTCATTGCTTTGCAAACCGATAAGGCACCTGCAAAATTCGCATCGAAAGAGATGAACATTGATGTTCCCCAGACTTGGATGGAGGATCTTGCATGGAGAGGAGATTTCTGCTCGCACAGCTGCCTTGTGTTGGCTGAAGAAATTTTGCTCTGTGATGATCAAGACCTGAGCGAATACACCAAAGGAGGAAAAAAAGCATCGTACCAAGTCATACGAATCATAGAAATTTGAAATTATTTGCTGCTTGATATAGTTGCTTGCGTTATTCCAGCGACTTGTGCCAAGCTTCCATGCGTCTATCCGATCTCAAATATTCATGTCTCCAAGGGGAGAAGGCAGTAAGCAGACTATTAACTGCCTCCATATTTCTATTATAATAAATGGCAAGTTTAGAGTGCAAGTATCGTCGAAGTTATGCGTCAATTGGAATACAACCAATAGCTTCTGCAACTGGAGGGAGACGCGACATTACCACCTCTCTTTTTATAGGACGGCTGGGGTAATTCTGTTTTTGGCGAACGTAGAGGAATATCCCGTAAACTGGATTTTAAATTGCATATAATAACAGTATGTCGAGTGAATGCCTTTACTTGCCAGTTGTAGGAGAATGGTATGCTGATGAAATCGAGGTCGCTAGATTTGTTCAACTCATCAACCACGCATCTACCTATATTGGGTCAGTTATGCCGCAAACCAACGCTACACAAATATTTGACGAAGGCGTTCGAGTATAGCATATGTCACTACGAGTACCATAAAGATCAGAGTTCTTGCATCCTACCTAAGTTCCAATATACACATCTTCTCATATTGCTTCACCTTGACCACTCAGGTTTGCTCGTTATCCGCCGGCTACAGGGATTCATCCGTCGGAAACTAGCCTAGCAGTCAACATAATACGGCTCGGCGTTTTCATGACACTTCCCCAGCTTCTCTAAACTAGATAGTGTCACCGACTAGCACGAATCCACTCGGCAAAGCTATACGGCAAGAGTCGGTCGGCTTTAGACCGAGTGGAGGGTTTTGCACAAAATGAGGACTGGCTGTTGAAGCTATTGCGTACTTGTAGCCAATGTCTACATGACCTAGGTCCTCATGCTATGCAGATACTAAATAATCATCCCCCATCTTTCGCTTAAAATGAAATGTCCAAGACAAATTCCGTGTTAAATCGATGCTTGGTTTGACCAATCATGCGTAGAGTATTGTAATCGCATATCTCGGATGCAGCTTGATCGCATCACCAGCGACACGCTATTCCCTCTTATTTCTCGACCATTCGGCAATCAATTCGGGTCTTGCTAATCCTGTTCCAAGGCGTTATATGCGATGTCGGCATGAATATGCCACCTAGAAGTTTGTCTACATAATCTACTGCAGCCCCTGATTCATGTCCATTCCATTTACTTATCGTATCATTTCATTCCATCTACGGAGGACAGACGTGATACTTGTGGTCTACCCCACCCTAAGCACCTTTGCCTCTAGTATAAATGTTGACTGCGGGGAGGGTAAAACATTGAACATTGGAACATTGAACACACGTCTTCATTTACTTGCACACCGACTCGGCATTGAGACGCTCATCTTTCTTTGGACAAAATTCCTTGATAACTCTCATCTGATTCGCAGAACAAGACGCCATGACAGGAAAGGTCTCAACACAGGAAGTTGCCCAGCACAATAAGCGAGACGATACGTGGATCGTCGTTGATGGCGAGGTGTACGACATGACGGAATTCGCCCCGGAGCATCCCGGCGGGCCAGAGAGTAAGTTCGATCTCACAGAGTAATTGTCCGTCATGTTATGTACTCATGTGCTGTCAGTTATACACAAATTTGCTGGAATGGACGCTACAGAGGAGTATAGCAGAGTGCACTCGCCTTCATTAATCAAGGAGACTCTGGGAGCAAAAGGCCATGTTGGATCGTTGGACACATCGACGATAACAGAAGACTGGAAAGCCGCCAATCAGGCTACAAAGCAGCCTGCTTCGACTGCACCGTCCGAGAAGCCAGCTCTTGACGAGATTTTCAACATGGATGATTTCGAAAAGGCGGCACATGCGACGCTGTCGGACAAGTCGTGGGCCTACATCAAAGGAGCCTCTAATGACAACATCACAAGAGACGCCAACAGCTCCCTGCTTCGACAGATCTGGCTGCGCCCCAAAGTTTTGCGCAATGTAGTCAGCGTGACGACACGGACAAATCTCTTCGGATGCGACCTTGAAATGCCCGTCTTCATCTCGCCTACTGGAGCTGCGCGAGCCGGTGGTGCTGAGGGTGAGCTGACTTTGGCTCGAGGCGCTGGTAAGACCGGCATTGTGCATTGCTTTGCGACACCATCATCATATACCCACCTGGAAATCCTGCAGGAGACAAAACACCAGGCATTCTTCCAGCTGTACGTCAACAAAGATCGATCAAAATCTGAGACCGATATCCGCACAATCGAGGCTACCGGCAAAGTAAAGGCCATTCTCGTGACTGTAGACGTCCCCGTCATTCCTAAGCGGGAAGATGACGAGCGTGTAAAGTCAAAGGAGCAGTTGCAAGTAGCTGGAATTGGTTTAACTCCCGAAATTTTGGCTGGCGACAATAAAGGCGCCGGCATGGCACGTCAAGTCTCGTCGTTTATCGATCCGACGTTTAGCTGGGACGATTTGAAATGGCTGCGAAGCATCACTGAGTTGCCAATTGTCGTCAAGGGCATCCAAACCGCAGCGGACGCCATCATGGCCGCGAAAATGGGGGTTCAAGGCATCGTGATAAGTAACCATGGCGGTCGTGCTGTTGACACTGCGCCCCCGACCATTCTTGTCTTGCTGGAGTTGCAGAAGAATTGTCCAGAGATATTCAGCCAGCTTGAAGTTTTGATTGACGGCGGGTTTCGACGAGGCTCGGATATTGTCAAGGCTATTTGTCTAGGCGCATCTGCTGTTGGGTTGGGCAGACCATTCCTCTACTCTTTGGGCTACGGCCAAGAAGGAGTAGAGCGTGTGGCATGGAGTAAGTTGTACCAATTCTCTCCCTCGGCATGAGTTTACTACGATACTGATGACTTTTGTAGTTCTCAAAGACGAAATTGAATCCGCTATGCGCCTATGTGGTATGACGGATTTGATGAGAGATGCGCATCCAGACTTTGTGAATACTAGCACCCTGGACTTGATGGTGCCTGGTCTCAAGCATCCCTATGCACGCAAGGTGAACAAGTCAAATGGATGGCTAAGCTCATTGAGGTCTAAGTTGTAACTTTAAGAGTGATGATATCATGATTCTTAAAGCGTAATGAATCACACGGAGGTTGACAGGGATAGACTCTGAATACGTTCAGGTAACGGTCTTCAATAGAGAAGCTCTTCTACCTAGTAGTTCTTCCTTTTCACGGCACTCTCGAGGTCTACTTTAATTGACAGCTACAGCTCATGTTACATGACTTTTCACTTTCTACAGAAACCTTTTGTGTATTGATTCTGCAAAAACATGAATACTATACATGATAACCAACATACATCATCGCTGTTAAAGAGACATCGCTTTGAAATATGCCATTATAAAAGTGACATATTGCTAGATATTGCATACTAATACTAAAAATAGCCCTACGTGGTAACTTTCAGTTTCCAACCTGGATAACAACCTTTCCAAAGTGCTTGCTCTCCCACTGGTACTGGTAAGCCTTCTTGATGTCCTCAAAAGAAAAGAGGTTAGAGTCGACCACGGGGCGAATCTTTGCAGTATCAATCGCCCGGTTCATCTCCTCAAACTGCTGACGAGAGCCGACGAAAATCCCACGGACAATGCAGAGGTGGTTGAGAGCATCCATCAGAGGGGGTTGCTTGTCCGACGAAGTAAGGAAACCAATGATGGTAATAACACCCTCCAGCTTAATGGCCTTGAGCGACTGAGCGATGCTTGCGGCACCGCCAATTTCGAGAATATGGTCAAATCCCAAGCCTCCAGGAGTCAAAGCTCGGGCAGCCTCGCCCCAGTTGGCGGTCTCCTTGTAGTTGATAACGTGGGAAGCTCCCAGCTTCTTCAAGGCGTCGGCCTTGTCACTTGTGGAGGTCGTAGAGACGACAGTTGCACCGGCAGCAACGGCAAACTGAATAGCTGCAAGACTGACGCCACCAGTGCCCTGTGTCAAGACCCAATCGCCGGCCTTGATTGCCTTTGACTGCAGTCCGTACAAGGCGTTCCATGCGGTGAGGGGAGCGCATGTCAGAGTGCTAGCTTCAACGGCGTTGAGAGAGGATGGGGCCTTGACAAGACAGTGCTCGCCAAAGACGCCGTAGTCGCGCAGTGTGCCGTCAACCGCACCGCCGAGGCCACTTCCAACAGCCTCAGGAGTAATGGGGCTCGTCTGGTGGTGTTCGTTGAAGAGTGTGCACACTCGGTCACCCTTTGACACCCTGGTAACCTTGGGTCCAACGGCAAGAACGATGCCGGCACTGTCGGAGCCAGGAACAACAGGTGTCTTCATGGGAAACGGGTAGAGTCCCTTGTAAAGGAGTTAGCTTTGTAGATGGTGCCAAAGGCTTGTTTGTCTACTTACTCTTGGGATGGCCAGATCTCTGTAGTTGAGAGAGACAGCTTCAATCTGAATCAACACATCACGCTCGCCGAGCTTCGGAAGAGGAACGTTCTCTTTCAGAACAAGACCATCGAAGTCGTTGTGGGTGTCGCGGACGGACCATGCTCGTGAAGTGGTGGGGAGAGACATTGTGATGAATGGTAGAGTATAGAGAGATGTAAAAACAAGAAGGGGATTTTGTTTGCTTGAGTTATCTTTAGTTATCTTGAATTGTTGCTGATGTGGTGGAATGACATGCATTAGCGGTCGTCGAGTGTATTTATATTCGCGGAAGAGACAAGATGTTTGGAATCATAAATCTGAGTGGATAATCACACCATCGTCGAAACCTCGAAGCGCTACCTCAAGAACAACTTGGGGATGACAAAGCGGCTTTCTTCATTATTAATGAAGATTAAGTAGCTGCCTCTTCTACATTTAGACTGAATTGTCCAACCTCAAGTTCGCCATGCCTAACAGTCCAGACAGTGTTAGTTACCGGCAGTTGAAGCAAGCAAGGGGGAGCTTTTTTGTCTCAGACTTGTCTAAAAGAGGCTGCTTACCCAGTCCGAATTGTAAAAAATTCAAACTTAATTCCTTGTTGGTTTCAAGAAACTGAAGAAATCGATCATCTTTAACGACTCTTTGAAATATTGAATCTGGAGGTTAGAGCTTCATTGGCTCGCCCCATGCCGAAGCGTCGGCCGACCCCTGTCAGCACGAAACGCCAAATGCGGAGCGGAAGCTAGACGGGGTCGGCCGACCCCTGCTCTTCAAGCGGCGTACACAGTCTGTCGTTGATTACACGGACACTGTCATGGTGATAGTGTATTGGGACGAAGCCTGCTCGGTTGCTTCTAATGGCTAAGTCATGGGAATATATTTATAACCAATTCGCCCAAGTCAGACCGTTAACGGGCTCGCTGTTAGCCCGTTTACGCCTGTTGAGTTGTTTAGTTATGTATCCAAAAAGGACCAGTTCAATTCGTCGATGAAGATGTTGATGTTAATTTGAAGATACTTTTTGCTTTGATGTCTGCCGGACGAATCCAAGTAACATGGTGTAAACTTCAACTTTGGCTAACCTTGTTTTGCATTCTATCGAAAGTTTGCTCTCTTTAGGGCTGCCGGATTTGTGCATATGAGGACTCTATTTCTATCTCTTTAATAAACCACATCGCCGTATAACATAGTCGTAAACTGCTGCGTTGTTCATTGCCTAACCAAAACGAGGAAGTTGCTTCGCTCCCTCTGCTGGGGGAACAAAGCTCAACCTCTGCTCACAGAAAAACTCAACACCCACCGTCTTCAGGTCGGCTGCTCCGTTGTCCAGCCCGCCGCTCTTAATGATAACCTCCCCGGGCATGACATCCAGCTTGTTGAACAGTGGCGACCCGCAATTGCCACAGAAAAAGTGTCTGTTCTTCTTTCCAGAGTCACCGATAGTGTCGTAAAACTTGGGCTCGCCTAAAACCAATTAGAGCCCGCGCTGTGATTCTCAATAAGTAAAAGAGCTCACCTTTGGTAACCTTGAAGGACGCTTCGGGGACTACAGCATTCGCGGTGTATGTTGAGCCAGTCGACTATGAAATATTAATGATGATATTCGAATGGAGTTGTGTCTTGGTTGTCTACCTTCTGACAGTCTGAGCAGTGGCAGAGAGCTGTGAGCGTCGCTGGGCCTGTTGAACCACTCGCATTAGAGATTATAGTAAAAGAGATGTCATGTTATTGTGTGAAGAAAACTAACTGCCACTGGTATAAGCCACCTCTCCACACAAGCAACTTCCTGTAAGAGACATCTTGTTTTGGATAGTTTGAATAGATGATTGACAGCTATGATTCAAGCTCTAATACAGGTCGACGAGTGATATATATACTCATACGTCCATTTCCCAGAGCTCGGGTACTTGGGCATCTGGAACTGGTAGTTGTATAGATCAGGTATGTGAATGTAGTTACACGGCGTAATATGGATTCGGACACGGGGAAACTCGGAGCCTTGTGCGAGCCATCGTGGGACTATGCGCATTGGTCCGCATTGGTCCGCGATAGTCCGCCCGAGGATTCACACGTAATAAGCAGTGCAGATACGGAAGGATTCGCATCATATTTTCCCACAAGTGTCTTCGAACATTGCGATAGTAAGGCGTAGGTGGGTTCCGCCCTTGAGTCGTATAGCCGTGATGGAGTTGAGTTGTGGTGGCGAAGTTGTGCTTGGCACTATGTTTGAATCCCAATTAGATCCATGTTGTGGTATATTGTATTGCATGAGTCAATAAATATACGCGTACCATTCGGACAAGTAATATTTGCAGCTCCGAGGGTACCCTGGAATTGAAAGATAACGCGTATCGTACGCACTTCCGCAAAGTAGCTAGTTGTCATGAAGCTTTGATTTCATATTGATAGACATATACGTTTGGCGCGGATCATACGTGATTACTGTGGCAAATTGAGTCATTTCACATGTATCTCAGAGTAGTGAGGTTACAAAACATGTAAAGGAGGTTATTGAATTGACAAGACTAGGTGGCCGCTGAGTCGAGGCTGGGTCCATGTAGTCCTTTCACTTATTCAGTTCCATAACGAAGAGAATGCACATATTCTACTTGGTTCTAGAAGCAATTGAATGATGGCCTGTCACATGTTTCAATCTTCATAATTGGTGACATTAACGTTGAAACAGAGCTGTAGTTTGGTACATGTATACTACTAAGATGTCAAGTCGCTTGAAGCAATTCAGAACCTCCATATTTCGGATCATCGGCCGGCGGCCGTGACCGCCCGAGCTCTCGCGGTACAGTTTGCGCTACACTGTAGTACAACCCGCGTCAGACTAGCTCGAGACGACGCCTTTCCGCTATCCGAGAAATATTAATCATCCGTCGATAGACTGGAGCTTTTCGCGCCTCGTCCCTCCGGCCCGCAGCATCCACAGCATCAACTAACATAGACAATCGACAAGGGTCGGCCGACCGCATACTTGTATACATGCACTGTCCCTCTCTTCCTCTTCGATTCCACCAACAGAGTGAAGTGTTGGCTTCTCAGTGGTGGCCTCAATCGCTCCGTCAAGCACTCTATCCCCGTCTTCAAACTACGTCAGATCCGGGTATAGATCCATTTCATCAGCGGCAAAATGACTGAACATGTGGCTCTGCCTTCGAGCAGCAGTCAACTCGAAGCACAAGTTGCTACCAATGGGACCGTTGCGCCAGGGACATGCTTGAATTGCCGCCGCCAAAAGCAGCGCTGCGACAGAATCATCCCCCAATGCTCTCGATGCTCCACGTGGGTATCTGCCAACCTCGACTTCGCGTTTGTGAAGACAGGCAGCATACTAATACCATGGCTGTTAGGAAGGCAATTCGATGCGTTTATCCTACCAAAGACAATGGTGCCGTTCGCGGACTTGTGCCAGTGTCGAGTAGCACGAGTCATATGCTAATGCCTTGTTCCCGGCCCTGCAGCTTCCACCTATCTCCCCATGGCGAACGCGATTTACTCTGGGCAGCTTGCTCAAAGCATGACTCATACGTCCAAGGCGGCTACTCTCAACCGACGCTTTATCACGTCGTGAGAGACATCTTTGACCATAGCGGCATCAGCGTAACGGATGTTGTAACCAGATACTTTGATCTGGCCCATTACTGGCTACCTATTCTAGACAGAGAAGCCGTTTACGACGAAGCAGCACGTTTCAATCTGGACGAGGCAGGTAACCATGACGCATTTGCCTTGTTGCTCCTTTGTATGCATACATTCACCGAGAGCCCTTGCAGAAACCAACCTCAACCGACCCAAAACGTTTTATATCGCACTTTACGACAGCTATTTGTCATTCTACAGTCATCTACAGATATTCCTGCGCGCACTTTGCTACAATGTGGCATTATCCTGACGGCATATGCATGCGGCCATGGTATGACCAAAGAGGCATATGAGACATTGACAATATGTATCGGTCTTATTCGCCGTCTCAGCATCGACGACTATGTGACAGCAGGACCTAGGATGGGAGCGGACCATAGCCTTTACGATCACTTAGAATTGGACCTCTGCTGGAGTGGGATAATTCTACTGGATAGGTAGACTATCAATTCCGACAAGAATCGCCTGGGCCGTGATATTAACTCTTTCTATAGGACTATTGTTCTCTCCAACATCGACCATTGCCTGCCATATTTGCTAGAAGCGAGCCATATTCCGCCAAACTCTGGCATCTTTCAGGCAACAAAGTCGGACCTCTACAGCCAGGATGCTATCCGCAACCTGTTAGCACGAGCAGAGCACGTTCTCCGCCTCGGCGACATGCTAAAGAATATCAATGGACCCGATGCAGAAAAGTATGAAGCGGTAGAAACGGCCGTATGCAATGAAATTGCCGACTTTATTCGTACCACAGAAGGAGGCAAATTCCCTCTCTGTGAAACGGTTGCTATGGCACTTAGGTTCGTGATACGGGAACTGGTACTCTTCTATCTGGCAAAGGCCTATGCTAACTAACGCCAAGTGCTTTAATCATGCTGTATCGCAAGCAAAATTATTATAGGATGTCGATCGACAACTTCAACGTTCTCAGAGCAGTCTTGACATTTAACAGCATACATAACATGATCATGGACACATGTCGTGACGAAGCCGAATGGGTACAGGCGCACGGCTGGTCTAACAACAGCAGGCCGTGCTTCCTTGGACTTTGCTGCTTATATGGTGCTGCCGCTCACTTGGACGAGCTTCGCGCGGAAGGTTTAGCGAGAGAGGATATTTGGACCCTGAGAAATTCCTTGGCAGAATTCTCAAATCGCTGGAAACTTGGAGGTAGGCCGTTTTCTCGCCCCTTTTGCTGTGCGGATGCATACATGTATTCTAATGAGCCAAAGCAGAAAGGTTCCTAAGTCACCTCAACTCGGTGAAAAGAATAAGTGATGTGCAAAATCAAGGCAGCGCTTCTTGAGCTCGAATACGCACTTCTAAAAAGCCAATTGAAACGAATTTGCGACTAGATCATGCTGGAGATCGCCGCCCTGACCCCAAAGCCAAAACAGCCGTTCTTCTCAGTTCCGGGCCATTTTGTTGTGCCCCATCCTCGGACTTTGTCATTTTGGATTTCATCTTGGAGATTTGGGTGCAACCCATTGATATCTGATTTGTCTTGTCCAAAAAGGCACACTGGTAAGGTCAAGACGATGGAGAGATATGAGCGGAATTCCCCAGACAACGAGGTGCAGTTGGGTAGGATGGAATTCAGGCTGGTACTCGCTTTTCGAGATGGGACTATGCGGGCACCATACTCGTCATTACCGTCTCTGTTTACCCAATACCGTTTATTGTTTAACGGTCTCGTACGAAACGTACAACTCACGAGCCTCATCTACGATGTAGGCGCGACTGGCCATACTTCGTTACCCAACTACCCAGCCTTTGGTGTCGGTCCACTCCACACAATTTGGTCTCGAGCACTTTAATTGCCATTTGGAACGAGCTTCAATCTACCTATGACAAAGTATGACGAAGTTTTAGGCCAGCTGCAGCCTCCACACAGACCTCTCGGCAATCTTTGATGCTCTCGGTTGCTTATTACCGCGGATGATGATGTATGACTATAGTAGCATGTCAGACTGGACCGTACCGCAGCTTGAGTAGAACGCATTTGGCGACTCAAACTTAGCAATTACTAAAAGGTCCTTAATCACGACTTGTATGTGCGCGGCATCTCTCATGAGTACATCGACTGTAAGACGAGCGCATCTTTCTACCGAGAGACCATGGCTGGGGGGCTTTAGGATGTCTGGCCGCAGGATTCAATGGACGTTGCTGACGGCACGGAGAATATGATTATTAAGGTAACTTATTTTCTGCAGACCCATGATTGGCGCAACTCGAATCGAAGGGTTGGTATGTGGAATAGCCAAATGTGTCTGTGGTGGTTATTCCAAATACATGGCTCTTGATGAGCTTTGGCTTCTCAAATACATACATCAGCCAGCCAACTACTGGGCACTGCAATTCATTCTCGGCACTTGTCACATTTGCCTGCTCTAATTAAACCGAGCCTCGTACAGTAGCTGCAGACACCCTTGCCGGCGGGAAGAACTCCGACGGGGTTGTGCTGTTTAGTACGTGTGATTGTACCTGAGCGTTGGCTGACGCCCCGCGAGGCAGTGTTTCGATGCCCCGCATTGGCTGCAGAGCAGAGATGGGGAAAAAAAGAGGTCAATCTGGTTGATGGCTCGTATATCGTGGAGACGGGCGACGTCTATCTCGGGTACAGTTGCCCTACATGTACCTGTGCAGTTCGAGTTGAGCAACATGATGCGCCGCCAAAGTCAAGTGGGTCTCGATTCAAGCCACACGGAGGGTTCATGTTCATCCACTAATGAGTTGTACCACGGCGGAATGTAGGTATCCTGTAAATACATCAATGCATCCTGTCCGCCATTTGCAACTCATGACTTAGCCGTGGACCGTTGTAAAGTCTAGATGCAGATCCTTATCAATGGAGATGGAGAGAGAAGAAAAAAAAAAATAGACTTGTCCCAGATTGGCTCCCATCTAGCGAGTCGACTAGACGCATCAGCTGTGACGACGAGGCCGCGCGATGGGAGAGGCTTGGAGGCTCTGCTGAGCTCAGCTCTCCCCGCCGTGAGAGTCGGTGATTGGCGGGTGACGAATAGAGTTGGCGAGGCTGAGCTCATTAGGCTGGTCGTTGATTTGTGAGGTGTGTGCCTTGGCGTAGAAAAGTTGAGAGTTGGTGGGCATCCTTTTCGAAGGTGCTGTGGTTATTTTTGGAGATTTCTTTGTAATGTGGCGTGTAGGTACGGATTCATGCTGCTCGTATAGCAGGCTTGTCGTCGATTTCGGAAGTTTCCAGGATGGGCTGGATTCAGCGCTCGAGGCGATATCGCGCAATGCAATGCGTTGGATGGAAGAGATGAATGCATGATTTCATGAATAATAATGCCGCTTACCGTACCTTGTGTATTATCTGGTGGACGAGATACCAAGCAGGGGGAGCGGAGAGATTGGGTGGAAAGTGCTGTCGGGTGTCTTTTGATACTAATCCATGCATGTAGATAGTAAAAGAACCAACATTGTATTACACGACTGTAATACCTCAGATTTACGTTCCATGTCGCACAAGATACCTGTATCTCTCCCCCTGAACTCGCCTCAACTCCCCAACTGTGCTCACCTCCATCTCCTCTTCTCGTCTAATCCCAGTGGCCCATCTTTCTTCCATTCTTATCGACGTCACTGCTTCCCGTCGCCAAGACAGTCAAAATGGCCAATGAAGCCCTTGGTGGGGTGCTGCCAGCCAGTAGAATTCGCTATACCGCCCTGGAGTCTGCCTCCCCAAGCCCCTACAAGGCACTAAAACCCCCCACTAGCGCCTCTGAAACCGACAGCTGGTCCAAGGGTCATCTGGCGGATGGAGTGCCAGGGGGCTGGTCTGCGAGAAGCTTCAGTGAAACTGCTACTTCATCACTTTGAAACCGCCGTTTGATCTTTTCCCGCATCCCTTCGTCCCCTTTGAACTCGAGCTGTTCCGTCCCCTGTACGTGTGCGATCAGCAATCGGGAAACATCCTGCTACTGTACACCACTGGATTTTAGGCGCGGACTGTTGATATTCATCACACCAAATCGGAGTTGCGATCGTCGGCATACCCAGCCTGCGAACCGCGCGAGAGAAAAAAACAATCCCGAGTACCTTGCATTGATGCTCCAAAGCTGCCATTGGCGAACTGCCTCGACGACTCAACTCAACTGTCTTTGATCGCCTAGCCGAGAACCGTTCCGGGTGCGCACAGGCCCCCTGCGTGTCTCGTTCTCTCTCGTTGTCTCGCGCTCTGCAGTTGTTAGTATCGAGCCGCATCATCAGACGAAGACGCAAAAGCCGCTGCTGCGCCGCAATCCCGCTTCGCACAACACTAGGATCTTGTGTGTTGGCGGCACTTGGCGGCCTTCGTCTGCCGTACGAGTACAGTACTAGAAGCAGAAGCAGAAGCTGAGGCGACTCCAAAAATACATTCACGCCTCACTTTCCCCGGCCACTCATTCCAGGCGCCACCAGGGGCAACGTGGAGGGAACAAAGAACGCTCGCCCTTGAACCGACTTGCTAACACACGACGCGCCATATCGCCGTCGACTCTCTTCCACCAACCACTCGCCATTGACCGTTGCGCCATCCTCATCCCATCAAATCACACCGACCAAAACCATGTCGTATAATCGCCTAGGTATGTGCTTGCAATCTCCAGTTTCCCCTTCTGACGGCCCTTGGCTTCACCCCCCCTGCCCGCTTAATCTCGAACACCCACTTTTGCCCACATCGTCCCTCCGACGCAATGCTCCCTGTTGCGACATCTTCATCATTGCGATGCTCGACCTTCTGGGCTAGCCTCTCCCCACGTTCCCTGCGCTGCGGTCCTACCCGTGGCTCGTATACGTATACAGATAGGGCCCGTAGCGCGCTTTGTTGCGCCTCGTTTCTAACCATCTTCCTCCTCCTCCTCCATCTTTTGCTACCTCTGCGTTGCTTCATCGATCCTCTCCTCTCACCGCAATCTAACGACTTCTACTCGCAGACCACGACTTCGAAGACGGTCAACACATGGATCCCCGGGGCAACCCGTACAGGACTCCTTCGCCTGGGCATCCGCTTCAGCAAGGATACCAGCTCGAAGACAATCCGTATGGCCATCATCCTCAGAATCCTCAGATGCCTGATATTGGGCGACTAGCCAGCCCGAGCGATCAGCTACACATCAACCCCGCTGTAAGTGCCAGATGGAATCCTTTCCCAGAAGCAATTGGAGAGCTGTTGATTCTAACCGGATCCCTCTAGCACTCTGTCGATACTCTGTCCTACAACAACAGCCAGCACCCCGCGGATTACTCAATAAACCCAGAGGCCCATCACGATGCCTATTACAACGCCCCCTATGAGCCACACCCGCAAGACGGCCCAGGCTATGACCAGCACCAATATAGCGACCAGCCAGGCTACGATCAGCCAGGCTATGAACAGCAGGGCTACGATTATGACGACCAGCGGCCGATGCTCTCCCACCAGAATACCGAGCTTCCCCTCAATCAATATCAAGATACTCGGCCAGTCACGCCGACCGGTGGTATCAAAAGGTGGAAAACGGTAAAGCAGGTGCTCCTGTATCGCGGCAACCTGGTGCTTGACTGTCCAGTGCCTCCGGTGATGCTGCGCGAAAACCCCCACGGCGAGCGTGACGAGTTTACACACATGCGCTACTCGGCCGCGACCTGTGACCCCAAGGATTTCTACGACGAAAACTTCACCCTGCGCCAAAAGCTCTTCAGCAAGCCGCGCCACACTGAACTCTTCATTGTCGTCACCATGTACAATGAGGACGACGTCTTGTTTGCGCGAACCATGGTGGGTGTCTTCAAGAACATTGAATACATGTGCAACCGCCCCAACAGCAAGACGTGGGGCAAGGACGCTTGGAAAAAGATTGTCGTCTGCATCGTCAGCGATGGTCGCGCCAAGATCAATCCTCGAACAAGAGCCGTATTGGCAGGTCTCGGAGTCTACCAGGAGGGTATCGCCAAGCAGCAGGTCAACGGGAAAGACGTGACTGCCCACATTTACGAGTACACCACCCAGACACACTTGCAGCTCAACAAGGACGTTGTCTCGCTCGTCCACCGCCGACAGCCCGTTCAGCTGCTTTTCTGCCTCAAGGAGAAGAACGGGAAAAAGATCAACTCTCACAGGTGGTTCTTCCAAGCGTTTGGCCGTGTATTGGACCCCAACATTTGCGTCCTCATTGACGCCGGTACGAGGCCCGGTGGTAGCTCCATCTATCACCTCTGGAAGGCGTTTGATTTGGAGCCCATGTGCGGAGGTGCCTGTGGTGAGATCAAGGCCATGTTGGGCACTGGTGGCAAGAACTTGATCAACCCCCTTGTCGCGACACAGAACTTTGAATACAAGATGAGCAATATTCTCGACAAGCCCCTGGAATCGGCTTTTGGTTTCATTTCCGTGTTACCCGGTGCCTTTTCAGCTTATCGATATGTCGCCTTGCAGAACGACAAGAACGGCCAAGGCCCTCTCGAAAAGTATTTCCTGGGTGAAACGCTCCACGGTGGCGGTAAAGCAGGTCTCTTCGAGTCCAACATGTATCTGGCCGAAGATCGTATCCTCTGCTTTGAGCTGGTTACCAAGCGAAACTGCCATTGGATCCTGCAGTACGTCAAGTCCGCCACTGGCGAGACTGATGTGCCCGACACGGTGACGGAGTTGGTTCTCCAGCGACGCCGTTGGCTCAACGGTTCCTTCTTTGCCGCCATTTATGCCATTGCTCACTTCCACGACTTCTTCCGCTCCGACCATTCCTTCTTCCGAAAGATGGCATTCTTCGTCGAGTTTGTCTTCAACACCGTCAACATGATCTTCGCTTGGTTTGCGATTGGCAACTTCTTTTTGGTTTTCAAGATTCTGACGACAAGTTTGGGCTCGGACAGCCTTTTGGGCAAGACGGGTGAAATCTTGGGCGTTGTGTTTGAATGGCTCTATGGCGTTATCCTCATCACCTGCTTTGTCTTGTCTTTGGGCAATCGGCCGGCAGGGTCTGGTAAGCTTTATTCGGCCATGGTCTGGTTCTGGGCAATTATTATGATGTAAGCTGGGACCTCTCATCTTGTCTTCCGTGTTCTTGTTCTAACGCGTTTCCTTTTAGCTACTTGATGTTTGCGGCCATCTTCATCGCCGTCAAGGCCATCATCGCGGATCTCAACGACGGAGACGGATTCAACATTAGCCAGTTGTTTAAGAATCAGGTTTTCTACACGCTCATCGTTTCCGTCATGTCGACCTACGGTATCTGGCTCATTGCATCCCTCCTCATGTTCGACCCGTGGCACATGATTACTTCTTTCCTTCAGTATATGCTTCTCACGCCAACCTTTACCAACGTTCTCAACGTCTACGCCTTTTGCAACACCCACGACGTGTCTTGGGGTACAAAGGGTGACGACAAGGTAGAGAAGCTGCCGTCCGTCAACACCAAAGACGGCGAGGGCAAGACGGACCTTCCCGACGAGGGTGACTTGAACGCACAGTACCAGCGAGAAGTCGCAGTGTTTAGCGTGAAATTCAAGGAAGAAAAGAAGGATCCCACGCCGGCGCAGCTGCAGGAGAAGCAGATGGACTACTACCGAGGTGTGCGTACTGGTGTCGTGCTCATCTGGATGATTACAAACTTTGCGCTTGCGGCCGTTGTTTTGAGCTCGGCCGGTCTGGAGAGGATCACGCCTGGTAATTCAGACGATCAGGAAGCACAGCAGACGGAGCGGTCCAACATTTACATGGCTGTTGTTCTGTGGAGTGTCGCCGCGTTGAGTAGTTTCAAGTTCCTTGGAGCTATGTGGTTCCTCATTGTCAGACTCTTTAGAGGTGTCTAAAGAAAAAGGAGAAGTAAGAAAGAGATGAAGTGAAAAAAAAAAAGAGTTATATGATGTTAAAGTGGTCATGAGAGAAAGTCTGTATTGTGTTATTTAAATTTCTGGATTATACCCCCTTTTTATATTTTCTCCAAAGTGGATGGGGCGAACTGAAGATGGGCCAACTACAAAAGGCTTTTGTTTTTATCTTGCATGCATACAACTTAACCTCCTGTTTCTATGTTTGGAGTTTTTTTTTCTTTGGAGCCGTAGCTTTTCGTTAAAAGGTCCGGAGCTTCTCCTCGCTTTCATTCATCTTCTTACTGTATGCATTTACGTGTCATGGGCGTCCTTGAGTGAGTTGTGGTTGTCTGTGTGTCTTTGGCGGCGTTTTCGTTCTAACTCTTCTTTTCATTATGGTCTTGTTTGGTAGGGAAACGCATTTGCATAACAGATAGATATTCTAGGATACGTTTGAATGACGATGATGTTTTGTGACTTCAAATCAAGGCGTAGTTTTCATATCGAGAACCCCGCGGGGTGTGAAATTGAAGTTATTGACGATGCAATATACAGACACGTTTGAACTATATCATTATGATCAAATAAAATGCATTATCATATTCATTGAGTTTTTGTTATACTCATATATTCATACCACGTAGTAATACATAAAAGCGAGGGCCCAGTCTATCATCTCGACCTGCCCAAGTACGCAGTCCTCCGAATCTAAAACAGCCACGAGATGTAGCGATCGTAAAATTTGTGCAGCCCCTGGCTGTTCGCGCGCTTAATCTCCTGATCCTCGAGGTACTCGTTCTCCTGAGCATCGATAATCTCCTTTCCAGCGTAAAAGTCGGCCTCGTGGGGCTTGACACCCTTGCTCTTGGTGACGAGCATGTGGCCGAAGAGGAGGATGATGTAGAGCGGGATGCCGAGATATCCAGTGATGAAGTTCTTGTAGTCAAACTTGCGGGCGGCGGTGTGGATGAAGACGTCGTAGTTCTTGGTCAAGGCGATGAGGATCGTGAAGAACAAGCACACGACGGTACCCCAGTAGCCCTGAGGGGCGACGTAGGGCATGGCGCTGTCGGGGATGTTTTGGGCACGACGAGCGCGGAGGAAGAAGAGGTAGGTGACGAGGATGGAGATCCAGGTCAGGATACCGAAGATGGTGACGAGGTTGACAAAGTAGCCAAAGACCTAATAGTCATGTTAGCAAGAACCGTGTCTCCGTTTTCGAGGGATGAGCATGGGAACATACCACTGTGCTGGCGGTAGAAGCATTCATAAACGCCAAGCAGGCAATCGCCGCGCAAACGAAAAGCGCTGGGTAGGGAACGCCACGTTTGTTGGTGCGCTTGAAGATGGCGGGAGCAGCGTTATCGGAGGCGAGGCCGTAGAGAGTTCGGCTGGCAATGTACAAGTCAGAGTTGGAGGCGGAAAAGACAAAGACCAGGATGCAGGCGTTGATGATGTGCGGCAGGACCTTGACGCCGGCGAGGGTGGCGGCGACGACGAAAGGCGAAGCGTTAGCACCAGTGCTCTGCTTGTTGGCGAAGGTGAGCTCGGGGCTGTTGTAAGGGACAATCATGCCGACAAGGAAGACGCTGAGGCAGTAGAAGAAGAGGATACGGAAGAAGGTGAGCTTGATGGCTGTGGTTATGCGCGTTAGTTCTTGTCCCGTAGAAAAGAGGACATGTCAATCGTACCCTTAGGAATGCTTCGTCGGGGGTTCTGAGCTTCACCAGCGGTGACACCGACCAGTTCGGTTCCGAGGTACGCAAAAGTGGCATTGACCATGACGGACCAAAAGCCGAGGAACTTGCCCAAGGAGCCCGTTTGATATAGTTCGGCAAAGGCACCGGGGTTATGCCAATATCGGAAGCCGGGGGCATCGCCGTTGGGACCGCCTCCGCAGGCAATGCACAAGGAGAAGATGATGATGCCAACGATGATGATGACTTTGAAAGAGGACAGCCAGAATTCCAATTCGCCAAAAAGCTCAATTCCTAAGTAGTTCTACGAGGTAATTAGCACATGGTGCAAATTTGAGAGGAGAAATAGCAAAAACGGATCAAATAGACATACCACAACAAGAATGGTGACTAGGAAAATAGCAATGAAGACGCCCGGATTGACCTTGTCCCGTGGGCACCAGTACTGAATGACCAAAGCGGCAGCCGTCAACTGATTCGGAGTGGTAATAATGTACTTGAACCAATATCTTTTGAATCACCGTTAGCAATCCCAGACATCGTCGAACGAAAACCACAACTCGAAGACTTACGTCCAACCAAGAGCGAATCCCAGAGATGGGTGGCAGTATCGCGTCGCGTAGCCCGTAAATCCAGCACTCATAGGTAACCAAGCAGCCATTTCTCCCAAAGAAGCCATGACACCGTAGACGAGAACTCCAACGAAACAATACGAGATGAGCAGCGAGCCGGGACCAGCCTGGGCGAGGGCCTTTCCGGTACCAATGATGAGACCAGTGCCGAGCGCACCACCAATGGCAATCATGGAAATGTGGCGCGCCTTGAGACCGCGGTGCAGAGACGTCTCTGGTGAAGTCTCGAGACCACGGATGCGAACATTCTCGTAGTTTCCGATTCTGGCGCTGCTTTTCTCGACATCGTGTCCGTAGCCAGCGGGGCTGGTGTGAGCGTAGAGCCCATCGTCGTCACTCATTGCGGCGATATGCCCGGAGGACTGTATCGACAGGAGGGAGACGGAAAAGGTTGGTCTATACCACTCAGGCGACGGATGTCTCAAACGGAACAGAGACGCGTCAGGCTGCCGACTTCGTAAGATATACGAAGACGAACGACGGGTAGAAGAGATGGTTAGAAGAGGAAGAGAGGATGGTGGCAGACAGAGAAGGTTGTCTCACGGAGGAGGCTACCTCGCTGGGTTATAAGTGTTCACCTGCTTGTCAAGCTTGGAGCTGCTGGGATTGGTTGGCCCATCCCAACCTGTACTTTTTATGGAGTCTGAGACTTTGTGCCTGTTGAGCAGTTGGGTTCAGCCACGTACCATACTGTAGCTAGACCTGATGTACGCCTGTACGAGTACAGGTATTGAAGGTGGACAGACATGGGATCCCCGAGGCTAAACACGCACCAAGCCGTGGAGATGGGCCTCTCCATGTCCTTGGCATGCTGCGTATCTCGACTCCTCCCCATGGTCAGCCTATCACCGCACCGGGACTCGAGCAAGAACCAGCAAAAAGCCCGAGCCGGGGGCCTCAGCGGTGGAGAAGCAAGCTGAGAGAGGCAAGGGACATGGCCTCATGGTCTGCACGGACCGGGGCGAGGTCTCTGAGGCTGGACTAGCAGATTGAGATTGGGGAAGATGCACCCTTTGGGGGGCTGGTGTGACGGCATTTTCCCGCTGCTGCTGGCGTGTCTGCCCTCTGCCAAGGGAGCTAGCTGTTGTACCAAGTAATGGATCAATTCAGGGCCATGTAATAGATACGTTGATGTATTCTTGGGATGGACATGGACCCGTGGCTTCGTTGGAGAAAATCGGGGACCAATAATCCCACCTCGCCTGGGGAGGATGGTCGTGGTTGTGTGGGGTGGCCATGATCCCTGCATCTTTGACTTTTTCTTCTGGTTACGGAGAACGGTATCACACTTACATCCATCAGAGCTGATTATCTGCAGGCAAGAATCTCTAGTCGGCCGCGTAGACAGGCTTGGCAGCGTTGGTTCAGGACCTATTCTTCCCTCTTGGTCGTCATGGTTTGACTCGTGCGCCTTCTGCCCTGCTCTCCAACCACGCGCAAATGGAGGCTGTACGGGGTATTGGCATGACAAACGCCTCGATATTGATACGACGGACCGCCTGTACGACAGGGCTCGTCGTACGAGCCTCTTTTGCTTGCAGGGCGGATGGCCGAACACTTCAGGTTTGCCTACTCGCCTCGCTCGGGGCGTCCTAATGCTGCCACAGGCGAGCCGTCGCCTGGCGATGGGCACAGAGGGGAACGTGAGCCGATGACATTTCGGAGGAGCCCTAATAGTATTCGTACTTGTACGAGTAGTTTGCCACGAGACTGGGGCCATGGCGCTTCCAGTTGTACATAATAGAGTCGAGATGTCGGGTTATCTGGCCCCGCTCGTGCCACGGCGGTTGGCACCTTATTTGCTCAGCCGACAACAACAATACGAGTACATGGTATAGTATTAGCTGAGCTCGCTATACGCAGTCAATGTCTCAGGTAATCGAAATCATCCTGAGTCGTCTCGGTGGCTCATCCTGTATTGCCGCATCGTTCTGATTATTTCGTACTCGTATGCAGCAAACGCGGGGTGAGATGAGCTGTAGACCGAATGCATGGATCCCCGAGGCGCCGAGACGAGAAAGTGAACAAGACACCCGACATCCTCCATGAATAGACCAGCCTAGTCCATTCATCAGGCGAGCCAAGACGTCTGTGAGAAACGCCGGCGCCTGGCAGTCGATTGTTGGTTGATTTTCATTCTGGTGGCGGACACAAAGGACGAAAGAGATAAGCGGCCGAGAACATTCAACGCTAGAAAGCGCCACACGTTGATCCGAAAGCAAACGGCGCAGAAGGGTTCTAGAAGGGCGAGCTAGGAGGAATTAAGCACTGCGCTTGGGGCTTCTAGGGCCTGGGGAGGCGGATTTTGCTGCAACTCGGGGGCGCTTTAGTGGCTGCTCGTAGCGAGAGTCCGGCACCTGATTCTGGGCGCCGACAAGCACGGACGGGGTGTTATCTCGCTGCTGACGGGCGACATGTAGGTACATTACCTTATCTTTATTCTTATCTTTGCCTGGAACCTTTACTTTTTGTCTCTTGTCAAAGCAACGTGATGCAGATAACAAATCAACTTTTCCATCTTCAACCCGTCTGCCCATACAAACGAACCACCGCAACCTCTGGTCAACCACCACCACCACCACAACTCCATCCGCGACGACCCTAATACTACCTATTCACTCCCCTCTCTTCTCCTCTTCTCTCTCCAAATGCCCGCACTAGTCAGGCATCGTCCGTTTTTGTGGGCTTCGCGCTTCTAGGTTATCTTAAGGTTGCTGAGACCCGCCACACCCACGGCTTCTGATTTTCCCATTTGTCGGCATCCAGGGATAAGCATTTCGACCTGCCTATTTCGGGCCTTGACGTGATTTACCCCAGTCCTTAGGTCAAGGGCCAGCCGGTGGCTCGTCCCTCTGCATAAATGGAAAGGAGCGGTTGAAAAGAGCCAACGTGCGCAGCAAAGCATCTCGCAGCCGACGGTTGCCTCTCAGTGTAACGTGGTTGTCGTGGCTTACAGTGCATAGAAGCAGAGACAACAACTACAACAACAAGAAACCATGCAGACAAGACCAGAAGTCCGGTATTTTGGGCCTCATCGTCTTAGCCCTCAGCAAGCATGCGAGTAGCGTCAAGCGAACCTGTGCCTGTCTTGGCTCCCGCAGCCACAGACGCGCCCTTACGCCTTTGCATCTACATATATCGCCATCGGCTAGTTGCCTGTAGATGACATGCTCTGGTGCCGGTAGCCGTGGAGAGAACCGTTTAAAATGCCTCTCATGACCAGCATAGTCGCCAAATGCTATGATACCCGAGTGAATTCAGGCACAATTCATCCTCGTGCGGATATAACTCGTGTCCGCGCCCTGTCCAATACATTCCCGGGGATGCTTGAGCGCCAGCGCCATCATGTTGTCCGAAGGGGGTCCGATGTAGTTGCGTGTTTACTGATACCATTACCAGCCTGTAGGAACGCTCTCGGAGCACGGATCGGACTGATGAGGGTTTCTGGTCTTTGTTTCCGCCAAATCACACCGTCTTTTGTCGCCGTCTGTTTGTCGAGCGGGGATATCGCCAAGGCTCTTATCACTTGTCCAACGGAGCATCAACGCGAACTCGCCGAGGCAATCAACCGTGTGGTATCAGCGTAGTAACACTTAGTCACGTCAAAAGCAGAGATCAACAACTGGATCTTGGCATAAGCTTCTAGAACCCGACCAGCCCTGTGCTTTGCAACACCTTTGACTAGCCCTGGGATTGCGTTGGGCTGGTCTGGGGAGAGAGAGGCGCGTGCGACTCCGGCGACGCAATCTCAGATGCTACACAAAATCTCCCAGAATCCGCCTTGCAGGAGCGCATCTGCGTACACTGGCACCCAAGGGTTGGATCAAGGCCGATCTTTTTTTTTTAACGTGTTTTGCATTGACAGCCAGCCCGCTCTCCTGCAGAACTACTAAGGTACTACTGTAAAGTCGATTGCGGGAGCGCCAGATGCGACGCTGCATCTTTACTTTATTCACCATGTTGGGCCTAGGTGGCCAACGGCCGGAACGTCGCTCCACAGACACGAATCGCCTCACAAGACGCGACGCTACGGCTTCCGTCGGGACCTCGGAGTTTGCTTTTCGTGATTGTCCGCCTCAGCTCACGGACCAAGTGAGCACTGCCATCCCTTGGTGTCTCTCTCGGGGTCTAAATTTGGCAAAGGGACACATGGCTTGAATGACTTGAGACATGGCAAAACTGAGTGCGGATGGCAAAGTGTAGAGAGACGATTTCGATTCTGCCTTTCCCTCACATGCACATGCATTAGTAGACACACACAGTATGAGCCTATTGATCCATAGGCAGCTACAGCTGTGTGTTGTGGCCTCACCGTATCCCTAGCAGCCTCATGACCCGTTCCTGTGGGATCTAGCGCTACTACCTCGAGCCGTAGAATGGTTAGTTGCAGTTCTCCGTAGACTTGTGACCTTTGTTGGACCAGAGCATCGGCTTGTTGCATTCTAGCCTCTCTACCAGCCTTCATCTGATGGGAATCTCTGCCATGGAACCGCCCTGGAGGCACACATTCTCATCAAGAGGCATGGAGTCAAAGGAAACATGTTGCCAATAACATATCAATCGCCTTTCGATGAAGTCACCCCCAGAAAGATGATGTAGAGAAAGACAGGTACCTAAAACAATGAGACGCTCTACTTCAGGAACCACATCCCTCAAAGCCTCGAAACTACTTCTATGCCCTCAACAACTCGTCCAAAACTTTGCCTATCGCCAACACCTTCTCTTCTTCCAACCTCCCTCCTACAATCTGTACTCCAACGGGAAGCCCCATCTCAGCCATCTCCTCCTTGCGATCCCTCCAAACGCTACCTATCCACTCATCCGTCTCATTTCGCGGAGCGTAATCCCACTGCGCGTCACAATCGCCAGCCTCGACTTTGCCTCCCGGAAGGGCCAGCGCCACATAGTCAACCAAGTTCCATACCTTGGTGTAGCCCGTGTATCGGCTTGCTTGGTGCGGGACTGCCGAGTGAGGCATGACGGGCATGAGGATCGCGTCTACGGTCCTCCCCGTCGCGGGAGACTTGACGGATTTCCATTTTTCTAGGTGAGCTTGTCGTAGGGCGGCCTTGCGCTTGTTGAGCTGCCAGTAGTTGTACACGGAGATGGCATCGCCTGCGTTGACGAGGCTTTCTATGGCGGGTATAAAAGGCTCTCCTCCCGCCTCTACATCTTGTCGAATGTCTTGTCCGCCGTCGACGACGAATAAGTCGTCAATCAGGTCGATAGATTCGGCATGGAGATCTAGTGGCCAGTCAATGACTTCATGGCCTGCGGCTCTAAGAGCTGCCGCTGCTTGTTGCAACACTCTGGTGACTGGCGGATGAGGCCTGACTATGCCATCGTCAAGAAAGAGGCCGACTGTCAGGTTCCTAGAAGCATATTCGTCATACATGTTCTGCCGCCATGCGACAGGCGAGACATGGTGGTCACTCTGCCACGGCTCACGGAGAATGATTTCTCTCGTGGCATGGTGGATGGTGGAAAGGGAGCGACCGAGCGGACCAACCGATGACGGTGAATGTTCTTGGCCATCTGTCGACACAAGACATCCCCAGTGCGGCAATCTCGAGTTCTGCGACGCATTAGCTGTTTTTTTTTTCTCGTATCACTGGGAAAGAAGCCAATTCGTAGACGTACACTGCATCTGAGGCCGTAGAGACCCATCATGGAGCTTGGGATACGAACGCTCCCGCCAATATCTGTCCCCCACCCCAAGATGCTGCCCTTCATGTATAATGCTGCGCCTTCACCACCGGTTGAACCTCCTGGAGTATATTCTGCGTTCATGGGATTCGTGGTCAATCCATAAAGCGGATTGTCCGTCTCTCCCCACTGTATGTTGTTAGAAACGTGTTATTCCTTTCTCTATACTTGAAAGACTTATTCTATACCATGATGCTTTGAGGAACGTTTGTCTTAGCTATGACGACGGCACCCATTGATCGCAGCATTTTGACCAGCGCAGCATCCTCAGAAGCAGGCTTGAGTGCCCTCACAGTGTATCCAAGTGAGGTATCATAGCCCTTGACGTTGAACTGGTCCTTGAGCGTCACTGGAACTCCGTGGAAGGGGCCAATGGGTTTGCCATTTGCTCGAAGATACTCATCCAGCCTTTGAGCGTCTTGAATGGCTTCGGAGAAGAGCACTTCCGTGAGGCTGTATTCCCAAAGGCTAGTTGTCAGTTATACAGCTACATGTACATTAAGCAGCTAATTCAGAGAAAGGGGGGCTTGCCAATTCGTCTATTCTCGCCATGGTTAGATGTCTGTAGAATATATGCACCCACTCAAACACGAGTATACAAACTCACCTTGTTATGGGCTTCAATAGCTCTAAATTCGCCGCCACAATGTTAGTCAATCCAGCGGAACCTGCAAGAGTGAAAGTCGCTACCTTGTAATGTATGCCTTTGCCACATCTTCACTCTTCAGTTCTCCCGTAACCAACAACTTTGATAGAACAACAACGTCATCAATACCCGTGATGTTTTCTGTCACGGCTGGATCCTGATCGGCGATAAAGGCATCTACGTCTGACTGCCTTTGCTGCTGCTTTGCCGCGACGGTCTGTCTCCAGTCACGTTTGGCGCTCATTGTGTCAACTGCCGACTCTAGGACTTGAAGTCGGTGTGTCTTCGGAACGGCCTCGATGCTCAATCTCTCCGCCAAGAAATGAATTCAAAGATGCTAATTGTCTCACAGACTGCTCACTCCACAAAGGCAACACAATGAATCTCCGTTGTTCTTCGGCGTTTACGCTGAGTAAGTACGCTGAGTAATAATTTGTCGCTGATGGCGCCAGACCTTGCCCGTCACGGAACCGGCTCTCGGCGTTTCACCACTACGGAATCTTCCGTTTACAGGTCGGCGATTTCAAGCAAGGAAGAAGCCGATTCCGGGACGAGACGGTAAAGCTGCCGGTCGTTTCCCTCGAGTTTGTGTTGAAGATTTTTTTTAATCCAAATAGTCTCAATAAATGATTTAAAACAGGCTAACTCTTAAGGGGGTGAAATTGGTAATTGCCGATATCCAAATAGAGTTGAAGTTTACTAACAGATAGTGGCTTTGTGTTTAGTGGAATGTTGTGGAACCTGCATGTACAGCTTAGATAGTGAAGGTAGAAACAAAAAACTAGAATTGAAATACCCAGACTTTTACACAAATATGTTGAAGGTCCAAGACTATATACATGTCTATATGCATCACACAATTTCCGTATCTCGATATTCAGTAATTACGTGTACTCAATGCTACCAAATTCAGGACTCAGTTCATGCGAGATGCAAAAGAAAACCAAAAAAAACACTATAAAATTGTATAGATGTTTTTTTTTTCGGCAACCCCCTTGCCAGTCTATACTCCCAAGTGGGGGACAGAAAAACCAAGACAAAGAAGATTATCAACGCCTACCTAGTAAACTATACACCGCCCGTTCTTTCAGTATCTACAACTATATCTACAGTTCTCTATTAACTCCTACTATATCTATATCTTACCATTAACTACTACTATATCTACATCTCTTTAGTAACTACTACTATATTTATATTTCTCTAGTAATTACTACTATATTTATATTTTTTTAATAACTGCTACTATAGTTATATAGTTAAATTTAGGTGTTAGCTAAATAGGCGTTCTTTCATAAAGGTACTAGATACACTTAGTCATTAGGGGCTTATATTCCTGCATATATGCACTTATTTCTTTTGCGGTCTTGCTTTTTCTGTCCTCCACTTGACTCCTAGGTACAATTTATTTTACCAGGAACCGCCAGCTCAACCAAACATTGAGCTGAAAAGTCGCCACCACCAATCCTACGGTGTCACCGAGTCGAGCAACGTCATGCATCTCCAGGGATTTGCCCGATTTGCAGCATTTAATGATACTTTTCGTGGTACATTTCATCATTTGATTGTGCGTTTCGTGGCGCACCTTCACTGCCTTTCCATTTATGGACCAATTTTCCATTTAGGGAACAATTTGTCATTTATGAACCAATTTGTATAGTTGAGGGTTTAGATCATCGCCTCTTACAAACGAACTAGTACGCGATATAAGCGACCCTAGCTACATCCAGGCGGTTGACTTCACCGTTCTGCTTCCTTTGAACCGGATAGAGTTAATGGCCGTATACAGAAATCTTCAAGTGCCCGAATTCCTACTCCTAGCAATGAGCTATTGATCGGAAATACAAGAGACCATGGACCTTTTGACTATCTCTTTCCGCGATAGGCTTGATGAAGCAGATAGTCTCATACAGGCCTCGCGTCTACCAAGTCCATATCCTAGTGTCATTGGAAGTCAACTTAACTTAAATTTGTATCATTCTTTATCACCCTTAAATTCTCCGACTTTCGTTACTCTATGCCTCTTTCTGTCTGCCCCTTGACGCTTAACTCCGGCTTCTATCAACGACCGGGAGAAGAAACACTACTAGGATCGCCTTGAAATCCTCTATGCCATGCAGAATGATAACCAGGAGAAGGAACAGGAAAAAGAATTTAGCTTTGTCGAATACACCGACGCAAAACTCCCTACCGATCCAGCCGTCCGCAACGTGATCCGACGACATGCTATGCGAAATGTGGCCGAAACGCGACGTCAAAGAGATAACTACGGCAAAATTGGTACCAGTGGTATCAAACAACCTCCTAAATGGATCTTGAACACAATTCTAAAAACTTCGGGCTCTGCTCAGTCCTCTTCTTCATCAGAGGCAGCATCTGCTAGTCGTGACGATGCACCAGCGAGCGTTATTGCTCCCACCAGACGCGAATATCCAGCCGGCCCTTCAGCTCCACTGCCAATGGGCATTTCAGAAGCTACATTTGCCGAAAACTTTGCAATTCTACATCTGGTAGAGTCACTCGCGGGACTTCATCTCGGTGTCAAAGCCCAACCATCTCCCAATCCGAGACTAGAGTTACATAAATCGCAGTTTCCTCAAAGCAAGACTCTACTATCTTTCATTCCATCTCGCTATGGACACGTTACATCGTTGACATGTGCCGTGGATTGCCTTGCAGCCCGTATTCGACAGATCACACTTAAAGACGATGGCTTCTCAGAGGACTCGGATTTGGAGGTCTATCGTCTATACGACAAAGCCTTAAAGGCTCTTCAGGAAGCACTTAATGATGCGGAGGAGTGGAAAACGCCGGAAACACTATGTGCCGCGGAATTACTGGGGTTCTTTGAGGTATTGACCATGTATAGCTTCATTGATGACGTTTACTAAAGCATCATTGTAGCTTTTAAATGGACGGCCAGAAACAGCGCATTCTTGGACACAACATGCCGCGGGCGTAGCTCAGCTCATACAGTATCAAGGGGCCAGTCACTTCCAGACAGATTTTGAGTTGGCTCTGATTGCGGCCTACGTTGGCCCTTTGGTAAGTAACATCTACTGTCGCTGAGCTTGAAACTTGTTCTAATAATATGCGATTATTCAAGGTTCATGAGGCGTTTCTTAACCATAGGACGTGCTTCTTGGCAGAGGATGAATGGAAAAGAGTGATACGAGAGGCAATTGGCGGTGGCAAATCCAACTCAACGGACGATAAGAATGCCGTGCTCTCTCTATGGACGCATCTTATAGACGGGCCGAATCTCTTCAAGAAGATTACCGAAATGGTACTAACTCCAGAGGCAGTTCCCGCCAGCGATATTCAAGAAGCTGTAGAAGGCCTCATGGACGATTTGCAGGAATTACACGAATGGCTAGGCATGAAGTACGACATTCACAATACCAATTATCCACCACAAAGTACAACCAGCAATTTCTATGCGTGGCATATGAATTTCCGACAATCCATCATCAACCTACAACAACAGAGGAACGCTAGCTGGCCAATCCTGCAAGGAGCATGCATAACATCCTGGCTCACGAGAGTACGCCTTCTCACGGCATTGGCACCCGCTCGGTTCCACGATCTGGAGATGGTGAGCCAAAAGTTCGCTTGGGACATCAAGAGCTGGAGGACGAATTCGTCGTCTCTTGTGAACGCCGGCTTGCTGGGCGGCTTGTTCATGTGGCAGACTGTGTGCGTGGGAAAGGTGAATTGTAAAACGAATGCGGTGTGGACTGATGGATGGTCTTCGGGATGGTATGGGCGAGATAGAAAACATGGAGGGATGATTGAGAAGGAGAAATTTATGGCGTGGTGTGATACGATTGGGATAGATGTTGGATGATAGAGTGGAAGTGAGGTGTCCTGAAATTGGGCTTGTTATAAGAAAGCATTTGCATCAGTTTATACATGAACGCAATAGAAAGAGATAAAGACATTAAGTTTGATATATGGAGAATTTGAAGACCAGTATTATCATAACATTATAACTTGGGCTGATATTTCACTTTATATACGTCTTTTTCTTAGTCAAGAAAATGTCATGGAAGTGACACTGTAACAACGGAGGGAACTTCTAAGTGGCCTTTACAACTGCGTATAAATCTAAACGACGGCAGACTGGGAAGCATAAAAGAGAGACCATTTTGGTAAACCAAACCAAAATCGAGCCATATAAGTACACTGTATGAATCTCAAATCCCACTTGTAAGATATCAAACATCTAAACTCATGTACAACATAAAGCTTCAATCAAGCAACTGACATACAGGAACCAAGCCAGTAGCGGAAATAATTCGGGGTTGCTTATGAATGATTGACAATGGTCAACTATGGAGTAATAAACTCAGCCTCGGGATATTCTAATTCAAATCACAGCTACGGTGAGCTCAATGAGCTTAACAAAATAGTGTCTTAGGATTAGTGATGGCCTCACCAAGTTTAGTAATCCAGTGCAGGATTACAAAATAGCTTATTCGTCAAAACTTTTGACGAACCTGTTCTGGTAATTCTTAAGATTGGAAGCCGGATGAATGAAATGTGCATATTCTCTATTTTACATATTCGCTAATTGTACTACCAGAAATACAGAGAATAACATAAACTTAAATTGCGTGATCGTTCAAGATGTGAAGGCATATCCGCCTAGCCTGGCGTACATATATCTAAAATCCATGCCTGGATTCTTCTCCAACATATCAGCAGTCATCGACGCCGACCGTATATCCCCAGATGCCGCCATGTATCTCAGCGTACGAATCGCCCAGGCGCGCAGTTCAGGGTTTCTCGATGCACTGCCGGCTATAAACAGTGCTGGAAGGAGGATGCCGCATTTCAGTGTCTGAATGCTGGAGAAAGGAACGCTGTTATTCGGGCGGGCGGCGGGGAGGATAAACGGGGGTACTGCGGCACAAACATCCTCGGCGAAGCGCTCCGTACGACTCCATGATTCTGCAAGTGTGTTGCTCACTTCATCAGACCCGTCATCCTCCAAATGGGTTTGAATATACGATTGGAGCTGAAGCTGCATTATTCGAACAGTGTTGCGCACTTGCGCTGTGAAATGGTCCCTGTAAACATGATAATAATCTCTGAAGATGAGAGCTCGATAGGCGGGGTCCTCCTCCGAAGCCATCACTTTCCTAGGCTGCCATCTCTGGGATACGGTATCCTCAATTTCACGATACGCATCGTGGAGGTCCTTTGCCGTTGCAACAATCTCGCCATCAGATAATTTCCCCTCGGCGACGTCAATTCGAAAATTGATCATCCGTTGGTTCATCTTGGAAAGGCGCCACTTGGCGTCATCCTTGTCGTGATATATGTCGAGCCTTCGCCCTAGTTCCGCCACACCTTCCGGGATCCGGTGAGAAGCAATGTAGCAGCTGATGAGGAGGGTTATAAAGAGTTTGTTGGCCAATGTTCTGCTGATTTCGCTTCTTATCATGTCATTGTAGCCGCGGGCCTGGATTAGCGCTAGAGCCCCATTGAGATGGGCCAACCAAGGCGCCGCCGCCCTGAGGTCACGACCCATGATCTTCTCGTAGAGGTCGAGGAGCAGCACCGACTGCAGCGTGGAATCGGCGCTCGAGAGTTCTGGATTAGAGAGAGCCGCATTGACTCGCCGTAGAGCAATCATGTATTGCTGAGCTGCTAGTCGGAACAGCTCCCTTGATTCTACCGGGTTCTTATTGGCCGCAAAGGCGAGACTGGCTGCGTCTACACTAGCTGACAAGTGGTCATCCGCTTTTGCCTTTTCGTACAGGGAAGGTAGGATATTATAGCTGCTAGATAAGCCAAACACATAGTGAGCAAAGAAGTCGTGGCGGGCGCGCACATTCCACGGCGTCTGCGGCTGCGGAATCAGGCTGCTGCTGGTGTTGGGCAAGATGACATGATTTAGGGTGCCAAACTCCAGAGGCGCCGTCGTTGCCTTGGAAGCCAGCATCTTGCGCTCAACGCTGCGCGTCTGGTCACGGAAGATGAGCTCGTTTGGGTCTCGGTATCCAAAGCACGAGATGTTGGCCCGCAGACACTGGCCACATCCATCCTTGCGCAGGTCGCACTAGAAACCCCCATTTCCGCGTTAGCCAGGAGAACCTCATGTGACTGATGATGGTGTACAGGCGGGATCCGTACTTTGAGCTTACGCTTCCTACACGGCAGACAATCTTTGGAGGGTCCCCGATAGACCATTTCGTCAAGTTCCGGTGTCTAGTTTGATGTATGAATGGCAAGGGGAGTGAAGAGGTACCGGTACAACACCAGACCCCTGTTCTGTTGCGCGCTGACGGATGACAAACAGAGCTGGCACTAGGAGACGATCAGGGCGCTAAACAGCGATTGCACGCACTCCATACAGTCGACGGCCTTGTCGAAAGATGAAGATTCATTGTGCAATGTCCAGCCTGGGCGTCTGCGGAAGTTGGTTGCATCTCGGAGCTAAAAGTCGCGAGTCGGTTCGCCTTCTACGTAACAGCGGGCGCTAGGCCTACAAGGGCTAGCGTTCCGGAGTTTTAGATCGGTGGATCCCGTACCTGCCCCCTTCCAGAACGATGCACGTATTTGGCATGCCGAGATTCGTTCCTCAGGCATTGAGATCGGGGTTATGAAGAGGGCGAACCGACTTTATCTCTCTTCCAAGTTACATTTGACTTAATTGCTGCATAGCAGATCGAGCCGCCGGGGATAAAGCCAAGTCAAACCGCGAGCCCAATGCCTATTTGGGGCATGATCTCTAAGCTTCAACGGCCGCGGTTGGTGTGCTGAAAGACAGGGTATCCACCGCTCCGTTTCGGCCCTGCAAGCCATTAAAGCAGCCAGTGAGCGAGTTGACGATGACTTCAAACAAGTTACAGCTCGGAGAGATTAAGTCCGGCACTGATATTTCCACCTGGTCGCTAACTCCGGGCGTCGCAATGTTTATAAGATGTCGCTTGAACCGGGTCTGTCGCAATGGCTAGAATAGACTCGACCCAACTTCATAATTACATCGAAAAACAGACACAAAAATGGTGTTTCAGTATAAGCGTGTTCTCCTTGTCGGCGCCACCGCTGGCATCGGCGCTGCCATGGCAGACAAGCTCATCGAAGAAGGATCCAAAGTCATTGCCGTTGGCCGTCGCCAGGAGCGGCTTGATGCCTTTGTGGCCAAGCACGGCGCGGAGCGTGCCAGTGCCATCCGGTTTGATGTCACCGACAGGGCTGGTCTCGACGCTTTTGTCAACAAGTAAGCATGATATACGCCGTAATCTTGTTGCGTTCACGAGTCAAGGCTGATCAGTGACTGGAATTCAGGGTTGTCCAGACGTACCCCGACTTGGACTGTGTCTTCCTCAACTCGGGCACCCAGACCCAAGCCAAACTTACTCGCCCACAAGAAATCGATCTTGAAGCTTTCCACCATGAGTTCAATGTCAACTACACGTCAGTCGTGAACCTCACCATCAAGTTTCTGCCTCATCTCCAGAAGAAGGATTACCCCACCAGCATCATCGTCACAGGGTCCATCTTGGGCCTGATTCCCGCCTTTGTGATGCCAGCGTATAGTGCCTCTAAGGCTGCGCTCCGAGCCTTTTTCGATTGCCTTAGACGACAGAACCAAGGCTTCTCAAAGGTCAAGTTTATTGAGCTGTTGCCTCCAGCTGTACAAAGTAAGCGTTCTACTTCTCCGGATTCCGGCGAGGGCACTTGTCAGTGATCAAAACTGACGTATTTAATAGCTGAACTGCATGATTACATGGGCATTGAGCGTGGCCGTGCTCTGGGCATGCCTCTCGACCAGTTCACTGAGCAAGCATACGCCCAGCTTGCGACAGATAAGGAGATAATCATCATCGGAAACCTTCATGGCTCTACCGTGGAAGCTACGCAGGAGTTTTTGGAGAAGAGGGGCGGCATGTTCAATGCCATTTCCGACGCCATGGCAGTTCATTTCCAGCCCTAAAATGAGGGACCTTGGACAGTTATATAGATCTTTCGAGCAAGCGAACAACTAACAAACGGAATTTTGTTTTGCGATGCCTCACATGTCCATTTAGTGTTTTGTACGGCTGTGCTGTGATGTCCCATTTCCAGGCTGGATGAGTATTCAATCCGCCACACCTCTTCCCTGACGTTGCCATAGGTAAGCGATATATATGATTGATATTGTAAGCCCAGCCTGTTCTAAACCAAAAGTTTGATGGCCGGAAACTGTGGGGCATCGGCGTGGGTGGAGCCCCGAGACCCCGGAGCTGTCATCGGGCTATCCATCTCCAACTTTCTGCTATGAGGTATTGAATACCAATGGAATGATGGACACTTACAGACCTCGGAGTGGTCCATCCATAGCCCTATCTAACCCTCGTTCGATTTATCCGCGTCCAAGCTCCTATCAAAAAATCGGGCGATGGCGCAAACTTTAATGCCCTGTTCCGGACACAGAATCTCCTGATCCGCCCACCCAAGCACCGCCGACGTCACCTAAACGTCGTCGGAGGCTACAAAACTAGTGGGAAAGAATTCCATTTCGAAGTCTCGAGATTCTATTTGAATTCAAGAATCTTGAAAGACTTGATACCAAGAATTGCAAACGGCCTTCTTGCTCATTTACCAGCAATCGATCCAAGCACACCACCGCTTAGAAAATGCTCTCTTACATCCACACCATGACCCCCCCTACAAAAGTCTTCTTTCCCGCGTTTCAGCTACAAATCTGTGGGGAGCTCTTCGTGCCGGAGCCAGGGTCGCCGAATCGCATGGGTGCGGCGGTCGTCATAAGCCATCCGATGACAGGCGTCAAGGAGCAAACGCCGACGGACTACGCCAAGCTCCTCTCCAGGGCTGGCTTCTACACGCTCATCTTCGACGCCGGGTACCAAGGCGAGAGCAGCGGCGAGCCTCGCGGGCTGGAAGACCCCCGCCAGCGCGTGGAAGACATCAAGGCGGCGGTGAGCTACCTGACAACACTGAGCGGCCGAGTGGACGCCAACAAGATTGGGCTCCTGGGCATCTGCGCCTCCGGAGGATACGCCTCGTACGCGACACAATCAGACAGCCGCATCCAGTGCCTGGCGACGGTGAGCGCAGCCTGCGTAGGGCGCATGACACGCAACGGCGGCGTCCATCCGCACCACAGAGAGAACCCGCAGGCCATTGCCACGGCTCTCGAGGCCGCGGGCCAATGGCGGTCCCACGCTGCAAAGAACCCGACGTCCAAGCCCGCGGCGCCCGTCATGTTCGAGACGGACCCATCCAAGGTCGCCGAGGGCGCGGATTTCTTCTTCAGGGATGCAGCCGCGTACTACGGTACGAATCGCGGGAAACACGAACGATCTACCCAAAGAGTCCCGCCGCAGAGTTACGACCTCATGGTCAGCTACGACTCGTTCAATCTACAGCATCTGATAGCGCCACGGCCGCTATTGATGATTGCGGGATCAGAGGCGCAGACGCTTCATTACAGTCAGGCTGCCATTGACCAGGCCAGGCGGCCCAAGGAGCTGTTCGTGGTGCCGGGCAAGAACCACTTTGATCTATACGACGACCTGCGAGAGACGGGACCCAAGGTGGTGGACTTTTTCATCAGCGGCTTGGAGTGAAAGTTTAGAACAAAAGACAAGGAGAAAGAGAGAGAAAACGTACTTTGCACATTACGAGGCGTTCGCAAGCTGTGGTTTCTGGGTTAGGGATTTGGAATTTGGAATTTGATGTGTATAGTAATCAGGCGGGTTTACGCCGTGCTGGTGTCGAGGAGCTGGAGCCAGCATATCTTGCCGCGCAAATGTTGAGTAATCGGAACGGAGTCATGTCGTGCTAGCATGTTTTTGCCCAGCCGGCCTCGAACAACGAGTCCGTACAGCATGACGAAGATCTGCCATCCAAAGAGGTCGGAATCGTGTCATAACAGAGAAGCTCCGGGGCTTCCCGTTCCCTCGGGAGGCTCTATATCCGGCACGAGGCAATACCGACGAGGATGATTTAGAGATGGTGAATCAAGAATTGGTTGCGTTAATTTGTTCAGAGGAAGCTCATTATTCCACCAACCGAGTTTGAGCGTACATTTTATCAGCTCGTTGATTAGACGGGATACAAAAGAAACAATAGTCGGCCGAGGAAGCCCAGCGTTTGTGGCGCCCGCTTCCGGCCTAGTCGCCGGTGTATGATCTGCAGCCTTTTAATAGGTAGCTCGAGATGGCCATGCAAGCCAATCCTAATCCTAATCCTCCCGGGCAGTGATTTGTCTTGTCGTTCGCACGGCATTTCTGGGCCTGCTTCAGCTCGATTCACACGGAAAGGGGGCGGTCCACCAACGGCCTACAGTGGCCTAGCTGGAGGATTGCGGGAGTCGATATTACATGTAATCAAGCCGCCTATCCCACCCAGCATTTAGTCCAAACGCACCTTTTTTTCTCCTTTCTTTTCCTTCTCTCTTGTTGCTTTTCCCCCTTGCTTTCTTCTCTTTCTACTACCGTTTGCTATTTTACTCCAGTCCACCCTAGTCACGGCATTCGGTCCCCCCCCCCACGTTTGTTTGTTCCCTGCACGGCCCAACTGTAACGCAGCGTCTGACAGGTGACAAGTCGATGCACAGCATAACGTCAGTTTCCGCCTCCAATTCCTTAGTCAGCCGCTTCAGGTCCCAAATCGCCCTTCAAGCCACACTCTGATTTCCAATCGCGACACCAACAAAACATCGCCAAAGTCACTTTTTCTCCCGTGGCCCAGCATCGCCGTGGGCTCTCGTATCGTGCAGGTCGAGGCAAAGACCCGTCATCTCTCAGCTGCATGAGATGCCCCTGCGAATGCTCTCCCTGCTTCCATAGAGCAAACCACCAGACCGCGGGCGTAGCCTCCCTTGCATTCAACTGAGACAGCTCGATCGCTCCAATTGGCCCAAGTCCGAGATTTATGAGTCAGCTGCGTTGTTGGTGCTTGGTTAGGAGACTAGGTCGGGCCATTTAAAGAAATGCTGCCGTTCCCCTCTTCTTCTTCGTCGCCTCTTCGTCGTTCCATCTCGCCGTCTCAATCTCATCTACTTGAACCACCGATGGACTCAGACGAGGAGACGGACCCATTCTCCATTGTCTCGTCAGAAATCGAAGCCCAGATAATCCTCGGCTTCGGAACTGCCAGAAATGCACCTCCGGAGAGGGCAGTCGAGGCCGAAACGTTTGCCTACCATGCTCTAGTCAGCGAAGGAGGCCGTCCATCACATCCTTTGAGCCTCCTCAAAAGCATCGTCTCTGCGCCGGGCAAATACCGTGACATCTTAGCCTTCTGGCAAGACCAGTCAGACGAGTGGCAGGTCTTTGGCAAGCAGCTGACCAGATGGAGGATGTTCCTGTCTCACCAGAAATCATCTCGGCGCCCACCCCGATTCCCCAATCATCTCGAAGAACTCACTGAACGGCTGGAACGTCACAGTTTTGCGCTTCCTCCTGGGTTTGATAAGCCACCAAATGGGTTCTGCAGGCATATAGATCAGCAGAACAAGTTGGCAACCTGGATAGAATATATCAACTACGAATTTACCAGGCGCGACGAGTACGACAAATGGCTCGAGACGTGCCAGCCGGGCTATGATGCAGCTTTGGCTCAACTCATGGATGCACAGGTTCTGGGCCCATTCGAGCAGGTCAGGACGCCAACGAGTGACATTTGCCGCCCATCCAGCCTCGAAGTTACCAGGCGAAGGGACGAACGCCGCAGGGCTGAGGAGGAATGTGAGACGGCCAGGAACCGATTAAATTGGAACGATCCGCTTGGGGGGCCGCGAACTAGCCAGCAAATGGAACGAGAGCAACGCCTATACACAGAGGCCAGAGAACGGCTAAGAATGATTAACAAAAGAGGCTATATAATCGCAGACTTTGCTCGCAAGACACACGCCTATCGGTTTGCCCAAGAGAGATCAGAGCGTCACGAGCTGCTCTTGCGTTGGGCGCTGGATCAGATTCCCTTGATCGAGGAAGAGCTCAGGAAGGAGGACCAGCTGGCCTTGGCTGGCAATATTCGAGGCGTCTCCCCCATCTGCGACGGACCGCCGACGAAGCAGTCTTTTCCGCTTTTCCAACAACTTCCGCCCGAAATCCGACATCGCATCTGGGGCGAGCTGATCCCGAGGAGGCCAAGCGCGCACTTTTTCGACGTGTTGAATCACCAGCGCAGACGTCATCTGGCGCCGTCCTGGTCCACAGAGGAGTTTCGCGTGCGTGCCACCACTTCACGCAACTCTGGCTATCTATCCGTGTACACTCTCCTGGCGACCTGCCGAGAGTCGCGGCGTCTCATCGAGATATACTACATGTGTCGACATCGCGGCATAAAGTGTCCTCTATCAGGCGGCACCATCAATTTCAACGAGCAACCGCCGGATTTTCGGACATTTGACTGGATCCCGTTTGACGATTTAGTCATCTTGAACTTTCCACCTATCCAGGTCCCTCACCTCCCGGCAGGAAATGCCTTCACCCTGTCTCCTGGCCCGAACCAAGCCGCACGGAACATTGGCGTGTGTGTCCCGACGGAGATTATGAGCATGAACCACTTCAGTCCCACAGATGAAGGCGAGGGCGATGACGATGCTGCGCAAATCCCCCTGATTCCAGAGTTCATCAACAAGCTGCACAGACCCATTCACCCGGATCATGAAAACGGCGTCGTTCGCCGGGGGATCTGGAAGCTATACCTCATCGTCGAGGGGTGGGTTCCGAACCACACGACGATGCAGGTATCAGTGGGCATCGACACCAACACGTCCGTAGACAAATGGGCAGCCAACTACGTGTGCTGGCTCTCCCACTCCGCAAGGAAAGAGGAACGGACTCAGCTGTGGAAAAGCATAATGGGAGAAAACCTGGAAGACGACCAGCCCCCTGAAGACAGCAACGAGCGTCGGCTGTGGTGGCTAGGCTCGGGAGATTCCGCGCTGGCGTCCCTCTGCCCGAATGATTCCGTCCAAAAGTCCGCCGCGAGGAGGTTGCGTGAGTTCATGGAGACGCTTGCCGGAGCGTGTGACTTGCAGCCGTGGCACAAGGGCTTCAATGGCGTCGAGGCCCTGGGCTGGCTGGAGCCCGCGGGCATGGATGTGTTGGAGGCGAATCCGTGGGATGTAGTGGACATTATTCGGAACCGAGGCGGACGTCCGCCTGCTCAGTGGAAGGGCCGAGGGCAATTTTCCAACTGAGACGGCGAGTTGATGGGTTTGATTTGATAAAAGGGGGGAGAAGACAAGGCAAAAGATCTGATGATGATAATGAGCAGGAATACACACCATCTTGGAATTGCGATAAGTTTATCTATCCGAGCTGAAACTGAGATACCCCGGATACATTATACACCTATATTTCCTCTTTGTATATGTACTTTCTTTCGTAGCCTTTCCATGGCTCCTCTAGGATGCGGTTCATTTAGGCACTACAGGCATTATCACAGCGTGTGGAGTACAAACCCTGAATTTATTCATATCATTTGTCTATGTCTATCAGAATCTGTCACGGCCGCTGTTAAGCTCTGTCTCTTTTGTTTCTTCATCTCTTAGGATTCATTTGCGCAGAAGAAACTGAGGCTCTTTTGCGATGCTCTGTGTGACGCCTCGGCTTTTGGCAATCTCTTTCCGCAATATTGCCCTCTTGATGGGAGCCATCGCGGCAAGGGCAACCTCCTCTCTTCGTCAAAGGTCGATATTCACCGATACCGCACCTTCGATCTCAGCAATGTGAGCTATCGCCAAGAACGCCGACAAAGAAGAAAACGCGACGGGGTGGTGAAATGCTGTACTTGAGCTATCCTTGTCCCAATGCCCAGCACGTTGCAATCGGCCTTTGGACATTTTGGTTTTGTTTTGTCTGAAGCTGACGTGGGTGAGAGCCGAAAGGCCGTCGAACGGCATTTTCCGCCAGATAGGACAGAGTGCCGGGGAGAGTGGGTTCCCCGAGTTTTGCTCGGAGAATTGAATGCACCGGAGAAGAGTCGAGCACAGTATTCGATTGCGTTTGTGCTGCATCTTGAAGGGTTGCTCTGTTGTTTCATAGGCAGCTTCCGGTGCCTAGGTGCAATGTTGTGGTTTCCGAGACATGTGTTTGATAGCAATTCCCACCCAATTGATGAATCGCAGCCCGAGTGTCATGCATGTCTTCACCTCTCTTGAGCTATATCCCAAGCCAGGCTTCAATTCCAGTACGCTGTCATGTGGTTCAACCAGCGGGTGTTCGTAAAAGGGTATTCATCCGTCAATTATGCGTAAAAGTCGGTCAGGCCGCCGCGGGCTGCGGATTGTTGCCAACCGTCTTATAGAGGTCCCTCAGCTCAAACTCTTCGTGCGCACCGTCCGGCAGCTCTCCCACAACGCGGCCCGGCTGGCCAGCCACTATGGAAAAGCTCGGAATGACCATGTTGGCAGGGACAATCGTGCCGTCCAGGACCTTGACGTAGTCCTTGATTATGGCAAACTCGTTGACGACGCATCCATTCCCTATGGACACATGATTGCCGATGCTCGCCGCCTGCACCACGGTGCCCTGCCCGATGAAGACGTGGTCTCCGATCCTCAGCGGCATGTACGTGAAGACGCCCTTGTAGATGCGCCCGGGCGGCCGCAGCAGCACGGCGCGCGAGAGGAAGCAGTAGCGGCCGATGGCGACGGCGGTGGTGTTTTGGGGGGTGGTTCCGCCGGACGAGGGCGGGGGCGCGGCGGTGCGGACGAGGTCGCCTCGAATCATGACTTCGGGCTGGATGACGGTCTTTCCGCCGAGCATGATGTTTTGAGTGCCGACGAGGACGGCCTTGCGGGCGACCTTGTTGCCGGTGTCCTGGATGATGATGATGATGCCACGTTAGTAGGCGAGGCTTTCTTCTTCTTCTTCTTCTGGCCAAGATGCAGTTTTGACTATGGCTATGAAAAGATGAGAGAGTTTGCTTACCGTTTCGATATAGTCTCCTTTTGCTGGACGGCGCGACATGCTGGGCGTTGTTGGGCAGAGGTTGGTGTTTGATGCTAAGCTGGTTGAAGTTGCAGATCACGAATCAATGCTCTTGGGCACGGCTGTGGTGGGGGAGCGGTTTTGTAGCTTGAGCTATGGCCACCTCCCACCTGTGACAACTTGCAGCTACACTTGCAGCTACACTTACAGCTACTTACACTTACAGCTACACTTACAGCTACACTTACAGCACACACCTACACCTACATCTACAGGCAGCCTAACTAGAAATCCATGCGAATGCGACTCTTGATCTCGATTGATGGCATTCGCAACGCGTGGCCACGGGGTATGGCAGTGGAGATTCATCCACTCGCATCATGTCCAACGCCGTCCACTGGAGGTAATTTATCAAATGTTCATGCACGCACACGGACAAAGAGGATTCTCGTCAGGTGCTGAGCTGCATAACGCCTTAGACCGAATCCCGCCAAATCCTCCAAGCACGGAACTCGTCCCCGCCATCACTTTTTAGCCCTCGGGCTCAACCACCCAATCCAGCGTCAACAGCTCCCCTGTCAACTCGTCTTAGCTGTCGACTTAGTCTGGCATCCAGGCCCTATTTCTGCCTCTGGCTTGTCTTACTTTGGCCTGGCCCGGATGGAGATGGTTTCCGCTTTCGCGTGCTGTGGGCGAGGCTATGGCTCGATTCATGGTTGAATATGCGAAGACCTGCATCCTCCCCCGGGCTGCCTCTCGTCTCGTCGATTTTTAGCTGCAAGGGCGTCGGGATGCCCCCAGTGAATGAAACAACTATTAATATATACTTCCGCTGGATCGTCATAGACTTCGCACGAGTTTAGTTTCTTTCGGTGTTTTCGTTGCTCCGGCTTCTCTCTCTTTTCGCTGTTTTAATATCCTCACGGTCGCGATGAAGAAAGGCATTTCTTGACGCAAACACAGTATTGCGGCAATACTCGGTACATGATCGCCGCGGCCATGCGACTTGGACCATTTCTTGCAATTCGCTCTCTAGAAAATGCTGCAACTCCAACCACGGAATTTCCCCAGCAGACGTCTCATCCAGTATCAGAGGCCGCAACTCGAACAGCGGTAGAGCGAGACCATTCGTATGCGCCGGATCCTACGTGTACTACTACTACACAGACATATCCGCTGCCCAGCCAAAGCAATAACACCCAGACAAACAGCGCCCAGACCGGAAACGATGGCCTTGACGCAACCAAGATAGGTCTGATATCCGGCATCACCTTGGGGATACTGGTGGTGATAGTGGCCATAGGGCTCTTGATATATAGCTTCAGCGGCCGAAACCCGAAAGAAGAAGCAGACGAGGATGCGGACATCAGGAGCTGCCAGGTAGAGCCAGGTACACCTCATGGTCCAGCGCCAGACTTTCCCACTCAACAGATGTACCAAACTGGCAGACACCGATATGCGCCTCTACCAAACAACCGGAACTCTACGTACTCGGACATCTCCATCTTGCCGGCAATTCCTGAAAGAGCCCCTGCTATGCTTGACCGGTGGGGAAGGGCGGATTACAGCTTGCAGCCTTTGATGGATACTGCCGAGTTGGAGGATGGATATACTTGGAACAGATACCCCAGGATGTCGGAACTGAATCCGACGCCGTCCACATACCGAAAGTCGGTGCATTCACGACCAGCCGAAATGGACAATAATAACCATGCCGGAAACCCAAAACCCGTGCATTTGATACCCCGAAAGCAAGTTGGAAGTCCTGTTAAGCTGCCACGGTCGAATGCATAGTGGGAATTGCTATGAGCTAGGTGCTTAACATGGCACAAATTCAGATTTCATGGCTACATGGTTATGGAGGGCTATTCAGAATCACAGATTACATGTAATAAGGAGCTATTGAGATGACCCAACGACTTACACGCCTGATATCAGGTGTGGCATTATGAGATACGAGGAGATGGACATATGAGCAGGAATCATTATCAGTTTATATTGCTACCAGGTCATAGCAAAGCCGCGAATATATATAAAACACAGTCGAGTTTGCTCGCGTGTACATGTACGACGCAAAATAAAATAAAAAAAACTGTAGTCTCTCATTAAACCCAAGCAGGCGAATCAGGCATGAAACTAATGAGACAGATGTGAATCCATAGCCAACCACGTCCATCTCAATTAGACAGATGAATGATGCTGAAGCTAGACGAAGCGAGCCATCAAGCAAACCACCAGTACCTCGACACTAACCCGTTTCTCTCCAATATGCATGTAGTCCATTGTTCAATACATGCACAGACGATCTACCGCATCCTTCGATGCGTGTCAGTGCTTGTACTACTAGATTCAAATACTGTTAGTGCAACCAGCGCGTTGGATGGATCGAGGAGACAGCTTGGTCCCGGTTAGCCCAAAGCAATGGCCAACCTGAATCCTTCGCCAACCAACACAAATGTGTTTTTTTTTTAACGATCCAACAGAAATTTCACGCTGTTTATAAGGCTCAACCATTTATAGCAGAAGAGTGTCCAGCCCAAGGAGCGGCTAAGCAGGTGACGCAACCGCCGGAGGTTTCAACTTCCGAGCAGCGCTTGTTCAAGGCAGACTATTGATATCATTCGCAACCAACGCTTTGGCCTTTTTGCGGGCCAACACCCGAGCCAGTGTGTCATAGCGAGAGTCAAAACTTAGTACAAATCATGGTTGCAAAGGATATGCGACCAAAGGATGACCAAATTCAAGCATTAGCAAGCAAAGACGAAGTAAGGTGGCGGATGCGCAGGATCAAGGATCAAAACCCCCATTACACTGCCTACCTAAATTACAAAGCCTCATCCCAGCACTCGCCAGGATCAATGACAAAACACCCTTCATCACCGCTTTTGTTTATTCAAGCAGATTTGGAAACAGAGCATTTCGAATCAACCGTACAGGCAAGTCAAGCAAGCAACTCCTCTTGGCGAACTGGAATCAAGGTTGCACGGTCCTCATTAGCTAATAAACCTCGCGATTTCTTTTTTTTTTTTTTTTTTGAGCCCGGCGCTGTTCGTTAACCTGACGGCTGACAGGTGGAGAAGCGCTTTCTAAACCGGCGCCGAGGCCCATATTTTGATGTCGTGGAGCAGCTCTAAAAATAGAACGGCCATGTGGGCATGGCCAAAAGGACCGGTTCACAGAGAGGAGAGTGAATAGTCTTGATGAGGCAAGTGGTTGGTCCAAGGAGTTGCGAGACAGGGACTGAATGGATCTTGTGGTACCGCTACATTGTGGTGATTTGTATTGAGTCGATTAGGAGGTTCGAGTTCTGTGCTTGCGTTACCGGGACACAAAGCAGGTGAGAAGCAAGTAAAGGAGATTAAATCCGCGTACAAAGCAGATTCACGGCGTCAAGTAGGCGTATTACAGTACATGCAGCGAATGACAAATTCATGCCGATCCGGGATTTAAAAAAAAAAAAAAAAGAGGCGTCGTCTATCTTCCGAACCATCAATACGGAACGTGTTCATGTACTCGTCGTCATTAGCATAAACACAGCAATCAACTAAGAAAGAGAAGAGAGAAAAAAAGAAGCAAGGCAAAAGAACCAACCCAGAAAAGTTCAGCTCGGCGCCCATGTGGCGGTGCCGCGGGTATCAAAACTTTCCGCTCCAATGTCACCCGCGCCATGGCGTTTTTCTTTTTGGAATCCCCCAAGCCAGCCTTGCGCCTTTGAGCCTAGGGTCGTGAACATGGTCCTGGCATCCATGCTAAGCCTTGCAGCTCAGCAGAAAAAAACAGCGCGAGCAGGGATTCGATGTTGTTTTGTTCTCCCCATGGATGTATGTTTGTTTGTTTCTTGGCGTACAGTATTCCAGTCCAAGATTCCATTCGAGGCAGGCTGTGGAAGCGAATGACAAAGGAAGGTAACAAGGGAACAAAAGGATTATCTTGCTTCTTTCAGCCAAAACCGACGAAACAAACAAACTAGCTGAAGCCAGTCAGCATCTTATTCTCGACGGAGGGCTTCCATTGTTGTTTGCGTGGCCGGAGAAGAACGTCCCGGAGTGCTGGATGACCACCTCCCATGACGGCTATGCCACGAAACAAGCAATGAATGACACAGCTGCAACGGGCGAATCGTGTCATCAATCCAATCCATTGTCCGTAAGTCTGCAATACAGCAAGGAAAGCGTAGCGTAGCATGGCGTAGCAACAAAGACACACTCCATCGTTGCCGCCCGCCAAGAATCTTGGTTCATCAAATCCACCGTCGAGTCAAACACCGCAAATCGTCCAAGAAGCGCCCCGTCCCTCGGCTCACCAAAGCAACACCAGCGGTCGTACGACAACCACCGGCTGCACGAACCCGCATCTGGCCTCATCGCAATCTTCAGTGGGCGCCTCAAGACATTTGGTTCCGAGTGGGATTGCAGCTAGGAGGGAGGGGGTCTGTTGATCCGGATGCAACCAGCCGAAAAGGAAAAAAAAACAAAGAGCGAGAGTAAACCGAGATGCTACTGTACTGGACCTAGGAAAAACCACACCCCAGTCCCAGCCACACAGATCCCCTGGTTCTTACTTGCATGAGGCGGCACACACACAAAGAGGGGACTGGGACTTGGGGATTCCGATTTCCCGGCCACGGTGGACTTTCGTACGTACAGAATCTCATCTCAGCCCAACGTCTCAGTTGGCGAATGTCTTGAACGGAGGCCCGTCGAAACTCGCCTCTCCATCAACCTCATGACAAACCCAAGACAACTCACTTGATAACAGAAACACAACAGCTACTGTTATCATTGTCAAACCCATTCACCACAATAGAAAAAATAAAAATAAATCCCGGATCTCGCAAAGTTCCGGGACCACAAATCGCCAAAATACACAAACCGGCCCGCACTACTGCAGCCCGCCGCTCTAAGCGCCCAAGCGGAGAAGAGCAACCTGACCCAACATTGAACCCTGGGGGCCATGCTGCACTCGACCACACCCATTCCGAAGGACCCCTAGCCTGGGATTTCTATTTCCATTTTCTCTTTGCTGCCTTTTTTAGCCTCTGGTGTGCATTGAGCTAGCTTTGCTTCTGCTTATAACTATCCCGAGCTTCCCCCAGCTCTTTGGGGGTGAGATTCTGGATAACATCTTCTCTCACTCACTCACTCACTCTCTCTCTCCTCCTTCAAATCAAATCGACAACAACGTCATCAGCAAAGATGCTCGGCAAATCTCTCCTCTTCCTCGCCTCGGCCGCTCTGGCCCTCGGCTCACCCGTCGAAAGGACCATCTCCTGCCGAGCTCCCATGCCCGACCCTTCTCTACCCTTGACCGGCGGTGGTAAGTAGTAACCCAGTTCCAATTCCACTTACACACATACACACATTGATAAATTACGCAAAACTAACATTCTTCTCCCCCCCTCCAGCCGCCGAACTGCCTCCTCCCCCCGCCGGCCTCGAGCTCAAAGTCATCGCCCTCGGCCTCGGCATCCAAAACTACTCGTGCGCCTCCGTCGGCGCCGACGCCGTCTCGACCGGCGCCCTCGCCATGTTCTACGACATCAGCCTGCTCTACCCCGAGTCCGGCCCCAAGTCGCTCACCATCGAAAAGTTCAACCAGCTCCCGGCCTTTGCCCTCAACCACCACGCCATCCCCCTCCACTTCAACGACTCCACCGTCGGCCGCGTCGACGTCTCTTCCCCGGGAGCTTCCCTCAAGCGGCCCTTCACCCGCGCCGCCGCCCTCGACCTCGGCGAAGAGTACGGCAAGCTGCCCTTCCTCGGCCACCACTTCTTCAACACCGACGGCGCCCCGACCTTCATCCTGCGCCGCGGCAGCTTCAACGTCGTCGCCGCCAAGAAGGCCTCCGTCCCGGCTCCCGGCAGCGCCGACCCGGGCCCCATGGGCACCGGCTCCGTCGCCTGGCTCGCTCTCGACGCCGCCAACTCAAAGGGCGCGACGTTCGTCTACCGCGTCGAGACTGCCGGCGGAAACTCTCACGGCTGCTCCAGGGCTGCTGGCCAGGACAGCACGAGCTACGCTGCTCAGTACTGGTTCTACGGTCCCAAGTCCTAAGCCAGTGATTTTAGAAACTACGGGCTCTTTTTTTTTTCTCTTTCTTCTTTCGTTTTTTTTTCAAGTATTAATTTCTTTTATTCTCCTTGGCTTCGACTTTCTCTTGCTTCAAAAGACTTTTTTTTAGACGAGGGAGTTGGGGAAAGGGTTTACAAAGACTTTTTTTTTTTTCGTTTTCTTTTCTCTCGGTTTCAAAGATACAGGTTTCTCATGGGCAAACAGGAAATGACAATTGGGTACCAATACGAAATTTTCTAGGCAGGCAGGCAGGCAAATGTACATCTTTTTCGGTTATTTCCCCCCCATTATTCCCCTTACTTCATTTGCATAGTTCAGGTTGTTCAGGAGTTTCCAAATCGCATAGACAGAATTACTCATGGGGGGGCAGGATATTATTGACTCGCCTTACCAAATACATTACTTCGTTCAAAAAGAACACCTCAAAGAAAACAGATCGAGAAGGGATCTGAGTGCTCCAAAAATACACGGCATTGCATAATCGGTGAATAAACGACTAATAACCCACCACCACTCTGATGATTCGCTGATTCGTAACCATGTGCTCGTCCCCCCCACGGTTGTCGCTTTAAAATCTCACAAGCCCTTTTCCATGTACTACTACGGAATACCAATCTCGCTCAGGGCGAGCTTAGTTCTTACGCGATATCTTAAAATGCCCTTTTTTTCTTCTTCCCACACTAGACGGCTTGATTGACTTTACCAGTTCGCGATTAGGTTTACCGGAAGATTGGAGGATGCGTTTGCAATTCAACAAGGCGTTTCGGCTACGTGCAGCTGCGACAGCCCCCAAGTCAGCCTTGTTCGTCGAACCGACGTCTCACCAGAAAACAAGAGCAAGCAGCGTACAAGACACTTCATCATTCAGAAAATTATACTAGTATGCGCCATGTAGAGTGTACTCGTTATGTATACAGCATTCGTCGATTGTAATAATTGTGCCTCGTTCCAACGCGCGCATTCTCGCTTCACTAATGCCCATATCCAGCGTCAAGAAATACCTGGTAGTCTTCCTAATGTAATAAACTCCTTTTTGTTTAGCATAATTCTTCCTTCTCTTTGCTCTTCCGTGTCGTGATGAGGGAATGTGCAGCATTCAGTGTGGACTTTTCCATCCAAGTTCGCCTCCAATATAAATTGCACAAGGAGCGCAAACAGAAGATCGTTTCAACCCGCTTCTTTTGCGCTCTACACGCGGATTTACCTCCGAATGTCCATGCCCGCCTGCAGATCCTGCTCGAGTCCGTTGGGGTGTCCCATATATTCCTGTGGCCGCGGGTCCTCGGCAGTCCATTGACCACCAGCTGACGGCATTGGAACCTGCATCTGCTGGGCCGCACCCTGGTTGCCGGATGCAGGAGCGGTGCGGACCAGCTGTCGGAAGCGCAGCACCTCGTCCAGAATCATCTTTCGCATCTCGCCCACGTCCTCGACGACTTCAAAGTCAAAGTTGAACGTTGTAGGGCAGTCGGGCTCATCGGAAGCATCATGCCAGATGTGGAGATATGGGTGCTCAAGCGCCTGCTCAACGCTGATACGCTGTGACGGGTCAAAGGCGAGCATCTTGTCGAGGAGGTCGAGGGCGTCGGGGTTGGCGTCGGGGAAGAGAGCGGGGAAAGGCTTCTTTGGCATGAATGGCAGGTTGCGGACGTATTCTTGGGCACGGGGGGATCCTATGCGGCGGAGCGTCTCTTCATTGGGAGTTCCGAGAATGTGCAGGATCTGGTTCAGCTGGTCGACGTAGTCTCGACCCTTGAAGAACGGCCGGCCACCCAGGAGCTCGGCAAGAATGCAGCCGACAGACCAAACGTCAACTATCATGCGTGTTAGAGTTGATGGATTTCCAAATAATTGGGGGGTAGGTCTTCAAATCTCTTGCAATTGGCAACGTACTAGCTTTGGTGTAGCTCTGGAAGCTTAGCATGATCTCGGGCGCACGGTACCATCTCGTGGCAACGTACTCGGTCATGTATCCGGCGTTCTCCTCGGGGTCGACAGAGAAGCCACGGGCAAGACCGAAATCGCAAATCTTCAACTCGCAGTCGGCGTTGACAAGCAAGTTGCCGGGCTTCAGATCTCGGTGGAGGACGTTGGCCGAGTGGATATACTTGAGACCGCACAGGATCTGATAAATAAAAGACTGGAAGTGGGCATCGGTCAAAGGCTGGCCGGAACGGATGATGGCCGCCAAGTCGCACTCCATCAGCTCTGCGGACAACCGTTAGCATCGTCATGCTTTCTCTAGTTGTGTCGCCCCCCATCCTGCTGGGCAACAGCGCTGCGCGCGCCAGCGTCGGTAATACTGACCTTCATACAAGTACGTCTCGTTGAAGTTATCGGGTCTCGGAATGTCCATATCATAGAGACATGTGATCTGGAGGTTTCCATCGACGTTAGTCTTGATCAACATGGCTCGTCGTGTCGGGGGCTGTCACTCACGTTGCGATGGCCGCGGAAGTGCTGCAGCAGCTTGATCTCACGCAGGGCGCGCTTGGCGAGAATCTTCTTACTAAAGACATTGGTGACCTTCTTGATGGCCACGCCCTCGTTCGTCTGGTTGTTGACCGCGGCGCTGTTGTGCGTGCCCCGATTCGGAGCTGGTCGTTAGCAAGCCGAAGCTTTTGATGGCATCGTGGCGGCGGGGGGTTTCGCGAAGTGGCAGAACAAGCGGGGTGTGGTGATATGGCCATGGCCATAGTATGACTCGGGCAGCGCTAGAAACTCACCAGACAATGCCGTAGGCTCCCTGGCCAAGCTCCTTGGTGACGGTGTATCGCTCGTCAACCACAAAGTCCTGGTTGAAGACCTTGAATACCTTTCGTCCTTGGAGATCCGCCATGGCTGCGCTTTGTTGTAGTAGTTGCGTGAAGTGGCCTTGGATTTCTCAAAGTGGGTGTGGGGGAGAGAGGGGTTTATGTGCTGAGCCGCTGTGGGCTCGGAGCTTGTAGGGGGGTGACAGCGCTGTCGACTGCTAGCGAGCTCGCTGGCGCGGCGCAACAAAGAAAAAAAAACGTGAAGCTGGACGGCTGGACGATAGACAAGGGACAAGGTGTGATACTGTTGGTCGCACAGGACGGGGGGGAGTCGTGCTGGACCTGGAATAGATGGGTTCAGAAGAAGAGAAAATCAAGAGAGGAGGGTAGGAAGAAGAAGAAAAGGAAAAAGGAAAAAGAGGGCAAGTAATAGTCGAGGAGAAGAGCGAGTTGCGGCGTGATCAGGGAGACGCGGCCACCACAAAACCGCTGAATATACTCTCCCAAACAGGACGGGCCGTGGTTGGCTGCTCCGTACAACAGACGACGGTTGATCCATCAGCTCTGCGCCGCTAACGGTGTGTGGATACGGACGAGAACCAACAAGCTCGATTCTCTTTGGCCTCCGCAGCTGGGCTGAGCAACCGGGAGCGTAGCCAATCGCGGTTTACCCCAAGATGTGATGGGCTTTAGCCGCGCGCATTGCGGCCGAGAGAAAAGACTTGTGGTGCGACTGCGTGTCAGTTTCGTGTATCAGTTTGAGCCCCTTTCCCTTGGCATTTTCATCTTCTGTTCTCTCCATCAAGTGTTCCATGTCCTGTACTCCGTACTGTAGTGTCAATATAGAGTCTCGGCTGCTGCCATTGTTGGTGGAGGACTGGAGCTTGTGTCACATGTTTTTGGTGGATAGATTCTTGGTCTAGAGAACGCCAGCCCTGTCATTAGGCGGCTCGCTTTTGGTAAGCTGCAATTGGCCAAAGGCAGAGCCGCGGTCCAATCTGATGTGACATTCTGCCATGACAAGGTGAAGGAGCTTGGAAATCTACAGCACTTTGTACCTATTCAATGGATCTGTGGCATCAATTCTCATCAACATTATCTCGTCAGACAAGGCGGCTCATGGCATCAGCAGTCTAAAAGCACTAACAGCTGATTTCTTCAGGCTCTCGTGGTGGCGCAGAGTGGGCCGAGACAACATGAAGACAAGCGGCAGCGGCGGCCAGTCAATCCATCAGTCTCTAAGAACATTTGGAGCATGTCAATGCCGAGTATCGAATAAGTCCAAAGTGCAGAGCTGCAGCATATCAACGTCGTCCGTCCCAGAGTTTCTCACTTTATGCATGCAACAAAGTGCCTTGGGCACATACAAGAGTCTGTCTGCATTGCCCTTGTCCTTGTCAGCGACCATTCCAGCGACTGCAGCCACTCCCGAGACCCGCATCCCAGACCGGCACATCTCTATCGCATCACCCTGTCACCCAGACAAGGGCTAATCGCTGCTTGTTCCTATAAATAAGCCCATCATCAGCCCTGAAGAGATGAGCTGAACTGGCAACGGGGGGGCGAGCAGTGCTCTGTGCTCTGTACGAGCATACTGTATATACGGAGTACTCCGTAATATAGTATCCCGTTCCACGGATATCGGGCGGAAAGGAGGCAAGTCAAATCTCAGCTCAGGCACAAGGGTAATACTCGGTAATTTAACCCACCGCTCGCCAGCGCCTTTCAGCCAGTCATGTGGGGTGTCGTTATGCCATATTCCATGCACGGAGTCCATGGTTTGTATTATTAAGAGTCGAGAGGCCCAATTTGAGGCCGACTTCAATCTTCAACCTTCCTTTTACACATCCTCTCGTGCCACAAGCCCCCCTTTCTTTCTTTTGTCTTTTGTGTGTGTTCCTCCTGCATTCGACTTGTTTGTGTACGATCCCGAGAATCAACGACCAGGAAAAAAACAAATCAAAGAACAGCCCGCAAATGTTTCCCGTACGGCCGAACCGGACAGCGTCTTTTGCCGCTCAGCAGCAAAATAAGAGACACAGCAGCATGCCCAGCATGACCAGATTGCCCGGCCAGCCCGTTTCCGTCCTGTTTGTGTGTCTGGGCAACATTTGCCGCTCGACAATGGCGGAGGGCATCTTCCGAGACTTGGCAAAGCAGCCCCAGTTCAAGGACAAGATTGGCGACATTGATTCCTGCGGAACGGGTTAGTAGCAGCAGTGGCCGCCAACGCACAAGTGGCAGAGAGATGTTGGGCAAGATGCTAACCACGAGGCAACGTCCGTGTAGCTGCGTATCATGCCGGCGACCCGCCCGACTCCCGAACAATGGAGACGCTAGAGAGCCACGAGATTTTCGACTACGACCACGATGCGCGCCGCGTAAGTTTGGGCCTCTCTCGACCTCGAGCTCCTTGAATCATAGACTTGGAGCTATGCAGAGGCACAGGCTAACAAATCATTTGTATCCAGATTACGAGGAGCGACTTTGATAGGTTCGACTACATCTTCGCCATGGACCTCTCGAACCTATCGGATCTCGAACGCCTCAAGCGCGAGAACAAGGACTCCAAGGCCAAGGTGATGCTCTTTGGCGAGTACAGCGGCACGAAGAAGCCTGAAGTGGTTAGCGACCCCTACTACGGCGGCCAGGATGGTTTCGACAAGGCGTTCGAGCAGTGTTCTCGCTTTGCCAAGAACTTTCTGCAGGAGGTGGTCGTGAACGAGTAAAAGAGGGCGGCAAAGAGAAGGGGCAGAGGTCGGCAGCATTACGATATTTTTGATGACAATCGGAGTAGATGGAAATTGGGGCGGAATTTGATACCCAATACTTGGAATCCCCCTCTGGGAATACGCGCATTATACAAACAACTATTACGCCTAGAACGTGTCTAGAACATACACTGCATCTTTGGGAATATTTGGCGGCTGGTGGATAGTACCTGGCATTGATCTTGCATTTAGAACCTCATTAATTGAACGGGAAAGCCCGAACACATTTGATATAGGGAGTCATTGGTATCAAAATTTCGATACTATTGTGGTCGATGCTGCCGCATGTATAATTGAGAAATGTGGAATTGAGATCGCCACCAGTACGTGCTCCTTTCCTTCGAGTAGAAAAAATAATAACGGAAACTATTTCATGTATCAAACGCTAATATATCTGATGTTATATCTACTCTAAGCATAGTTCTGCCTGCCCTCGGAGTGCTTTGTGCCGCCCATTGAACTTATTCTCCAAAGGTAGAGAGAACATCCATGGCATATACAAAAGCACAGGTGCCTTTATATATTGACGAGATACCTAAGTACATATATATAGCCGAAAGGGTTAAATCAATAAACATCAGTACTACCTACCCAGTACTTAGCATATCCTCGTTCATTTCTGCTACTCAATGATTCCCTCTATGTTTGACGCGAGTTTACTCATAAAATCATGCTATTCAGGATGAGAATATATATATCAACAAAAGACAACGAAGTAAAAGAGATATTTTTAATTAAGCAAATAGATAAACAGAAAATAAAGGTAGAGCACTGTCAAATTTGTATACATGGTATTTTATATCATACAGCAGTTGTGAGGACAGTGGTTTACCCGTAGAGGCTGCGGTAGAAGCTTGCGGGTGTAGTAGCCAGCATAGGGCTTCTGGAGATACCTTACTAAGCCTTCATTGCCTACTACCTAGTTATTTTTCATTAATTCGTTCGTGGTCTTTCATAGGAATCTTCCAGTTACTGATGGGGTGGGAAAGAGGGAGGCTTACACGATACCACCAACTTTGTGCAAGTGTATGGATCACCGTTGAATGCCTAGCTGTCTCATGTTTGTACGCTAACTTGTTATATAGCACCTACATCGTCAGCATTGGATACTACTGTTGCGAGTTATTGGAGACTGGTAATAGAAATAAACTTACAGTTTGAGCAGCTTGAGCGTTGGCAGTCATCGAAACCAATACAGGTACGATGCAAAGCAGTAAAAGGGGCCTAGTATGTGGGAGTGAAGACATACTCTCTCAACATTAATCATGATAGGTCAGCATTACCTTTCCACTCACGTACACATGAAAATGATAGGTCGAGTCTTAGTGTGCGGAAGAGTTCAAGGCAGACAGCCTGTGTATACATGGAAATTCCAGGTTAGAGGCTCTAGTATAGGAGACAGCAATCCCAATCCACCACATCAGACTAAAATGGAAAACATGGCAACCAGGCTGTACTTGCGCACCATTCATGACAGCATACATCTCCAACCTCCATACAGACCGTCAACTCACCAAAAGTTAATCCAGAGGATCGTCCACCGTACCACCGGGATGATCCTCCGGATCGACGTCTTAGTACGAGACGGTCTGTGTAGCATCAACCTTGTTTAAACAGTGTCTTACATTAGAGGCTACGACTTTCGAGCTTTCGCTCTCTAACCACTTTACTCTACGGAGAAACAACGTCAATATCACGCCACATATTTCACAAATGTTAACAATTTTTATTGCTTTTCGTAGTCTTGACTCAATTCAAGAGAGGGGATGTCACACATTTTCCCACTGCGTGACTCGGTGAGCGTCAATTTTCCTCCTCGGGCACCACAACACTCGGCTGCAGCCATTCCATGAACCTCATGACGCCGTTGAAAAGAAATACAAAACCGAGTTGAAAACACAGAGCGCCTTGCTAAGAGAAAAAAAGGAAAGAGTGGTAATATACATTGTAGGGGTACAGGTTGCGTTATCATGAAAGCTGGTGTTGGCGTGCGGGCAATGATCCGTCCCGGCCTGGTTGGTTGCGTCCAACCCCGACACACCGCTGCTCGATTTTTCCTTTTTGCTTCTTTCATTCGTACAGGTTTTGTTTTGTTACATGGCCACAGCCTGTCTCTGGCGCTCCTGGCGGAGTTTCTCCATGACTCCGATGACTCCGCCGTTGCGAAGGCGCTCGAGAACTAGCCGCATGCCGTCACGGCTCTTGCTGAGCTGGTCGATGGTCTTGGTGGAGGCGAGGCTTTCAATGCTGCGCTGGATGCCCTTTGCGCCGAGGCCGCCGAGGAATCCAGGCAGCCAGCCACTGCTCTCCTGAGCCTGACCAATCTTTCCCCTGATCTTCTCTCCGAGTCTTGACTTGAACATGACGCTGGAGTTGACGTCGGTCTCGTTCCTGGCAACAGCCTCAAGAGAGGCGGGGACTTTGAAGTGTTGCTTTTCGACAACGGAAAGCACACCAGTAAAATTGAGATTGCGGCTCTCCGTCTTCATCCATCCTTCCTTGATGTCCACAACACTGGTTTCGAGAATGTATGAAGCCTTCTCGCCAGAGTTGCCACCTGAAACGCTTGCGGGCAGCAATTTGTATACTGCGCTGGGCATGCGGCTCTTCTTCAGGTGAATGCGGGTGGTGTAGAGGCGTTGGGTTTCCGGGTCGACATGGCTGGAGATGGTGTCGGTGCTGAGGACATGGGCGGCGAAAGGATTGAGCTGAGGCGAAGAGTATCGCAGGAAGTAGGCGAGGGTAACGGTCGGGAAAGGGTGGGAGTAGGTGTGATTGGTGGAGTGCGTGAGAACCATTGTGAATACTGTTGGAGTCGTAGTTGAGCGAGAAGGAGAAGGATCCTGTCTGTATAGCTCAATGCTGCTGCGGTTGCGGAGGAATCCAGAGGCTCAGCGGTTCAAAGACGTCAGATTGATGCATGAAATCACAGGCTCGGCTCTGGCGTGGTCGCTGGAATTGCTAAGCCGGCAATCCGCATGTTCCGAGCAACAGGCGAAAGGAGGTCAATCGTGACAAGACAAATGAAGGGAAAGGAAGAATCACGCAAGAGGGCAGAAAGGGTGCAAGGCAATCAACCCAAAGCCTCTGACCAGAGGAGAGGAATCGACTGACGGTGATGGCAGTGGCACGAGCATCAACTTTTTTGCCGGTTATAAGCACGCGGCCAGCGGGGCTGTGATTGGCCGCTGGTGAGGGGAAATGCTGCAAGTGGCCTCAATCCGGGGTTGCAGCTTCACGTGACGGGCGGCGGTCCAGCGTATGAGAAGCTGCGAGCTCTCGCCTGTACCCCGCCACAGCCTTCCAATCCATTCTAGCCATGACAGGGCCATTTGTCACCCTTGACATAACACATGCAGCGACAACTTGTTGACACCCTCTACGGAGGATTCGAGCCGGATAATGTGGCAAATGTCCAATCATCAATTGAATTCATACAGGCGGTCTGTCTGTGACAGTTGCGCTAATATCCGTCTCTGCATCGGCCGCTCTATATGTGCGCATCTCGTATATACGCAGTAACAGGTACTAACACGCAGTAATCCAAAAAATCAAAAATCCAAAGGCCCAGAAAGGAGTAATGCGTCGGCGATTTCTATCCCGCTGCTCCGAAACGGCCCCTCGGCGATACTTGGTACCTAGCACTTACATGGCGGCCGTTACGTTACAACAGGAACTCCTCGCCAGCAAAGTGTCTCAGAACCACCCAACCCTCATTAAACGTCTTCTTCTCAAATCGCACAATGACGGCGGCATGAGTGTGTCTATCGTTTTGGATCCAGACGGGGAACTTTCTCCATTTGAGAGAGTTCAGTGATCGGATCATTTCGAACTGGATTGGTGCCAACGCAAGAGTTGGCTGCGTCGGGATCGACATCCTCCTCTCTCGGGCCATTGTGCTTCTATCTTCGGCATTCATGCCCGTCTCTTCATCCTCATCCTCGTCTGCTAGGTACTCTTGGTTCTGCGAATTATTCAGCGCCTCGTAGACATGCTCGACCTCTTCACGAAACGACTTGATCAGGATCGGCACCCGGTACTCTGCCACATTGATGCCCGCCAGGCCGCCCTCATGTAGCTTAATGCGCTTCGAGCTTCGTATGGTTTGGAAAACCGAGTTGATAAGATAGGCTACCACGCCAATGGGAACCAGCACCGACACCGTAATCATGAACGGGACTCCTCTCATCCACCGCACGCCCGCTTCTGTAAGGGATGACAAAGTAATTGGTGCGGGAACCTTTGGTCGTGGAGAGAACGGGTGCGTCGCATCCAGTAGGACACCCTCTGGATCATTTTTCAGAAAGTTGACCTTGATCCGATCTATTTCCTTGTATGGGTCCGTCTTTTCTATACAGGTCGTGTAGTAAACCGCGCTCCGATCATTAACGATGTTACTGTATAATGTATGTCTCCTGAACTTCTGCAGTCCCAGCATAAAAATCGACTGGGGATCGGCCATGACAGATAGGAGGGGCCGGCCGGTATCTCGAAAGTTATCAATCGTGAACAATTGGCTCCCTGACATGGACAGCGTCCTCGCGCCCAACACGTTCCACATGTGGTTGTGCCATCCTTTGAGGGGAGTCCGTACGCCAAGATGCGGCGAGGCAAAGGTCGCAAAGTTCTGTTTTCCCGTATCAGTGGTGGCCCTCTCTCGACCCAGAACGACGTGTGCTTACCATGCACTCAACCGAGTCCAGGATGCCCTTTGCATACAGCAGACCAACAGCATAGCGCGATACCAGGCCGCCGAGAGAGTATCCCACAACGCTCAGCTTCCTAATCTTGCCGCCATTCTGCTCTATCGTCTTGAGCTCCTCTATAATCTCGGCGCAGACTCGTTCGCCGCCAAGCTCGATGCCGTCGTAGGTGAAGCTGCCGCTGTTTCGCTTGGCCAGCAGGAGGTAGAGGTCGTCAGGGGAATGTTGGGCTCGTAGCGTCTTTGCGATGTTGTTCATGTGGTTCGGATTCCCCCATAGCTGTGATTAACCAAGTTAGCTCGACTACACGCAAGGAAGCTCCTTTGATGTTGAAGCACACTCACTCCGTGAACCAGGACGCAGAGGTGGTCCGCCTTTGAGCTTCCGCCAGCAAAATCCATCCTGAGCGCTGCACCTAGGAGTCGCGAGCCAGCCAAGCGAGCAGACATTGGCTGCAGGAGAGGCTATCGTGACTCGTCGAAAGGGGCGCAAGCAGGTATATAATATTACATGGGGGACGCATTACGTAGGTCCGAGGCGGTTTGATAAGGAAGTCCGAAGTCCACGTTTGGTTTTGGGCACCCAATCGAGTAAAAAGCGTTAATCGTGCTGCCAGCGTCCGGCAGCCCCGTATTTGCCGGAGCGCTAGAGGGCAGTGGGCTGATATCCACATGCACGCAAAATGGTGATGTGATTGATGTGTATTGGACGGAGTTGATGAAATCCGTTTGATGAAGAGCGTCGTCATCATTTCACGGTTTGGTCTGTCCATCTATATCAGCTAGAACAACCTGATAAGCTTCATTATACATGGCTGCGATCCTCACCCTAGCGATTTCTTACCCTGTATATTGCGTGACTACTTGTAAACAAGGGAAACGCAGAGTATATTAGTCAATACGAGTATTCAGTGGTTGGCAAAACCAAATTCAAAGTGAGGCCATTGCAATATGCAGCTAAAGAGCTTAATTTTTTTTTCTATTTGTTGAGATGAACATGTTGGGGGAGCGGCAGCTTCACATCAACTTGTTGAGATGGGTCGCTGACATATCGAACTAAGGACCGGGAGTCTAATGCAGCATCAGCCGTGTTGATGATGAGCAAAAGAGAAAAAACAGCGAAAAGAAGAGAAGAGAAAAGAAAAGAAAAGAAAAAGGAGAACAGAGAAATACAGCATGTAGCCAGCGCCCCAAGTCTGATATCAGTATCCCGTATCTCGAATTTAACTACATGGGTAAGCAGTGATAATACCAGAATCTACCTGATAGTGTAGATGCTAGAATAACAAGATAATCCTAGTGGTGCAGAGTACGCACAGCAGGAAATATCTAAAGAGCTGAGCATCTACCACTTGCATCATGATTCAGTCAACAAAAACTCGTATCGGGAATCTTGTTCAATACTGACTACAATTCCAGATTTCAATCTGTCTCGTCAATGTTGCAGTAACGATGCCCCATCCTGCTGCTTTAGCGGGCGTCTTTAGTGGCCGTGCCATGCCTGTGCTCGGCAGCCTCACGCCTAAATATCGGCCCCTGACTTCAAGTTGCCCCTGCAGCAACAGAGGCCTAGAAATAGTGCCTAACCGACCGTGTATCCATGCATGCTTGCTTCATCAACACAATTCCGACCTGCTCAGATCTCCATCAAACAACCAGCTTGTCTCCTGGCCGCTTGCTTTTGCGGGGAGATGCAACGCATTATTCCATCCATACCGACTACTAATTGCTAAGCACGCAGGCCAGCTCTTTGGCTACCTACTAAGGCAGATATAGATCGCGCATCACTCCTCTCTCACTTTGATCAGGCAGTTCCTCTCGCCAGGCCGCCATGAGTCTCTCACTCAAACACATTCCCTGCCCGGCAGGCGATAAGTGCACCGCTTTCCAGTGTATATTCGGCCACAATAAGGACAATATTGGCTTCAATCCCCCGCCCCTTGAGCCAATACAGAATCATCGGACGTCTTCGCCTTTGAATCAAAATCGCCCTAGCAAGCGTTTAAAGGTTGATGCAGCGAGCCCTTCCCTCTCATCGCAAACTGGTGTAGCCTCTCCTGCTCGGACGGGGCCAAAGCCTGAGCAACCAGGCTTTTCACCGAGCGTTGCGCGTCCAATCTCGCCTCCTCCACTGAAGAGAAAAGCCACCGCCTCAACTCCGAGCGCAAACGCTGCCACCACAAAGAATCCGCAGCCGACCAGGGCGCCAGGAGCTTCCACCTCCAAGGCGACTGCAACAGCTAATCCAAAGAAGCCCGAGTCTCTCAATCCTAGGCTGCTCAAGAGCTCTCCGGCGAGCCATGAAGTACGATTAAAACTTATTAAACTTGTCCACCGGGAATTTAAGCGCCTTAACGATGAACTAAGGAAGACTGTAAACGACCAAGAGCAGAAACTCCTCTTGTCCGACCAAGACCTAATTACCAGGGCCCTGGACGAAGAGCAAACTTGCGCCATTGACAAACCAGCCGTATATAACAACGTCATGAAGAACAAAATCTTTCAGTTGAAACGCATGACTGCGGCTCAGTGGAAAGAAGTCAGAATTAAAGAGCAGCAGGAAGCTCAAAATAAGCTTCAAAAAGACAACATGATTGATGGAGAGCCCAGAAAGATTGAGACTGGTCTCACGTACGCACAGGAAGTCGGGTTGTTGAAACGTATCCTTACACCACTCGACGGTATGGGTAACCACGGCTATGTCCCTACAGTCCCGACACAGGAACAAATCAAGTCGGCCGTGGATGGTATGGACGCAGCAAAGGGATGGGAGAAGTGTGACCGCTGCCAGCAACGATTCCAAGTCTTTCCCGGACGGAGAGAGGAGGATGGCGCCCTGACAACAGGAGGAGGATGCAAGTTTCACTGGGGCAAAACCTATATCCCGAGCAAGCAACCCGGCGATAAGACGAGGGTGCCCAAACGATACCACTGCTGCGGCCAAGAAGTTGGCGAGTCGGCCGGATGCTTCACCCATGAGCACCATGTGTTCAAAGCGAGCGATGCGAAAAGATTGGCCGCCGTCCTGAACTTTGCTGAGACGCCGGAGAATCCCCTGGCGCCGACAGACAGAGCCGTCTGTTTTGACTGTGAAATGTGCTACACGGTCCACGGGCTCGAGTTGGTACGCCTGACAGCTACCTCGTGGCCTACGGGAGAGGACTTGCTGGACGTCTTGGTCCAGCCTCTAGGCGAAATCCTAGATCTCAATTCCCGCTTTTCTGGCGTCTGGCCAGATGATATTGCCGCGGCGGAATCGTGGTCCGTCAACGACGATCTCAAGCCATCCAAGGACAGCGATGAGAAGGGAAGTGAGGACGGCGAGCTGAAAGCTAAGAAGAAGAAGCTCAAGATTGTTTCTTCCCCCGAAGTCGCGCGGGATCTCCTGTTCTCGCTCATATCGCCTACGACGCCCCTCATCGGCCACGGCTTGGAAAACGATCTTAATGCTGTGCGCATCGTTCACCCGACCATTATCGACTCTGTCCTGCTTTATCCGCACAAGATGGGCTTGCCATATCGCTATGGCTTAAAGACGCTGATGAATGTCCACATGAACCGCAAGATCCAGCAAGACACGGGCCCAAAGATGCTAGGCCACGATTCAGGCGAAGATGCCAGGGCGGCTGGGGATTTGGTTCGCTTGCGGGTCATGGATGTGTGGAACGATATGAAGAGGGTTGGTTGGCGGGTTGTCGATGGCGAGATTACGCCTCCTGAAGGCGAAGGGGGCGGTTTGACAGAAGCGTTTATCGAGGGACGCGGCAATTTCAAGTTGGCTTGAAGCTGGACAGCAAGGTTGCTGAGAATGAACCACGGGGCGATGTCCTCCAGGGTGGAGGAAAACTCACAGTTTGGCATGGGTCGCCATTGATAAATATACACATCCAGTTTGACACGTCTACACCTATGCTTATTCTTTCTTATAGTAGGTCAAGCGTACTTTTGCGTTAGGCAAGCTTCACAATACATGAACAAGGAATTACAGCGTATAGTTTTTGTTTTCACATAAGGCTTCTATTGGCCTTTTATGGCTAAAAGTACAAGGTTGTCGTGATTGGGGATTTCCTTTCCCCCCCTCATATCCCAGCAATGAGCGGGGTGTTCTCCGTGCTTCAACTTTCATTACTTTTTTCTCTCTCTACAAAATCCGCCTTACGCCCTGCCTACAGACAGCAGCAACTGGCTGCCGCTGCCTCCCTTTCCTCCCGAAGGCAGATACGCCACGTTGGGGTTCGACGACAGGGCCTGCGCAATCTCTCTGCTGGCCTCAATCTTTCGGATCTGCACCAGGCCGTCGCCGGACTTGGAGATGGCCTTGCTGATGGTCTCTGCGCTCTCGGCCTCGCCCTCTGCGCGGATGACGTTGGCCTGGCGCTCCTGCTCGGCCTTTTCGACGATGAAGCGCGCGCGCTCGGCGTCCTGCTGGGCAATCTGCTTCTGCTCGACGGCCTTTGTGAACTCGCGGCCAAAGGTCATGTGGGTGATGGACACGTCCTCGAGGGCAATGTTGAACTCGGCGGCGCGGCGGGTGAGGTCGCTGCGGATACGCTGGGAGACGGCCTCGCGCTGGGTGATGAGCTCGGCGGCGTCGAATTGGGCGACAATGGCCTTGAGGACTTCGTTGCCGATGGAGGGGAGGACTCGTTCGTCGTAGTCTGCGCCGAGGTTCTGTTCATTGCAAGTTAGTTTTTGGCTATATATATGTGTGTATATTCTCGAGATTCAAAAAGATGCTGTACCTGGTAAATCTTTGGCAGGGCCTTGACGTCTGGCCGGTGCAGGACTCTCAGCGTCAAGCTGACCATCTGGAGATCCTTGCTGCCGGTGGTGGTGGCAATGTTCCGGGGCTTTGTGCGCACGTCAAAGATGACGCTCCTCTGCAGCCAAGGGATCAAGAAGTGCGTTCCCTCATTGACGACATCCTCCTTGACACCGGACAGCCTGTCGAAGATGACGGCTCTTGTGCCGCCCCGGACGTCGTAGATGGACTGTGTGATGAGGAATGCGCCGGCAGAGGCCGGGATGGCCATGCGGTACATGAGGTTGAGGGTTCGCGCAAACGCCGCCATTTTTGATGATGAGTTTTTCTGCTTCGGCAAAGAAGTGGCCCCGAGATCCTTAAAAAAAAAGTTGGACTGCTGAATTCGTCCAACGGCTGCGACTTGAGCTTCTTGCGGATTATGAAGCTTCGTCCTGCCTTGTGAATCCCCAAAGGTTGTCCCGCAGTTGGTGCTTTGATTTTCCGTCCGAACGAGCGGCGCTAGACCCGTTGCGGCAAGCTCGGCTGGACCCGCGACGATGCTCTGCGTTTTCACCAATTCCGAACCCGAAACTCATTCCACCCTCTAACCCTCTCTCCCGCAATCGAAAAGGATTCATCGCAACTCCTGAATCAGAGACAATGAGACCTACTCAGGTTCGTCTGGGCGGCGGCGCCCCTCAACCCAAGACTGGCCAGTATGTGCAGCCTCTCCCTGGGATAAGATGCGGCATCGTACCACCCGAGTTTGCGGCTTTTCCACGAGATGCGAAAGTCGATGATCGATGGGCGATGATGCGGCCTCTGCGGCAGGAAGTTTGACGAATTGATGCTGATGCTAATATTTTTTCTTTCTCATAGCTGGCTCGGTGACTGGGGCTCCTTTGGTGAGTTTGGTCTACTTGACGAACGATTGCAACGGATCACCCGCAAAAGAGACTTTGAGGACGCAAGACGCCGGATGGTGGGGAGTAGGATGATGATTCAATGGACCGATGCCTGGATTCGGCTGAAGCAATTGGGGTGGAAGACATTGAACACGTTGCGGAGCAACAATTGGACGGGGGATTGCGTCAAGGGACTCGTCGGGACGAAGTGCAAAGATTGAAGAAGTCACTCGGATGCTAACATGTGATGCTATAGGTGGTGCCAAGCAGAAGGGCATTGTCGACTACGGCCTGTCTGCTAACCGTCAGAACCCCTTTGCCGGTGCTGCCCACGATGCCATCTTCAACACCTTCCGCCGCACCAAGTCCCAGATCTTCTACTGGCTCCCTCCCATGCTGGCCGGCTACTACCTGCTGAGCTGGGCCACCGAGCGGTATGTCGGCTCAAGGAGAATAAACACAACCCCAAAGCTAACGTGACGTGATAGAAACCACTACCTCAACTCCAAGGCTGGCCGTGCTGAGTTTGCCGACTCGGAGTAAAATGGTGCACGACTGTGTTGAATTGTGGGTGTCCAGGGGACCCAGTGTATATCAGCGTCTAGATTAGGAGAAAACAATAGAAACGGTTGGCTCTACGAGATATTTGATTCTATTCTTTGCCCAGAGATTGATGCACTGATTTGATTTGATATCATGAGATGACTTTGGAGCGTCGAATGAGAGAACGAGGAAATGTTACTAGCAAGGATGAATGTGGCATTCACCCTCTATCTTGGGTGATATTCCACGACTTTACGACACTTAATTAAAAGGCTTTTATTCCAAACTCCCTTTCTATATCTACCGGTGACCAGCATATAGTAAAAACTCTCGTGAGTCCATGCTCTGTTAGGTCATCCAAATCTTGACCGACATGATAGGCTGAAGCCACATCACGTGATCCAAACTGTAAAAGATCTCGGCGTCGGCACCACAAAACGCCGAAAATTTTAAAGAGGGTCCCTCACCGAGAAGAAAAGTTTGGTTTGAGTAGGAAATTTTTGAAGCGCCTCAATCGTGGGAGGACGACAGACATTGAAAAAACTACGACCAAGTTGCGCAAGACGTCCAATTGGTGCATCAGAGGCAGTTTGAATTCCGTTTGGCCGATTGAACTCCTCTATATTAACAATAATCTTTCAATCGTCCATTTGACACTCTCTTTTCGTCTTTTTTTCTCGGGTTTCCTCGTTTTCAAATTATCCCCATACAGCCAGCAGCCATGGCTTCCGAAAGACCTGACAAGAAGGAGAAGAAGGAGAAGAAGGAGAAGCGCAGCGAAGAGGCTGGCGTGAGCAAATCCAAGAAGGAGAAGAAGGACAAGAAGGACAAGAAGGAGAAGCTCGCTTCTGCTCTGGACGAGAAGCTCCAGCAGGATGTCGCTGCGCAGAGCGCTGTCAAGGCCTCTGACGAGGGCTCAGATATGGAAGAGGACAAGACCCCTGAGGTGACCCTTGAGAGAAAGGTTGTGCCGTTCGCGGTCCCTATTGCCGACGAGAAGGGCCAGAAGAAGATTTGCAAGACGATTCGAAAAGGTATGTTGCCTTCTCCCTCCTTGCGTCGCCCAGCCCGCCTCTTTTTTTCTCTTCTTTACTTTTCTCTCCCGTGTCTTGCTTTCTTCTATTCATATAGAGGCATTGGATCTCGTATACTAACGTCGACCCTTTTCAACAGCTGCCAAGAATGGTACTCTCAAGCGTGGTGTCAAGGAAGTCGTCAAGACTCTGCGAAAGTCTCCCTCCACCGCCCCCGGCTACACCTCATTCCCCGGAGTCGTCATCATCGCCGGTGACATTTCTCCCATGGACGTCATCTCACACCTGCCCGTGCTGTGCGAGGACCACAACGTGCCCTTCATCTTCGTCACATCGCGCGCTGAGCTGGGTGCCGCCGCCAAGACCAAGCGACCTACCAGCGTGGTCATGATCATGGAGAAGGCTGAGGGAAAGAAGAAGCCCGCCAAGGAGGCCGACAAGGACGACGACGAGGACAGCAGCGAGTCTTACAGCGAGACGTACGCTTCCCTTGTCAAGCTTGTGCAGAAGGAGGGCGGCAAGCAGGCGTTCTGGACAAAGGGTGAATCAAAGGCGTAAGAGAGAAGAAGGAAAAAAAGAAAAAGGAAAAGATGGCAAAGTGAGGCGCGGTATTGGACCGCGAGTGCGAAGAGACTTTTGCTGGGAGAATGATGTTGGTGCGAAGCGCTTAATCTGGGTGTACATTAACCATACCAGAGGGATTGTCTTGCAGCAAGACTTTTGTTGGGGCAACGGCGGCGTTCAGGTATATAAAGTACTGCATTGATCAATGGAACAAGTTTGGCTTTCTACTATACGTCTATTGACTCCGAGTTATTGATTGGACGTGGCCTTGCAGTGTCAAATGTCAGGTCACAAAGGTTGAAGTTGATAATATTCCAAATTGAATTTGACTAATATAGGTGTGATGTTACACAAAGGCCATCACATAATGATGTGCCTTTCCATTCCCTGTCCAACTCCTCCCAGAAACCAGCCTCAGGAAAGAATTTACCAAGAGATACCATCTCGTTTACTCAAAGGGATTGGTCCTGGTTCCCCACCAGTTGAGGACCAGGGACAAGCCGATAGTCTCGAGCAGCTTGGCGGCGACATTGACGCCGACAGTGTCCAGAGGCCTCTTTTCGCTAAAGATCTGAGAGATGAACTACACACACACACACACACAGAGTCAGTCTCATAAAACAAGTGAAAAGAGGTAACTCAAAAGAGGTACAGAAAGAAGAAGAAAAAAACATACTCCAGGAGCAGACGTCGCCGCAAAGATCAAAGCGCCGAGATACGCAGCGCCCTTGTGACTCAAGGTGCCCGTGGCGTTGAGCAGAGCGCCCACGCCGTAGCTCTGCAGAGCAGAACCGACAAAGGAAGTGCCCCAGGCGACGGCGGCGCCGCCGGCCTCGCGGGAGCGGATGAACTCCTCCTTTGTGTTGGAGGCCTTGGCGCGGTGGTAGGTCTGGCCGAAGACGGGGGCGAGGACGACGAGGTCGACGCCGTGGTTGAAGAAGGTGCCGAGGGCGATGGCGGAGGGTTTGACGGGAGGGAAGTCTGATTTATCTTGTGATTAGTTTTGGGAGAGTTGTGAAGTTGCCATTGAGAGTGGCGAAAGATGAATGGGTGAGGTTGAGGTTGAGGTTGAGATGGATTGAGACTCACATTGGAGAGACATGTTGGCTATGAGGAGACGATGCTGTGATGAGCTTGAGATTGAAGAGAAGAAGATGAAAAGATGAAAGTTCTCTTTATGAAATTGTGATTTTTACAGCTATACAAGAATGTGCGTAGTATCTGTGCCGTCACAAGAGGTAGTCAACATCCATCCCAGAGAACTGCAAACCCTCAGGGTATTTGTACTACATCATCACAAGCCACACTCCCTAGCTTCAAAACTTCGCATCTATTACGTCTTTTGTTTGTTACCACCCCCTCAAATCTCGATCCGCGCCAGAGAAAGTCTATCCTCTAATTCCCTTCCCTCATTTTAGAGCTCTCCGCTTTGGTTTGTGTGAGGTGAGAAGGGCAAGTAAGTCCTGGCGAAACCATTTCGTCACCGTGATGATGATGTCACCACTACGCTTTGTATTTTTGGTACCCGGATGAGGAAATTCATTTTTTTCCACAACTCCACAGTGTCTATGATTCAAAGACGGACTTGGTTTCTTTTTTCTCTTTCAGAGCTTTTTCGGATCATTATTAGTTCCTTGTTAGCTGGATGTCAGATGTTGGTTTGTTTGACCCCGGTTTTGGTGGTGGTTATGTAATGATTGCGGCTATTCACGCTTGTATGTTTCCTGCTTGACATTGAATGTATGTAATGCATGCGTCTCCAAGACCAACACTACCAAGACACCGGATTATCTGCAGGGCGCTGCATGTTTTCTCCAGAACGACGATCCTCCTCCTCTAAACCCACTGTAGAATAAAACCTCGGCAACAGAAAAATGGCCAGGATACGAATCACAAAAACGAAGCGGTTGAAAAAAAAAACACTCAAACCTGGTTACCTGTGCCCAATCGTTGAAGCGCTGACATGCACGACACGGAACGTTTCGAGCCACACCGGATACGAAAGCGAATTCTCATTGCGCATTCGAAAAGCCGCGAAGCTCATCCGATTCTCCCCCAACATTATTTTACATGCAGAGCCAGAAATCCTATTTGCTCTGGGGGGCCAGTTGATTCTCCACTGCGGGGATGGTGTTCGTCTTTCGGATTTTGAGGCGTGGGGCGGGTTTTTTTGGTGTGATGCCATCTTGGGGGTCTTTTTGTGAGAAGCCCGAAGAAGGTAGCGGTTGATCGTAGCAGGAATTACTCTGTACACCAATCTCGAATGAATCAGATACCACCGGATGCAATCAATCAGTAAGAGTAGGCATCTGGTTCTTTGTAGACACACATCATGCTGTTGCGATGGCCATCCACTCATATAAATCACATTGGATCACATTCAAAAAGACAGACACAACACAGACAGAGGCACATAAATCATCGGCGCAAAAAACACTGGCAGTCTCCATATTGGCTTGAATCAACGTTACCCGTAACCATAAGTCATCTCCCGCTCCCCATCCCGTCATGCCCCATCCTCATCAACCCGGAAAAAAAAGAACCAACAAAAACCAGATGCCGTATTAAACAAGAAAATGATCCCGCTTCCTCTTCGCCGCTTTGTTGAAAAAACACCATGTTGCCATTGCCAACTCATGCCAGCCAGCAGAATATGTAGTCAAAAGTAAAAAGAAAAAAACTCCCATAACGTCCTTTCCTCGTTGTAATATCCGTACAAGGTTCGCTTTTGTTTCACGTTGTTCGAAAAAGAATCCAGGTTGGCGTCAACCGTGCACTCTTCTCTCTTCCATGAGCTTCCCTTTTTCACGCTTTCGTCACTCGTTCTTCTTCGCCTCGGAGACTTGCCAGTTGTTTTGCCCAGGTTTTTGCATTATGTGTTTAAAAAGCTGAGATGATGATAATGGAAAAGGAGAGAGAGAGAGAGAGAAGAAAAGGTAAAAAAAAAAAAAAAATCTTTGCCGTGTGAATGTTCCCGTAACCCTCTATGCTTGGAGATGGCCATACTCGCCGCTGCGTAACCCTAATAAAGCTCTAACATCATGAACGTACTGGAGACCTTCCAGCAGGGGAACTAAATGCATCAAGTCGCCATCTGTCGGGTCGTTGATCCAGCCTTGGATCGGTATGGCGTTATCTAGTAGGTCGGGTTAGCTGGGGGGGCTTGCGCCTCTACCGCAAAGTCGGCAACGTACCTTCATGGAACAAATAGCTCAGCGGGCTATTGTCCAGAATCATCACTTTACTCAGATCCGGCTCCACAGAACTCAGGTCTTTGATGTAGGCTCCTTGTCGATATGTGCAGTGTTGACGATAGTACCTTGCCGAGAAGAACTTTCTTTCCGTTTCCAGCCAATCAATCACCGGGTCGGCGTATTCCTGAACAGACGCGGTAAAGACAACCAAGTTGAACCACTTGCACACTCTACGGAGAAACTCGTCGCAGAAGGGCCGCTTGTTGACCCAATACAGGATGGGGTGCTGTGCAGCGCTGCTCTGTCCGCTCATTCCCAAAGTCGCAGTGTTGAGCTGGACTTCTATCATGTGACCGCTGTTCATCCGCCCTCCTTTAGACATGCTGTGGATGAGCGTCTCGTCGAGATCTAGGATGAGCGTCTTCTGCTGCTTTCGCGAAGGCTCGAGAAGATTCAGATAGGATGGCTGTCGTCGGGGGATCAATGGTCGTGGTGGCGCAGGTGTCTTTGGGTACTTGGTCAGGGCGGCAATCGGAGACGTTGGAGACTTGAGCTGCGCTGACAAGTCGCTCCGGCTGAGGTCACCCTTCCCATGAGAGGCGGTGGATTGTGATTTTCTATGCTTTCGTTGCTCTTCGTCGTTTAGTTTGATCCGGATAGAGCGCCGAGCCGCGCCCGTCTCCTCGCCGGACTGGGCTGCTGATTTGGAGCGGTTGTGCCGGCTCTTGGCGGCAGCACGGGGTTCGTCTTCGGACTCGGAGGATAGACCAGATGATGATGTACTAGAGGAATGAAACGTTTTCGACGGGTCTCCCAGATGCCGTGTATTTCGGCCAGCCTTGTTCGCCTTTTCGGGAGAATCATATAGACCATCTGTGCCCAAATCGCCGCTGTGGAAGCCAAACAGCCCTTTCAGCTGTGTCATGGGCGCAAACTTGCCAAAGTCGTCGTAGAAGAAGGCAATCAGGTAGTATCCCGGCGCAGTCAGCGTAGCAAACAGCCACCGAATGGTGCCGATGATGCTGGACGCGATCCCCCTAGGCAGCACATGCCACCATCTCGAGCGCTTCCCATCCGGCTTGGACTCGCAAAAGAGCGGCGTCTCTTCCGTGGCAAAGGACGCCTCGTCGTCGGCGCCGTATCGCTTCTCGGAAAGGGAACCCGAGCCCTCGGCGGCCAAGGGCTGGTTCTCGTGTCCATCCGCCTTGTCCTCGGACACGTCGAGATCGAGCGCCTTGTCGTCTAGGCCGGCGCTGATGCTGTTGGATCGGGAGTGGGTTGGACTCGGCGGCGGCGACACGCGCGCGGTGATGATGTTGAGCGAGTTCATGTCGAACATGGAGAGCACTCCATGGGACATTGGAGGCGGCTTCGGGATCGAGACGGGGAGGAGATGCGCAACGACTTTGTTGGAGAGGAGAGAGCGAAAGGGAGCGTCGCAGCAGATGCCGAGGCGTTCGAGGCCGCTTCCGGCTCTCTGGGATGTCTGCCAATGGCCCTGCAACGCGCTCCAGGGGGGTTAAAATGAGCCTCCGCAGGGCGCGCGGTCAACGAGTGTCATGAGTGAGTCGCTTCCAAGGGGGGAAGAGGAGGTGAGAGAGAGGCGGACGAGAGGCGGCCGCAGAGTGTTGGATCAAGTGCGATGCAGAGACACAGCCAGACGAGACGAGAGAAGAAGAAATGACGCTACGAGCGAGCCGCAGAAAATAGGTCGGTATCTTGGCCTTTCCGAGGGGGGAAGATTGTCTTAATGAAACAAGCACCAGCTGTAGCGGTACAAGCAGGTACTCGTACTTGGCAAGCGTTGAGGCCAAAAGTCGCCCCAAAGGACATCGGGCCAGGTCGTCATCACGGCTAGCAATAGCGGGCCAAGGCCACTGGGAGGTCAGATGCCGCCCACGCTAGGGCCGGATTTTGGGGGGTTTGCAGCGGAATCAGCAGGGCTGTTGGGGGGAGCCCTATTGTGAGTCGAGTCCGTGGCCCAATGCGCTGCTGTGTTTGGAGCCCGTTTCCGGTCGAGTGCCGAGGGAAGCGGTATCGATACAATGGGGGTGCATCGTATCATGCAGCAGCCGAGGATGGGTTTTCTGCTTTATATTGGTACGGAGGAGCAGTATCTACGAGGTTGGATGTTTGTATACCTAGTAGAGAGTAGCAGAGATGGTCAGACGGGAAACTCCAAGACTACTATACTAACATTGAAGTAAAAGTAAAATAAAGCACTTGTCTGCTTCTCCATCTACTACAGTATTATTCTTCCATTTTTTTTCTTCTCCAGAGTTCAACTCTACAGTCTCGTATTACTAGCCCTTGCGCTAGCAAATGTCAAATCAGATCAGCCCATGCTCAAGTTTGAATTCATTCTTGTCCCATGGCCGCTAATCTACAAAACATGCTAAGGTAGGTACTAGAAGGGAAAAAGAACCAGAGAGGACAAAAGAGAAAAAAACTTCAAGCACATGTAAATGAAAAGTACAGATTACAGATTACAAAAGTCCTCCTATCTGGGCTGCAGGCAGTAGTCACACAAGTACCGGTACCTGCTCAGAGTTGTGCGTGCTGCCATTCAGGTATCGGGGCAGTTGCTCTCGCGCTAACTGGCAATCTTACATTAGTGCATAGTGGGCTGCATTAAACTGAATGTACGAAATTCTGTGTCGCCAATCCGAGCAGCCTCGCATGTTGAGTCACGATCTCGAGCAGCTCTTTTCAGCGCCCACAAACCAAACCAACCCAAACCAACCCCGCTCAACCTCACCACACCCATTCCGGAGCCTCTCAGTCTGAGACAGGACAAAACAAAACGCACCTCGAGCATCACTTGACAGCATCACGGCCGTCTTTTCACTTGTGCTTCACCCAGAGTCGAGGCCACTTGCACGCCGCCTTCTGTCGCACAAATTTCGAGTCATAGCGCCGGGACGACAGACATTCCACCGACCATCGGCCCCTCGATAACCGCACGCAAAACACACACAACACACAACCATCGCACTCGCACCAGGTTACGATACGATGCCCTCCGTTTCCACGGGCCACGCGCTCGACCTGGAAAAATTCCTCAAATCTCTCAAGGGGCAGCCATTGGAAGCTTCCGTCAACAGTTTGATATCGTATGTGATTGTGATTTATCAGTATTCGCAATGCGGGGCACGATAAGATTGTCGCATTGGCGGCATGACTTTATTGGCCGCGAAGCGATAAGGGACGCGGGCAAGGCAAATAGCAATACTGACCAGCACTCCATTACAGCCTCCTCAAGCGAAGACAGATCAAGGGATCCGAGCCTTGCGCCGTTGCCACCGCCCATATCCTCCTCCAGGTCGTCGCCCGGTCAAAATGGCACGATGTCGACAGCCTCTTGATCCACGTCTCGAGAACCGGCCGTAAGCTGGTAGACGCCCAGCCCAACGAGCTTGTCATTGGCAACATTGTGCGCCGAGTCCTTGGCCTGATCCGAGACGAGGCTTCCGAGGATCGAGGCGACACCGCCGACGAGTCTGCGAGCGATGCGCCAACCCCGACCGACATCGTCCCGCCAACATCCATCAGCCAGCAGTGGTCGTCAAAACGCTTCGACTCGGCCAGCAGCGCAGCTTCGCCGGCGCGCCCTCCCATCGTCTCTTCTTATAGCTCCATCAACCCTCCCAAGTCGCTGTTCCATCTCTTGTCGACATCCCCGCCCGCAGATGGAGACGTGTCGCCCTTTAGAAACTCGGGATCGTCGACGCCTACGTGGAGGGGCAACACGGGCCAGATCCACGCGCTGCGCTCCGAAGTCATTGATGGCATCGAGGAAATCAAGGACGAGATCAGCCAAGTCGACGACCAGATCGCTGCCTCGGCCGAAGTGCAGATTCACCCCGGCGACTTGGTGCTCGTCCACCAGCCATCAACAACGGTGGAACGATTTATCCTCCGCGCTGCTCAGAAGCGCAAGTTTACCGTGCTAATCGCCATGGCACCACCCAGAAGACACTCGGCTGAGAGCCAGCACACAACTTTTAGGAAGAAGCTGTCGGCGGCGGGCATCACGGTGGTCAATGTGATGAATGGCGGGCTCATGGCCTACATGTCACGAGTCAACAAGGTCATTATTGGAGCAAGAGCAATTGTTGCTACCGGAGGTGTCGTGGCTGATGCTGGCTCCGCTGCTATTGCCCGAGCTGCCAAGGAACAGGGCACCGCTGTCGTCGTGCTCAGCGGCGTCTACAAGCTTAGCCCGGAGAGTCCTTTCGATGAGAGCTCGCTGATCGAATGGGGCGACTCGTCCACCTTTGTGAGCTTCGCGGATGGCCCTCTGGTGTGTGGTGCCGAGATTCGAACGGCACTCACCGAGCTGATTCCGCCGGAGCTTGTCGACACCTACATCACAAACCTGTAAGTTGACCAATGGATAGTGTCATTTCTACCAAGAAGAGTGAGAAGAGCCAGTAACTAACTATCCCAGGGGCACACATTCGCGCGACCACTTGTCAAGCCTCATCTCAGACCACTACAAGCGAGAGGATGCCGACTTTCACATCTGGGAAGGGGCTCTCCCGTGATGATGATGACTTCACGATGAATGACTACAACAATAAAGTAAAAGAAGAGAAAGGGGGGGGTCTGCATCCCAATGACATGGTTAGGGATGCTATAGAAGGAAAGAAAAAAAAAAGGGTAAAATGTTACTAGCAAAGCAACCATGACATAGTGTACGAACACTTTGAAAGGCGTCGTCACTAATAAACGTTTCTGCTGCATCCGTGCCTGGTGCCACCTAAGCATTGTCAATCAGCCTTAAATCTCTTGTCTCTAATGCCTAATGCCTAATAATGTGATGGATTGAATTGATGGCTTCCAGGTTATTGTTGCCATTCACGTTGAACGGCTTGTTCGCCTAAGCTTGATGCAAAACGTCACCCTCTGTAGCGGCCGCGTCAGCGAGCTCAGGCAGCCAAGAGGCCCTAATTGGACGGGCGACGCCGGAGATTAGCTGCCTTCAAGGTTCTGCTGCCCCCTCCCATCACCGCAGAGGCATCCAAAGGATCAGGCAATGACACACACTTCGGCTCCAGTCAAATCTCAACCAACGGCTTCGGACAGGCAGCGACAGCAGCCAACGTAACTGGGCTGCGCGGCCTGTTGCTAAAAGCGCGGATAGCCCGAGAGGCTCGATGGCACTAATTGGGCCGCTACGGCGGGAATGGACTCGGGGGAGGCAATCCATCGGCTCGACACTAGGAAGACAGTGAAAGTTGAAGAGGCACAAGGGGGATGGATGGATGGATGGATGGATGGACGGGCTGAGGAGCCCCGCGTAATGCAGCAGGACGAAACGGATGCATGATTTTTGACTTGCTGCACTCCAAAGGGAACAGCTGAGCCATACATAAGAGTGTTTGGTTTGCCACTATCCTCGCCATCGCTTTTTCAACAGAGAGTTGTTGGGTCGAGTACCCGGAGTCTGCCTAGGAATCGTGGCCTCGCTTTCGGATTCGCTTTTAAACCTTTGGCGATTTCTTTGCATCTTGAAAGATTGACTCACCACTTTTTTTTCCGGACCATTCAATACCTTGCTGTTCAAGATTGCGCAGCGATACCAACATCTAGGAGAAGAGTGCCTGATTCTTCTTTTATCCACATACTTTTTACACTGCAGAGTAGAAGAAACATCAGCAAAACATCATCGCCAGCCATCATCATACACACATCACCATGAACCCCAACGACAGCGGCTCTGCCAACAATGGCAACGGCCATCTCAACGTCCCCGGAGACGAAGTTCCTCCTCCGCCATACTCGGAGACTGATGTCTACAGCACCTCGGGCGGCTCTCGCTCTCCTCACACAGCATCAGCACCATCAGTAGCCGCATCGGCAACGGCAGCTGCGGCAACTCCATCACACAGCTTCGTCGACGATGCTGCTTCGTCGACTGCTGACGAGGTCATTTACACGCCTCCTCTGACTCCTCGCACCTCTCCTGGCTCTGCGCAACCGGCCGCCTCGCTATACTTTGATCTGAGGCCTGCCCCCCAACAAGACACCGGCAGTGACATGATCCGCATGACGCTTATCCATAATATTGAAGTGACTGATATCTCGCAACCTGATGATTTCCCTTATGAGAGCGACTGGGCTGCCCGAGATGTCACTGCGCTGGATTGGTCCACCTTTATCAATTTCCTGATTCCCGATCATATGACAAGGCAGAATGAAGTCGTCATTCATAGAAAGCTACTCGATGAGATGCAGAGATCGGAAACAGGTAGCACCAACAACAACAACAACAACAACAACACAGCCCAGGTAGAGGCCCAGCTCAACCAAATCGCCGATGCTCGCAATCCCGCCAATCCTGATTCTCAGCGACGGAGGAGAGACGTTGAAGCCACCGTCCAGCAATGGAACGATGGCTTCTTCGGCCCCCGAGGCATCCAAGTTCGCCTCGAGCCCCCGAGAACTCCCTCGGCGCAGATGCCAGGTGCTTGGGAGGCCAACTTTGACCAGGCATCGGAAGCTGGTCGATCTACCCAGTCCTCGCAGACTGCAGGCCGCTCTGCTCCGGCTAGCGGTGGTTCATGGGGCGGTTTCCAAGTCGATGACAACGGTGTTCGGTATGGCAACAGCTTTGTCGCGGACCAAAATGGCTTGCGCATCGGAAATTTGATCATGGATCAGCGCGGCATTCGTTTTCATAATGACGCTGCGCAAGGTCAACTGCCAGCCGCAGATGCTGACCGGGATGTTCGCGGCCGGACAGCCTATCAACACGGGGGCGATGAAGAAGCATGCCACAAACGCTCTTCTTCGGCCTCCTCCACATCTTCTTCTTCCTCTTCGAGTTCTGAATCATCCATTGGCTCTCTCCCCAGCTACGATGATATTCCTGTCAACTCTGTGCAGCTTTACATTGCCCGACTCCAAGATTGGACCAAGAATCCTGACCAGCTCCGCACCAGGGGTGACGTCAAGCAGCTCAAGGCCGAACTCAAGGGCGTCCCCAAGTCTCGGGATGTGCCTACTGATGTGGATAAGAAAGAGCTCAAGGCACAGATTAAGACGTTGACAACTCTTTGGAGACAAGTCAAGAAGAATCAGAGAAGAGAACGCAGGGCCCAGAGAAAGGAGCGACGTGGCAAGAGGAGGGCAGAACGTAAGGAGAAGAGGCAGCATAGAAAAGAGATGAGAAAGGCCCGGAGGGAAGCCCGGAGAGGCCAAAGCACCCCCGTGCCTCCCGTACCTCCGCCTCCGCCTCCCCCCTGTATCCCCCCTCTGCCGCCGCATGTTCCTGGAACCACGGTGCCGCCCGTTCCTCCCGTTCCTCCGGTGAATGCCTCTCCATGGACTGGCACTTTCCCATGGGGCCGCGGTAGAGGAGGCAGAGGAGGCAGAGGAGGACACCATCCTCACCCCCATCCTCACCATCACCAGCCACATTACGATTTGCCTCGAGGAAGAGGCTGGGGCGCATGGAATAATCCCCAAGCCTCCAATGGCAGGGGCTTCGCGGGCAAGAATGGCGTGTTTGGGCCGGATGGGCCGTTTGGTCCTGAGGGACCATTCGGTCCAGGAGGACCGTTTGGCGAAAAGGGCATATTTGGAAGCGACGGCGTATTTGGTCCGAATGGTTTCTTTGGACCTGGCCAGGATGAGAAGCAACAGCAGCAGCACGCAGAGCAGCAGAGACAGCAAGCAGAACAACAGAGGCAGCAACAGCTGCAACACGCAGAACAACAGAGGCAGCAGCTGCTGCAACACGCAGAGCAACAGAGGCAACACTATCAACAACAAGCGGAGCAGCAGAGGCAGCACGCAGAGCAGCAGAGGCAACACTATCAACAACAAGCCGAACAGCAAATACAGCATCTGCAACAACACCAGCAACAGCAGTGGCAACAATACCAACAGCAACGGCAGGCCAGTGCCTCATCCCTGCCCGGCTCCTGGCCCGACGAGAAAAAGCAGCAGCAGCAGCAGCAGCAGCCAGCTTCAGCCTCGCAAGACGACGACCAAATCCCGCCTCCCGGCCCGAGGGCTTCCGCAAAGTATAACACCATAGGGGCCCTGGAGAGGACCATCCAGGCGCAGACCGCGGCGGCGGAGAAGGCCGAGGGTCTTCAGAGGGAGCAGGTGGAGAAGGCGATTGCGACGATGAAGAAGCAGCTGGAGGCGTTGAGGGTGCAAGCTGACGAGGAGTATGCGAAGGAGTTGAGTGGGAATTGATGGATGAAACGACGGAGATTATGAACGGGATGGGCTTGTTTTTACTATTGTACAAGAAAGGATAGTATCTAGCGTCGGATGTTTTGTGATACCAAAGGAAAGACTGTTTCATCATAGTTTGCTACACAGAGAAGAATGTCACTCAGCTTTTTTCATCTTGATTTTGCTCTCCTTGACCACATTTCTTGACTCGTACGGCAATGCTTTTATCTAATCCTCTCCCCCCCTTTTTTCCTCCGTACCAACCACGATACCATGAAAGTCATGAAAAAAAAAATTACCTCCATCCCCAGCAAGTAAATACTCACAAAGAAGAAAATACACATCCAACCATAATACATATACACCCCAAACCCTCACTCCTCCAGCCCCTTCTAATGCTTCCTCTCGTCCTTCTCCACCAAATCCCCAACCCCCAACCCCCTTCCCACAGCAACCTTAATCTTCCTCTCCTTGCCATCCGCCTCCGGATCCCTGCCCACCTCGCCCACCGCCTCACCCTCATCCACGCCCTCGCTCTTTATCGTCGTCGCATCTCCGCCATTCGTCTTCTTGCCCTCGTCCTTGTCCTTGTCCTCGTCCTCGTCGGCGTACCGCTTCGCCAGCTTCGCCACGTCATCCAGGTCCAGGCGCATGCTAAAGGCGTCCTCCCCATCGGCGTAGTACTTGCTCTCCGTCTTCTCGTTGCGAAAACGCAGCGTGTCTTCGTACAAGTGTCTCGCTGCGACGTTGGACACGCGGACGTGCAGAGAGACGTATTTCGCCTGGAAAGTCTCCACCATGGCAAGCTCTGTCACATCACGAAAAATGCATTAGCAACACAATCTTTCTCGTCCCAAGATGCTCCCAAAGAACCTACGGCTCTGCCTCATCAGCTTCTCCGCAATGCCCAGCCTCCTATGCGTCCTCATAACGCTCAAGCTCGTGATATGCCCGTGCTGCACCCCGTCCGTCGGCTCCTCCTCCATCTTGGCCAGCACGTAGCCCACAATCTTGGGGTAGTCGTAGGGCCCCTTGCGCGGGCGCGACACGTCGACGGCGACGAAGCTGAGCTGCGGCCAGGACAGCGCGTGGTAGAGGTAGTACTTGAGAAAGTAGTTCTCCGGCAGGTTCTCCAGGTTGGCGTGCTGGATCAGCGGGAGGTCGGCCGTGGTGAGGAGGCGGATGTCCATGGCGGCGCTGCTGTTGTGTGTTGTGCTGTTCTGTGTGCTGTGCTGTGCTGTTTCGATTCGTTTGGGGGGGGGGGGGGATTGCAGTTGATGGAGGGTGAAGAAGAATAAATACAAGGACGATATAAACAGGGGCAATTCGGAGGGAAAAGAGTCCGGCTCCGGCTGCTGCGTGTAAAGAATAGGCAGATGCAAAGAGGCAGAAGCACAAGATGAAGCTGTCAAAGTCAATGGGCCAGAGCCAAAGTGCGTCTTCCCCCACCAAAAGCCTTGTCCGACTGCGGGTCCCGCCCGCTTTAGCCAGAAGCTCCAGGATTGCGTATAAGCAAGCATCAGGTGCTATTCTTTTTCTTTTCCATATTAAACATGATGTTACAACGGCAATATCTCAAATAGATTCCATACATAAATGCATCATTCATTCTCATAAATAAAAGACAAACTACAAAAGACTACCTAATGTAAAAATCATCAAAAAAAGTCAATTTCCCTGCACATGTGCACCCTGGCTGAATTGTACAAACATCTATCATCTTTTCTTTTTCTTCTTTCTTCTCTTTCTTTTTTTCTCTTTTTTTCTCTTCTTCTAATTCTGGTCTACAATCTTCTTCTCGCGAATCGGCAAGTCCTTGCTGACTTCGGCAGACGTCGCCGTCATGCCTCCAGCGGCAGAGGCCTCGTCCTGAGCCTTGGCATCCACATCCACCTTGGCAGCTTCGGCGGCCTTTGCAGCTTCGGCAGCCTTGGCCGCCTTCTTGGCCTTCTTCTTCTCCTTGTCCTCTTGCTTCTTCTTCTTGGCAGCCTCCTCGGCGGCGCGAGTCTCGGCAGAGCCGCCAAACTTGTCCTTCCACTCCTCAATCTTCTTGTCGTCTATCCTGGTGAAGAGATAGGCGGCCTTGCCAATCTTGTCGCCGGCCTTGATGGCGGTGGGCTCCCAGGTGTCAGGGATGAACGCCAGCTTGGTGTTGAGCTGCTGGCAGATGGATTCGCTCGTAGAGGGCATATACGGCGAAACGACAGAGGCCAATAGGTGGCAAAGGTTGAGAGCGAGACCAATGGTAGTGTGGGTTCGCTCGGGGTTCTCGGCCAAGTTGGCATTATCCAATCGGCCCTGAAGAAGGTTGTTGCCTTCCCTGCTAATCTCCATGAAGGCCTTAGCACCAGCACGGATGTGCACCTTCTCCAAGAGGTCGACATACTCCTTCAGCAGCCCGTTGACCGTCTCGGTCCAGGCGGGGAAGTCAAAGGTATCGTCCTTGTAAGAAGGGTTGAACTCGGGGACAACACCGTCAAGCTTGGCATTGACAAACTTGACGATACGGTTGACAAAGTTGCCAAAGTTGGCGAGCAGCTCGCTGTTGTTGGCCAGCTGGAATGCCTGCCACTCGAACTGAGTATCGCTAGTCTCCGGTCGGTTCGAGAGCAGGTAGTATCGCCAAACAGACGGCGAGAGGCCAATTTCTCTGGCCTGGTTACCGAACACACCAATGCCTCTCGACTTGGAAAACTTGCCGTTCTCGTAGTTCAAGTACTCGGTGGTGGAGAGGTGGTTAAGCAGGGTCCATTTATATCCGGTACCAATCTCGGATCCAGGGAAGATGACTGGCACCATACTCGTCAGTCTGTAGTCCACTCAAAAGAGGCAATGAAAGAATACTTGTACGAACCTGTGTGGAAGGGCACATTGTCCTTGCCCATGAACTGATAGAGGGTAACATCATCGGGATTCTTCCACCACTGCTCCCACTGATCGGTATAGTTGGCCGTGATGGAAGGATAGCCAATGCAGGCATCGAACCACACGTAGATGACCTTCTTCTCATAACCAGGCAGGGGAACCGGCACACCCCACTTCAGATCTCTCGTGATGCTGCGGGGTTCCAGGCCCTTTGTCAACCACGACTGGGTGATGGAGATGCCGTTCTGAGGCCATCCGTACTTCTTGTGGGCATCCTGAAACCACTTGTCAATCTCGGGCTGCAGCTTCTCCAGGCGAATAAAGACATGTGTCGTATCGCGGGGGACAGGAGTAGCGCCGTCGACCTTGCATTTGGGGTTGATGAGCTCAAACGGATCTAGCAGGCTGCCGCACTTGTCGCACTGGTCGCCTCGGGCATCGTCGTAGTTGCACTTGGGGCACGTTCCCTCGACGAATCGATCCGCCAGAAAAGAATCGTGCTTCTCACAGTAAGGCTGTTTTGTCGTCCGCTCCTCAAGGAAGTCGTTCTCGTGCAGCTTGAGGAAGATGTCCTGCACAATCTCCGTCTGCTTCTGGGTCGAGGTTCGGCCAAAGTAGTCGAAGCCAATCTCGAACCACTCGTAAATCTCCTTGTGCTTGACGTGGAACTCGTCGCAGAGCTCCTTGGGGGTCTGGCCCGTCTCGAGGGCCTTGGTCTCAGTGGCAGTGCCGTACTCGTCTGTGCCGCAGATGTACAGCGTCGGTCGGTCGCGAAGCTTGCTGAAGCGAGAGTAGACGTCGGCACTGAGAACACTGCCGACGACGTTTCCAAGGTGAGGGACGTTGTTGACATAGGGAAGAGCGCTGGTGATGAGGACGTTCTTCTTGCCCTTGACGGGCAAGATGGGATTTTCAACCGCCATTGATGCGATTCCGATGCTTCTTCGTTGGCTGCTCAAACTCCAAACTCCACAGAAACAAGGCCGTCTCTATCGATATTTATCTTGTGTGAAAGACTCCGAAAACAAGCGTCACTAAATCGACCAGGGTCCAGTAATCAATCAATCAATGAAAGGCGCATGTGGAAAAAAAAAACGATTACAAGATTGACAATTCGAGTCATCGCATTGCCCCGCTATCGCACTATGGCTTAATGGCGGGGTGTGTCACAAAAATTCTGCCGCCGCTAGCCTCTGTCTGTTTCGGGCGGGTGGTCAAGAGCCTCGGGGCGCATTTGAACTGCTAATGGAATGCTAAGACTCGGAAAAGATACTCTTTAGAGAAGCAAAGCAAAACAACCTACTATACAATATTGTTGTAAATCATACTCGAGTAAACCAATAATCTCCAAAAATGTCATCTGATCCCCTCGATGACGTCTTCACCCTTGAAGACCGTTTCTACTCTCAAGGCTACAACCAAGGCGTCGAAGATGGTGCCCGCGCAGGAAGAATAGAAGGGCGCTCATTCGGCATGGAAAAGGGCTTCGAAAAGTTCCTCGAGAGCGGCCGCCTCGCCGGCAAGACTCTCGTCTGGGCAAACAGACTCCCCAAGAACACAGCCCAGCAGGCCAACTCTTCGGAAAAGAGCTCAGAAACATGCACGCTGCCGCCACTACCGAGCAATCCACGGCTGGAAAAGAATGTTAAGCTCGCGTATGCTTTGGTCGAGCCAGAAACGCTATCTACGGACAACAGCGATGAAGCTGTGCAGGATTTCGATGATCGGGTCAAGAGGGCGCAGGGCAAGGTCAAGATTATTGAGAGAATGTTGAACTGAGATGGAGATTTTGATCTCACTGACACATATCCGTGTTGATGCTCTGCAAAAGGATGCGAGCGTCACCGTATACATCATACACATAAAACAGCGCAGAGGCATAGAATTTTCGGTATTCGCGGAGTTATGGCATCAGGATTGGGATTATCAGAGGAACTGTGGGAGTTTATATGGGGAAAAAAGGGAAATTCTAATCTTTCTTCATCTTAACTGTATTTACACAAGTCGCCCCCATTGCCCGTCTCATTTGAACGTCCTGGTAGGATATCTATCATCACCCAAGTATTAGCAAATGTCAGTCCCATTCGTCGACCAGAAGCAAGAAACTTACCCTTCGCCATATGTCTGATCCTCGTTGAGCTCGTACTTGTGCACATCCCATCCTCCAGCCGCCAGCGCTTGTCCGCTCGGCAGCGGTGGCAGGCCATTGACGAACACGTCCTTTGCCACATCCTTGGGCGCCTTCTCCAGGAACTTGGCCAGGCCCGTCTCGCCCTCCTTCTGCGCCGCAACGAGAGCCTTCTCGCCGGCCTCGCCAATCAGCTCGACCTTGGGCTGCGCGGCGCTTCCAACCGTCAACAACGACACTGCATCGCCCTGAGTCACCACGCTAAGCTGCGGGTACGCGCGACGGACATCACGCTTCCAGTAGGCGTTGTCGGCAATATCGCCAGCGGGAAGAGTGACGGGGTCGTCGAAGCTGAGGGGGTCCAGGGCTCCGGGCGTCGGGTTTCGGAAGTAAGGGTTCAGGGGAACACCGTTGGAGCGGTTGGGATCGAGGGCGAAAGCCTTGCGGAGCGTCTCCCACAAGCCGGTGGACTGGAGGGTTTGTTTCTGCGGATTTCAAACGTCAGCCTTTTTGAATTGAACGAAGCCGCAAACCAAGAAGCTGAGGCGTAATTCGACGCCAATTGGCGCCGCAAAGGGGGGGTGGAACCGAGCAGGCATTTCGAACCTTTGCAATAGAAACAACGCCTCCAGCAGCCTTTGCTGCCGCCTGAGAAGCCATCTTGCGTGAGCGATGGGAGAGGCCTCAGTGCGATATGTCGAGTGTCGTCTGGGAATTGACTCGGCCTTGGTTCATCTCAACGAAGCAGAGCAATGTTAGCGATTCGGCTAACCGAGGCTTTGCCGATGGCCTCTTTCTGCCTACCCTGCAGCGAACCGGAGAGTATCGGGCGTATTCTCAATGAAACCAATTGAGCCTCGTTGGATAAAAATGAGGTGATGAAATTTGAAAATAACTGTTTCCCTGAGTGGAGGGGTATATTTCAAGGTATTTATGTTTGTAATTGAAGGGTGCTACTGGAGCATTTGCCAGAAATCATATTTTGGGGTATAATACTATAGCGCCCTTTCAGAACGAACACACACGAGACTCGGCTTAGTATCACTAATGCCATTTCCTCATTCTCCCCTGCGGTGCCGTACTCAATTATTTCATCAATTGATATCTGTTCCTAGATTCTCTCCACATGGAGCTTTCACCGTATTTACCAATTGCTTAATCATTGCATGGGATGATACACAATTGCACCCACCGCATTCTTTACAAAGGACAAACTCAACACCATCTCCTTGCAACGCTGAGGTATGGTGGCCGCATGAAACATCTTCTCGGGAACCAGAACGAACCATAGCAAATAACCGAATCAATTCGATACTATCCCTCAGGAGACTAACGAGCAATACATACGAGAACAGTGGGTCTTATACAGATTCCCAGTACCAGTACACAAAGAAGCACGCTTGCTATCCCTGACAGCCATCAACTCCCACGCCAACTAGTAAAAAAAGCAAGACGATTAATTTTCAAGATACACAGCATCGGTGCAAAGAAAAGCCAGCCACGCCTAGTTCTCTCCCTTCAACTCCTTGACCAGAGCCTTGACTCTGTCCGCGGTGGCAGCAGGGCCGCCAGCCTCGGCAACAAGCACCTTGCCCTCCTTGTTGACAACAAAGACTCCGCGCTGAGTTCCCTTAGGCTGCTTCTTGAGGCCAATGGCGTCAATGAGGGTGGCCTGGGGATCGCAAAGAAGGGGGTAGGGCAGCTTCTGCTTCTCCTTGAACGAGGTGTTTGCCTTGGTGGAATCAGTGCTGAGACCGTAGATGGCGAGGCCATCAGCAGTCAGAGGCTCATAGGAGTCGCGGAAGAGGCACACTTGGTTGGTGCCTGAGAATTGTCAAGTCAGCATACGTGTCGCGTGAAAAAAACCTGGATATCAAGACGAGAGCGCGGATAAACGCGTATGAGCCCACGAGGAGGGCATTGGTTACATATTCAGAAGCAATCTACGCACAAGAGCTCTGCAGGACCAAAAATGAGAAATAAAAGGCACTTACATCCGGGTGTGGAAGCCTTGGGGTAGGTAAAGAGGACGACGCCGCTCTTGCTGTCGTCGAGAAGCTTCTTGAGAGAAGTCGTCTCGCCATCATTGGTCTGGATCTCGCCGCCAAATCCCTCGAGGTCAATGACATCGCCAACCGCGATCTTGCCCGCAGCAGCAGCCGGCTTCTTCTTGTCGTCCTTCTTGTCGTCCTTGGACTCTTCTTTGGCGTCGTCCTTGGCGCTCTCCTTGGTGTCCTTCACCGTTTCTTTCTCCTCAGGGGCTTCCGGCGCAGACTCGGTAGCCTCGTCGTCCTTGGAAGGCTTGTCGGCCTTTGCACTGGGCTTCTTGACCTCGTCCTTGGCCTTTCCAGCGGGCTTTCTGGCCTTGGTGGCCACCTTCTTCTTGCTGGGCGCGGGCGCGGGCGGCGCCACGGGGGCCTTGCGCTTGCGCAGCTCAACAGGCATGATACTGGTCTGGCGGTGCTTTGTGACGGCGAGTTTCCCGATTTTTTGGTGCTCCCGCAGCTCTCCTGAAGGATCAGAAGGGAAAATGACACGTTGTACAGGTCAACAAAGCTGCGCAACGCGGTTGTGAGAAGGAGGCGCTGCAGTAAGCTAAGAGGAGAAAAAAAAACAATGGAAGAGAGGTCTGGGCCTGGCGGTCGTTGTGACAGGGCAAACTCACCAGAAATTCTGCCGTCGCATGCGATTCCTACTCCGTACAAGCCACCTGCCTGTTAGCCGTGCAATTGGCCCTGGCAAGCTGCGGCCAATCAAGAGCTTGTTCGAAGCTTGGACCATTTGCTTAACGCGGAGCTCCAGTTTACGGAATGTTGCCGTTGGACTGGGGTTTCCGAGATAGTGACAGTGTCTGACAGCAAGTCTCCGTAGCGCTCCGGGTTGCTGGCCTTGATTCGCCCGTGGTGGCGAGGGCAGAGCCATTGACCGGCCGGGCACGAATCCAGTTGCTGGCAGCTGGTTAACCGAGTAAACTACTATAATCCATGTGCCGGTAGGTCTAACTGTATGGCGAGTAAGGTACGAGTAAGCACCGAATGCTGTTGCTGGGGAAACAGTTGTGCTGTAGTGGTATTGATCTGTCTGTCTACCGCAGTAGCATGACTTGCATCAAATCTGCAGCTCCGCGCGCAGGGTCTATAATTGGCACCCGACATGTATCACTTGGCCACGGCGCGGCTTGTGCCGTTATTTACTGTACATACCTTACTGTAATTGCCGGGTACGGACAGACAGGCTTTGAGGAGTTGGGTCACACCACAAGTCGGCGGCATCACCACATCCCTGGCACATGAAACGAAGAGCCCCAAGTGTATGTAGACTTCAGCAACTTTCATGCTGGTGCATTCATCGTCTCACTATCAACAACGTACATCGCATGCGTTTTGGCTTTTCCTCTTCAGAAGTAGTATCTGGACGTAAAGTCGTATCAAGGGAAGAGATATCTTTTGTCTTCCAAATATCCTCCGTGAAAAAACCCACAATATTGGTTGGCAAATTTGTGTGTCTCCCCTCCCCATTGTCAGATCATCAGCCGCATCGAAGGCACCAACCCCAAGACGTTTTCAATTTCACCCTGTTTCAGCATTTGAGCCGAAAACCTGCGTAGCCTCCAAGCACTTGGCAACGCGAGTTGCAAAAGAGCTGTTATATCGTCGCATCGACCATGCCGAATCAACTTTTTGGCCGCACCCTAGAAAATGCGCGGAATAAGGACAAAGGAAAGGAGAAGGCCCGGATGGACCATCATCGTGGGTATCATAGCTGCCACGCCAACTTCCTCTCCATCAACAAGCCGTCATGGAGAAAACAGCTTCCGCCATTTTAGTTAGGGCACTGAGCCTGAACGTGACCGCTCTGCTGGCACTTGTAGCAGATCTTCTCGCCTCCAGCGGACTCCTTAGGACAATCGCGGGAGTAGTGGCCAGACTCGCCACAGTTGTAGCACTTCATGCCGTTGACGCACTCGCCTGCATCGTGGTTAGTAGGGGGTTCAGACGGTGAAGAGGAATCGTGGTGCATACGAGACATGTGGCCGTAGCCGCCGCACGAGTAGCAGGTCTTGCCGGCACCGCCGCCATAGCCACTGTTGCCGCCGTAAGAGTTGCCGCCAAAGCCACCTCCAGACTTGGGGCAGCTACGGGCGATGTGGCCCTTCTCGCCGCACTAAGGAACAAAATGATTAGGTCTAAGCCAACACAACTGCCCAACTGTTCAATTGCGTACCTTGTAGCACTCAGTGGACTGACCGCCGGCAGAAGCTCCGGCCTGGGGGCAGTCGCGGGAAATGTGACCCTGCTGGCCGCACTTGTAGCAGGACTTGTTGTCCTTCATGGGCTCAGAGCAGTCACGGCCTGGGCAAAATTAGTGGGTGAACGGGAGGAATGGTTAGTCAAAGTTGTCAGGGCTTACTGATGTGACCCTCGCCTAGTAACTGTTAGTATAAGCAACGCCAAGTAGAGTGTAGACATTACGCACCACCGCAGTTGTAGCTGATGACAAAGTTAGTACATCAATCGACTTTTCATATGACAGAGACCAAAAAACATACCATTTAGCAGGGCCTTTGGTAGGGCAGTCACGGGCCTAAGAGCTGTGTGAGCTGAGAGCCTTGTTGAAGGCCTGGGCATGGGATTTCACTGTACCTGGTGGCCGGTAGAACCGCCTGCATGAACCCGTTAGTAGCTGAGACGATTGATGATTTCATGGTGATGAGTTGTGACGGGGGTGAGGGTGGGGATGAGGTTGAATCAACGGAGCAAATTGAAAAAAATTAGAGCAGCAGCTAGAAGCTCGATATATTCGAGAAACGCTCCTCTCTAGAAGATCAACCATGCTGTGGTCGCATGAATGCGGTGAAAGCAGTGCAGGAAGGTTGGAGGGGTTGCTGGGAACCTCCAAAAAAATTCAAGGTACCTGACGGAGCAAAAACGCGGGGGAATTTCAGGTGAGGTAGTACAAGTGGCAATTCATGAAACACGGGAGAAAAAGAGAACTCACAAGAGTAACACGCTCCTCGGGGAGTGTAGTCCATGGCTGATATGGCGATTGGAGAAGAGAAACGGGCTGCGAGGTCGAGTTGATCAATGTCAGCGACTATATGGGAGCTTTGCGAGGTGAGTCCAAAAATGCAAGCCGATCTGCCGGCCTGAGGCTGAGGGGCAACAGACGACCCATTCCGCAGCGCTATATCGCATTGCCCACCAGGGCCAACGACGCGAATGGCAGAATTGGCAGCATTCCCCAGGCCAAGACGATGCCGTGGAAGAGACGGTACTTACTGGGCAGTATAACGGTCAGGAATGAAGCGTCGAGAGGCTGTGGGAGGAGGATGTTGATTCCACAAATCGATAATTGGAAAAAAAACGTGTAGACGAAAAAGGGAAAAGTTTTTGACGATAGCAGCTATTGGGCCCTCAGCCTAGGCCGGTCTAGTGCGCTGCTGGCGGTGGCCCGCTAAGAAACAGGCGAGCGTGGGAGGCCCTTGCCGATCGGCGGAAAAATGTTGAGCCGGGGTTAGCTGTGGGTGCGATGCCAGTGCCGAAGCTGGAGAAAACATGAATTAAGCTTCTGTGGCAGAACGATGAACAGAGCCTGACATTTGTGTCAAATATGGATTTTTCTGTGTTTCTGCATCTCTACTAGAAGTGACATTGAACAGTATGATAATGATCTGGAACAGTGTTTGGGAGATGCGAGCAACTTGGTTCCTTGTATTCTGAGGCCTAACGCTACGTAGTTATACAAGATGCTGCAGCACAGAACTGCTTGCTTTCTCAGCGGCAGCTCTCAATTGAAGCGAGGAGCCGCTTGTAAATTTCTCACTGGGTTGAAGAATGCCTTAGTACTAGTAAGCATTCCACGCGAGTCACAAAAAGTAGCATACTTTACGACGGAGACTCCCATATATCTGTCTAAAGCATCATATCCATTCAACTCGTGGGGCACGTGCCTAGCCATTCTTCTAGACAGCCTTGACGCGGGTCACGTGGCCTGGCGTTTTCTCCAGTTGTTGTGGCGCGGTTTGGGCCGCGGGAGCTTCACGGTCTTGTTTGTTAGCGTCAACAATAGCAGCTGGCTTCACGGCCAAGCACAGCGCGACTCAATTGCGAAATCCTCGAGATGGACAACTGGTCGGAGAAAGGCCGGCCAGCTGTGCACGAAGCTCTCAATCATGTGTGGGAAACAATAGACCGCGAGATCCAGGATGGTACGTCGCAGCGCTGTCGATGCTGGTAGCTACGTCGTATTAACGTGACAAAGAGCTCAGCCGGAGGGCCGCGAACTACGCCGCGATCAACGAGACATTGAAGAGCAAATTGGCCAATATTGAAGCACTTGAGAACGAAAACAAGAATCTGCGGGCTCAACTAGCGACTTTTTCTTCGAGCCCTCCTTCGACAGAATTAAATACTTTAGTCGAGAATGCGTCCTCAGCAGGCAGACATGCCCCCACTTCGAGTATCGCGATCGCTCAGCCAGCTTCAACCCCTCCCACGACAGAGGCACCTCCTCTTAGCATTATATCTGATAATGCCGAGCTTGTCAAGTTCAAAATGAGATTCAATGCACTCTCAAACAATTTCAAGACGGCAAAAGAAGCTCTTCGCAAGAGAAAGGATGAGCGTGATTGGTGGATGGAGCGTGCAAAGAAGTTGGAAAGGCAAGCTAGGGATGCTGAGGAGAAGCACGGTATACGGATTATAGACCTGGAAGAAGCCGACGATCCTGATGCACTACATAAAATAGGTCTGGTTCCTGATAACCCGACTACTGTTATGCCACCGCCAACTGTCCTGGCAACGTCTGATAGCGATCACAACGCCAATGTAGACGATGCGCAGCTGCAATCTACTCAAGGCGATCCTGACGAGGCAGAGTCTGAGGATCTGCCTCCTTTACCCAATAACGACCAAGACCAGGATCCGATTCTAATTAAACCAGAACCATCTTCCGACGTCCCAGTAGTAGTATCCGAGAGGAAGGTGAAAAGGAGAAGAGTTGAAGATAGGGGGTACACAGCTGCGACAACCCCAAGGATCAAGGCCGAACCGGGCGATTCTAGTCCTATTGATGCCTCGGAACATTACCAGTTCAACATTCAGGAAAGTATCGACCTTGACGATATCGCGCAGAGGATAACGACTCCTCGAAAGCGCAAAGACCTAGAAGTTGCGGCTGTCGAAGATGCAAACGAACCAACAGTTCCGGTTTCTAATATAGCTCAAAGGCTCGGCTATATACGATCAGATGGAGCGAAGAAGTCGGCTAAGGATACGCGTGGCTCATCTGTGCTCACGCCAATAAGCGGCAATAAAAGAATGACAACGTGGACTGATGCGGAGGAAGAAACCCTGAAAGATAAATTGGCCCATGGCATTTCAGTTTTGGCAGAAGATGGCACTCCCTATGGGAAACAAAGACTTGAGAAGAGCTTGAAAGCCCTGCCTACGCCGACTTCAGTTGCCAAAGGCCGGTTGGATACGCTGCTGAATACTTCAACTCCCGAGAATGCAGCCACGATCTCGCGAACACCCCAAGCTCGCCAACCAGAGCGCCTTTCTGCTGAAGATACGCCTCTTGACCTCCTTTTCCCCCAACCCCGACAGCTACCCTTTGACAAGATGATTCAACATATTACGAAGCGTCAAGGCTTGGGCGCAGATGTGACGACGCCTTCTAAGAAATCGGTCAAAAAAGCGCCTGGTCGAAGTATATCCCCGCTCAAAAGCAGGGCATCCGCTGCTGGCCTCCGCCATAAACCCCTGTCTGAACTTCGGCTTGATGATTTCAAGGTGAACCCCTCATCGAATGAGGGGCACGATTTTGCTTATTCGGACGTTGTCAGAGACAAGGATGACAGAGCAACCCTGCGAGGCTGTACAGACATGCATTGCTGTGGGAAGCATTTTAGGGCATTGGCTCTATCACAGCGGCCAAATCCACCGCTGACGGCGGAACAGCGACAGGAAGAGCAAAAACTCCTGGAGGGCTACCTGGGTGAATTTGCCTACCGACTGTCATCCATGACAAAAGATGAAAGAGCTGAGATGTGGATTGAAGCCAAAACCGAAGAGCTAGCCAATAAATACGGCAGACATAGACATCGCTTCTCTCGCATGCAGTCTCCGCCCGGATTTTGGAATGCTGACTTTCCAGATACGCAAGAATTGGCAGCGGACAAGGAAGAGGCTCTGAGGCGAGAGAAGCGTGCAATTGCAGACAGATATAGAGAAGCCATGCGCCCCGGTGGTATGTGGTTATTCAGAGACGAATAGGTCGTGGCGACGCGTCATGAGATAAGAGGCACGAGGCAAAGAATCGAGCGAGTGAGAGAACACGCAAGCATTGGCGTCTGGTTATCTTGGTTGAGGGCGGTTTGATCTGAAATTTGGTGTACACTGAATTGGCGTTATGCTTTTATATATAGTAGGGATCAATTGTTTACTTGCAGTAGAATTAGACACATATACATGGATAACTCTTGTCTTTTAGTACATATCAACGGCTGTCTTGTATCTGGAATACACAGTCAATGACATTTATAGCTGTATACCATCTCTCGTACCTCACCATCTTTAAATACTCGATCCCACGACGCTCCGTACATGGCAATCCCAGGCTGCCGGATAATCCTCGGGACGATCTAGTCGGCGGAGTGCACGGATGCTGGGACGATCTGAGCGCGCTAACCAACCCATCAATTCTGCCTCCACAGTGACTCGAACAGAAGCCAGCCGCATCTCAACGGTGCTTCCAAATATCGCCGCCGGCTTCTACAGCCCATTTTTACTTCTACTCCTTGCCCCCAACCAACCTGCTGCGGCCTCACCCCATTCAGAGCGCCCGCTGTGGCCTTTCCTTGGACTTGTCACGAAGATACTTCTTCGTCTACCATCTCTTTAATTCTTCCCTCTCCAACGCTGGTTGGACAATCATCACTGTCGTCCAGTCACGTTACCTCGTTGCGCAACTCTGATCCGCGTCGCGCAGCTCCAACAACGCTCGCCATCACGACAACACAGACGCGCACCCTTTCTAGCTGTTGGCCCCAACTGCGAGATTGACACCGCTCCCCCCCAACCTCCGGCAGTGCAGGTAGATGCGGGAGTCGCAGCACTGGGCGATACCCGCAACAGTACGATCTCCCAAGCCGGCAGGATGAGTAACCGCCATCTGCCGGCTGGGCAGGGCATACAAGCCTCGGCCGGAGGCATCAACGGCGGCATGGATTTGAATGGAAGCATGGGGGGCCCTCGGCGGAGACAGCAGCAGTACATGCCTCCCTATCACCAACACCAGCTCCAGAACCAACATCCGCAGCACATGAATCACATGTACTCCAACTATGCGCCGTATGCTCCCCAGCAGTATTATGGCATGCCACCGCACCAATATCAGGCTGGAGGAGTTCCAGCTCCCGGATATATGGCGTACCAGAACTACAACGCCAGGTCCCCGCCGCCCATGCAGCAATACGCCCCCATGGTTGGAGTCAGCATCCCGCCGAGCTACCCTCGAGCGTCTCCTAATCCGATGACGCCGTACCAGCCTCCGCTTGCTCCCGCCCCTGGCTTACCCCATACTCCGTCCTCGACGCACTCGTCACAGTTGCTTCCTCCGCACACGCCTACGACTCCTCAGACGCCTCCGGTCGTTCAGCCAGCCCCTGTGCCGGAGCCTGTCCAAGAGACGACTCCTGCTCCTCCTCCCGCTGCGCCTGCCCCTGTCGTTGTTCCTGTTGTCGAGTCACGCGAGCCTTTTCGCCCACCGGTAAGTTTCGTTGAAGCAATACTGGCCGAGTCTTGGATGTCTTTCTAATCTTGGTGAAATAGCTTCCCTGGCTGTCACGTCCCGACGTCGAATTTCCTGTGAGGACTCCACGATCAAAACGGCAGAGAAAGATTCTGGGTGCAGAGGACAAGGCAGTATCGTTGCCTACGGGGCAGCATGATGTCTCCGCGGAACAGCAAATCAACCGGGAGCCTGCGGCATCTGCTCACAGCGAGCCAGCCCAAAAACAAGAGGGAGGAGCTACTTCGACCTCTGATCGTGCTGAACCCTCCAAGTCCGCAGGGGAAGAAGGTGTGACTCGAGCTTCCGCCTCAACTGGTGCATCTGTTACGCGCCCGGCTGCGCCCGCTGTTCCTGCGGTCCCCGTGCTACCAAAGCATGACCCTAAGCCATCCGCTTCTGATGCCTCTGTGACGGCGGAGCAGGAAAAGACCAACGGAGACGCTGCCAAGTCTGAAGATCAAGAGGCCGCAACTGATGCCTCTCTTGAGCTCCAACTCAATAGCACAAGCCACCCTCCAAGCCCCGTGGTTAAGGCCCCACCTACCAGCTGGGCAAATCTCTTTGCTAAGCCATCGGCTCGAGCTCAGACAGGATTGAATGGTTCAGCTGGTGGAGATGCCGTCAATGGTGATTCAACAGACGCCGCAAATAATTTTCCTGGATCAGCCTTTTCCAAATCCAACGCCAGCTCTCTTGCTCAGGCCATTCAGTCATACCAAGTCGAGAACAATGACAAGATCGATTTCCTTGAGCCGCGCGGACTCATCAACACTGGTAATATGTGTTACATGAACTCTGTAAGTTTCTCCAGGCCTCATATAGATCTTCAAGAACCTGCTGCTAATGCGCTTCTTAGGTGCTGCAAGTGCTCATGTTCTGTGTGCCATTTTATGACTTGCTTGACCAAGTCGGCAAAAAGGCTGCTCACAGCTTCAAGAGCGAGACTCCCCTGATTGATGCCTTGATCATGTTCATGAGGGAATACAATGTGCTCAAATCGTCTGCGTCCGTTGATCAGCTCAACAGAATTCTGAAAAACGAAGATCTCGAACGTTACGGCGAGCCCTTTACCCCTGAGTTTGTCTACGACGCTATCCGGCAGCTCTCCCGATTTGCCAGCATGCGAGTAAGTTAAGAACCTTGCTACAACTGACTTTGAACTTTGTGTGACTAATAGTTGTTCTTGCAGCGTGGTCATCAACAGGACGCAGAGGAGTTCTTGGGCTTCCTGCTTCAGTCACTTGACGATGAGTGCACTCACGTTATGAAGGATTTGCCAGTTGGACACGAGGAAGTGCCTTCATCCGACGCTTCTACCGGGGGATCCGTTGCGGCTTCTGACGATTGGCTTGAAGTCGGCCGCAAGCAACGCGCCGCTGTCTCTCGCTTGTCGGGTCACAATACGTCAACCCCCATCACCAAGATCTTTGGTGGCCTTTTACGATCCGAGTTTCGCGTGCCGGGGCTGAAGGATTCCATCACCACCGAGCGCTACCAACCTCTCCAGCTAGACATTGGATCTCCTGATGTCAGAAATGTTGTTGATGCCCTACGTGGACTGACTCGCCCAGAGCGTCTTCAAGGAGACTTCAACTCCCCTCGTGGGAAGGATGTTACGGCCACGAAACAAGTCTTTATTGAAACCTTACCGCCTGTCTTGATCCTCCACCTCAAACGATTCCAATTTGATGCCGAAGGCCATGGAACTGTCAAGATCTGGAAGAAGATTGGGTACCCTTTGGAGCTTGAAATCCCCCGCGAGGCTTTGTCGAGACAGAAACGCCAGAACCTCGACGATGCTTCAATGCCTAGATACAAGCTCATTAGCGTGGTGTATCACCACGGAAAGAATGCCAGTGGCGGCCACTACACAGTAGATGTGAGGCGACAGGATGGTCGCGAGTGGATTCGGCTGGACGACACCGTCATTCGGCGCATCCGGCCCGAAGACGTTGCCGAAACTGGGTCCGAGGAAGATGCCAAGGAGGCACGCAAGGATGCCGCGTCGAACGTTAGCAGCAACCGATTCGGAGCCATGAACGACGACGACACTGGCGACGAAGACGGTTGGAAGCAAGTCACTGCGCCAACTAATGGTGGCAAGCGATGGAGCAGCGTTGTCAACGGCGGAGCTAATGGAGCTGTCAAGGAGAAGCAAGTCAAGGACAGCATCAAAGATAACAAGGTCGCATATCTCTTGTTTTATCAGCGTATATAAACCAGCGCCTGGCTGGGCATCCGTTTATACCACTACGACATATAATGGATTTCATGGCCGGTGGCTGGTGTGCACTGGGAGGCTTTTACTGGAAGATTTGTATCTACCCATGTACTGATGTGTACAGAACTACATGATGTATCGATATACGGAAACCACTTACTATTGCATCCCAGGTCGGAGCCATTCATCCTGGCAAAGACCATGGGCCAAGAAAAAAAGACCAGCGCGAGCAGGAAGGAAAAAGAAAATGGACGGAAAAGGTGGCAGGGGGTTGTTGGGTGTTTAGCGGCTCAGATTTGGCGTTGCGGCGTCTCGGCAGGATTTCTTGCATGACTTTTGTCGAGACTGAAAGAAGAACGAAAAGGTGGACTGGGGGGAGAGACTGGAACTCTGAACGTGAGAGCTTTTGGGCCAGGGTAAAAGCGATTTTTTGGGGGAAGCGTTTTCCTTGCTGCTTCCAGAATTGCGTTGCACTCTTGTACAATATCACATAGCCAGTTTGAGTAATGACATGCATATACATATATATAAGGTATACATGTATATATATCACTGTGGGAGAAGGGGGGAGGGCTCGTGTTTATGAATGAGCAAAGGGAGTCAAGGTTAGACCATGTCTATACATTTTTATTTAATACAAAGAGACCTGTGTAGATCTCTAAACAGCCCATCACTTTCGCCCGCCGCTGCTTGATCCTGCCTCCTTCCGAACCAAATAACGTGCCATTTCGTTCCGTAAATTTTTCGTTTTTCTTTTAGTGCTTCTTGATGACGGTCATGGAATCCAGGGCGTCCTTTTCAGCGAGCTCGGCCTCGACCTGAGCAAGAATGTTGCGCAGGTAAGGGACATCCTAGAAAAAGAAAGCATTACAGTGTTAGTTTCAAGGAAAAGGCTTCAATTGTCGTTTGAAGGTTGTGAAATGTTCAGAAGATGGGTGGTGAGTTGCCGTACCTCCTCGGGCTTGGTCCACTGGTCCTTGGGGAGCAGCTTGTGGGTGTAGCTGCACTGGACGGAGCGGCGGATGCGGTAGACGCGCTCGTACGACTCCTTTGCGGAGAGGCGCTTGAGGGCGATTTGCACGGCTTCGGACTCTTCCTCGAGGAGGTCGTCGTATCTAGATTTCGGGGCCATTTGCGTTAGCATTCTCCATTTTGCGCAACGTCATGCCATTCCTCCACCAGTTTTCCACATCATGATGTTTTCTCTCTCCTTCTCCTTCTTCTCTCTTATCAAACCCATTCCCAAGTCCATTGGGTACCCAAATATCCCTCCAACAAAAAAGCGAGCAAGATTCGGCAATTCGTACCTCAGGCCGAGCTGGCGGTATCCAGAAGCGCCAGCGTACCAATTGGCCGCGGGCGTCAGCGCCTTGACCAACCAAGGCCGCTTCAGGACAAAAGGAGCGAGGGAAGCCATTGTCGGGGGCGGCTGTTGCTGCTGCTGCTGCGAAGGGGAGGGGAGGGAGGAGGAAGAGGCGGGTTTGGCTGTTTCGATCGTTTCGAATGCTCAAAGATTATGCGCGAAATGGGATGATTCGGCGGGCCCTGCAAAAGTTGGGAGAGCTCGGGATGTCACGTGGGGGAGAAGACGGCCGTTTTGTTGGTGGTGGGGGGGATTTTGGGTGTGGATTTTGGTGGGAGGACCGTAATGGACGGAGATGTAACGGTAGAATTGGCGGGATGGTTTTCCGTTTCGTTCCGTTTTCCGGATTGATGTGCTATGGCTTCGAGATCATTGGCTGCATGTAAGTCTGCCGTAGACACAAGTACATTATGTAGCCATGGATACAGTCCACTGACTCTTTTGATGCAATCAGAAAACTCTGTATGGAAAATGGACAATGATAACATGTAGTAGAGATATTGGCATTTATACTACCTCTCTTGTGCTCTGATAATATGGCAGCACTGGGGTATTATCAATGGAATCCCCTCACTGCTCGCCATCCCCTGCAATACTCGATCCAACTGATTCATCACACTCCCCCCAAGCCCCTCGTGATTTTCAAGATTTTTTCTTCCGCCATTCAACGCAACGCTCTATAAGTGGATGTGGGGAGCTCAAGTATAGGCAATGGTCACTGATTTCGTGCCAAGCAACGCCATTCTTGACGTCCAGATCCAGGGGCCTCGCGGGCCACTCGTCCACAACGGTATTCTCCGACTTCATTTCCATCCCAGACTCGCGAGCGTGCTGCTCAAATTCACATGTCTTCATGTACCTGTTACGATGTCAGATAGAGCCTCTCTATGCGATGCGGGGGCTCAACTCGGTAAAGTAATCGACAACACGTCTAGGCATCTCGACCAGAGTGAAAAGCTTTCTAGTGGCTGGAGATTTTGTACTGAAACATGTGTATAATATTACGAGTCCAAAGAAGTTGTTTATCGGCATTCGTGCATAGCCTCGGGAGTTCGGATCCTTTGCTGCGTTAACGAACCGCGTCATTAGAGTGGCATGGGGATTATCTGTTGGGTCGACAAGGTGCCCAGAGAAGAGTTGAAACGTGTCTCGAATGCTCAAGTCTTCTATGCCGCACACACTTGACACCTGTGTAGCCAGGAGGTACTTGAGCTTTAGCAGTAGCTCGACACAAATACCTTTGAAGAGGTATTAGCTAACCTCTATTCGATCATACTTTCTGCCGCCCAGGCGATGAGGAAGCGCTCGAACGGCAACATTGAGAAGCGACAGCACGATTCGAGTTTGCCCTAGGCAATGAAGGAATTCCCCAATAACGCCCCTAAGTAAGCAGCAAAGCTTCCCGTACAAATCGTTCTCGACAGCCCACGGCGTCTTGCCCACGTCCAAGACGCCCCATGCAGCGAGAGGACTAGCACTCCCAGCATAACAGTACTGGATATCCTCTGGAAACAGGGCGCTTTTGATTGTTAGTATAAGGAGAGGCGGAAAGGAGGGGGGAGGGAGATTAACCCATTTGGGTAGACAAAATCAAGACGTGAATGCCCAAAAGGCAAAAGCATCCCGTCTTCAAGGAACCTCTGATATACCACGCGCAAACGCGACGAGTCGGTTATCTTGTAACAACTATATTCTCGGGCATCGCGTCTGCGCGGATCTAGAGTGATCTGTTGCATTCGGCCCCTTGCGACTTGATAGTTAAGCGTAGGGGGGGGGGGGTTTAAGCAGTCAACGACATAGTTCCAGCGTACTACTGGGAGGGATAAGATGGATAGAGCTGCCTCCCGGAAAATTCCACGTGTGGTCGACAACGGTATCGAGAGCTTTGCCGTTTAACTTGTGACGAACCTGCTCCAACAGGGGCTGAATCTTTTCTTCTAGATATTGTACAATATCTCCAGTCAAAAAAGCTGAATACCAGACATGTATAATAGTATCAATTGCCCTAGATATATATGCTTGGTCGTGGTCTTGCGCCGACTGTGTGGCGTCGAGAGCGCACAAAAGCAGTATCACGTTTCGTGGAACGAAAGCAACCCTCTCAGTGTTGATCGTGATAGCTATGAGCTAATGGGACCGGGGCGGTAGTTCAGCTATTGTCCGGACAAGATGGCGCAAGTCACCGGAATCTATGTGTGCATTGAGTCATTAGCCATCGTACCATCACCAACCACTCACCTCAACTGTTACTCTATGGTTGCCTTGTCAGTAAAAAGTAAAGACAAATCTCCATCACCATCATCCAGGGCCTCGTTTTCTTTCACGTTGAGAATGTCAGCCGCTATTGTGCCGCCCCAGAGAATCCTTTTGTCCTCTAGCAGACGAAGAGGCGGAGCAGAAGCAGTCTTGCGGCCCTCAATCTCATACCCAGGACGCCACCCGTGTTTGACCAACGGGGCTTCGCAGTCCTTCATGTGCTCTGGCCAGTGAGAGTCTTCGCACATGACACTGCAATACTTTATATGCTGTTAGTACACGCGAGGAGTCAGGGTTGGAGTCACTGACAACCAACAAGCCACAGCCGCGGATACACGGAAATATTCCGACCTTGTTACAAGTCTGCAAGTTGGCGCAACTGAGCTGGCATCTTAATTGAGCTGGTGTGTCCATTTTGCCTTGAGGCGAGTCTCTGTGTACTTGTATGAATACCGATCAGTTGAAGAATCCTGGTGGTGAAGAAAGGAAAACAAATTGGATTGGTTTAGAAACAGCACCACCAGGTGGCCCTCCTTTCACACCTTATCTCTACTCATGTGTATCACTATCACTTTCCTTTCAGCATGTGTCATGATCAGTAGTGGGCAAGAATGATGGGCCTCGCATCTGCCTTGCCCGGCATTATTGGCATAAATTGGACAGATGCAGATACTAATAAGTACCTGGTACCTACTAATCTTGGACAGCTTCTGGAAAGCTTCGAGGTGGCTATCAAATACGTAGCACCGCTGGATCTCGTTGACTCTATTCAGAGAATCGTGATCACCAAGTATGAAGGCAGGCCGGCGCTGTGGTTGATACATACATGTACATTGACTCCAGCGAAGACGAGGTCCGAGCCGCTTCCTGCATGTCCGTCAGCTAGATGATTACGATATCCAGCCACTATGAGCAAGAATTGATTGAGCTCCAAGGCCGAGATGCACCAGAACCTGATACCGAAGAGTGACTGGGTAGGGAGTAATGAATAGCACCTAGGTAATGAACTTATCGGCAACTCAGGACTGGATATGCCTGATTCATTTATTAAGATCAACTATTGAAATTTAGAAAATTCATGCTGGCAGGAGGCAACTCCAGCCATTGCAACCAACTTGTTGAAGGGTACATCTACTAACGTATTAATGTGTTTGTCCATCCCTCCATCTACCTCTTATAAACTCAAATCCGAGCCTCGCTAATATACGTGTGTGTTCAATTAAACCCAATCAATTCCGGCCGACGGAGAATACATCTGCTCTCTATCAAGCAATGCAGCCCACACGCTGGATGATGGAGGCGAGAATTCTTCGACTGGCTTCCCCCGCCATGTACGGACATCTAGCGAGCCAGATCAAATGACCAGACTCGCCGGGTTTCCTGATTTTGTCCCGGGAGCTTTTCGTTGAGTTTTATTTTAGGTTAGGAGGTAGGTTTGGTTGGATTGGACTGGATTGGATTATGTTACCCGGTTCGAGTCTCTGGCTGCTGCACGGAAGATGCAGGACAATGTCGTTGCAGTGTCTTGCCATAAGCCAGCATGTGATGACGGTGCAGCTGCACTGCATGACCGAGCAGCATGTGAAGGCCGGACTATCACGATACTGCTGTATGTGCCTACTAATATGGACAGGAGTACATACGAGTATAAAGGCCTCGAGTGGACAACGGGCTGTTCGGTATCGGGATTGATACATGTACTAGCCTGCTACATGTACGTACTACATGCACCTGGCTCGCCTTGCGTCATTTGTCTCTGACGTAGCGACTTTAATTTTTTGTCCCCTGTATTTCGTCAACCAAAACATTGCCCGATGTGATTCAACCTTGGCCTCGAAAGGATTATCAACGTATTAACCCATCAATACATCATCACAATCGGTGGCGCACTCGTGCATACTAGGTACCTAATCACGATCAATACTTTACAGGTAACCAAGGTACCCCGTTGCCATCCATTGATCAATCACTCCCCGGCGATGGAATAAGTCGGCACACGCCCAGCCCAGCGCATGCGCCCTGTACTTGTACCGTAGCCGTCCATTACTGCGCTTGGAGGGGCCAGTCCCCACTGCAGGCCCCAAAATCTCAACCGCTTCGGCGCACTGCAGTGGACAGCGCCGATTGCCTGCCCGGCTATCTATCTTCTTCCCACTCCACCAATTCTCGCCCTCTTCTTCTTCCTTTCCCTCTCTCGTCTCTCCTCCCACCTTCGACCTCGTCCCTCCCGAGCGGCTGTCCGCACGTCCTCTACACCGCCCGACCAGTGCGACTCATCCCACAGCCTCGGCCGCTCTGGGCGACTCTCTCTACTCGCTGCACAAGTCAATGGCCGGCGGCGTTCGCTAGGCAAGGACGGATACTGCGCGTGGGAGCATTCCCCGCAGTACCCGGACTTTCCTGGACCGAACGGATCCCAGATTCGAGAATATCACACATAGCAGGAGCAGGGTCGGAGAGAGAACGATTAATTCTTCTTCTACCTTCATATTCGCTGGTAGAGCCGCAGAGCGGCGTGCTCGACGTCATCCGCAGCGCTTGGGACAATCTCTCGGAAGACGCAGCAACGCCGGAACAAACAGCCGATTTTTGTGTCATCACCACCAACAACTCTCAACACGAGACCTTATAGCCATCGGCGCCAACTTCTAGCCTCCTTGAATAGCCAGCGAATCTGCAATCGCCGCTCCGACAACCCGCTGCTTTAGACTTCTTCTTTCTTCCTGTCGCCGAGGGTGCTATGTCTCACGACCAGTCCCCCGACCAAGCTCAGCCCTCCTCTGCAGATCATGCGTCATCACCCTATCGCCTCGCCGATTCTCCAATGTCAGCAATAGCAGGGGGTCTCTCCCCGTTGCACCGATGGACACTCTCCGCCTCCGACTCCCAGTTCAATGCCTTGTCGGGCGCCATTGGCGGCTTCACGTCCGGCGTCGTGACTTGTCCTCTCGATGTGATCAAGACGAAGCTGCAGGCTCAAGGCGGCTTCACCTTGGTGGATAAGGGCCGGCATGTCGGCCACCCCAAGCTGTACAATGGGCTGGTAGGGACAGCCAAGGTCATCCTGCGTGAGGAGGGCATTCGGGGGCTGTACCGCGGCTTGGGGCCGATTGTGCTCGGATATCTCCCTACCTGGGCAGTGTGGTTTACCGTCTATAACAAGAGCAAGATATTTCTACATCAGTATAATGGTGCGTGGTCAGACTGTCATATTTGGTCGCTGCCATTGAACCTTGCCCGACTGACTCCCCCTTGATGAACAGAAAACCCTCATATCGTAAGCTTTTGGTCCTCCATAATTGCCGGCGCCAGCAGCACCATTGTCACGAACCCTATCTGGGTCATCAAGACCCGCCTCATGTCGCAGAGCAACCCGAACACAGCTAGAGGCCATCATCACGCGTTTGCTCGCCCCGGTAATACCCCGACGGCAAGGCCGATTCTCCACGAGTGGCACTACAGATCGACCATTGATGCGGCGAGGAAGATGTACACCTCGGAAGGCCTTTCTTCCTTTTATTCCGGCCTCACCCCGGCTCTTCTCGGCTTGACACATGTTGCTGTTCAGTTCCCTACGTACGAATTCTTGAAGACAACGTTCACCGGGCAAGGCATGGGCGAAGTACAAGAGGGGGAAAAGGCGCATTGGGCAGGTATCCTTTCTGCTTCCATCCTATCGAAAATACTTGCCAGTAGTGCAACGTATCCGCACGAGGTTATTCGAACCAGGCTGCAGACCCAGAGACGACCAGTTGCCGGCGAGACATTCCTGGTTGACATGGCAGCACCCGGAGCCAAGCCACCCGTATCCGGACCAAAGTATAGAGGCGTCGTCAATACATTCCGGACCATCCTCCACGAGGAAGGATGGAGAGCGTTTTACGCTGGCATGGGTACAAACATGATGCGAGCCGTTCCCGCCGCAACGGTAACCATGCTTACATACGAGTACGTTATGAGGGAGTTGAACAAGAAGAAGAACCAAGCTCTAGAGATAAAACGGGCACTGCAGGAGCAGCCTTGATCGAGGCCCATCGGACAAGCGCGGGTTATGCATCAGGCGGATTATTTCCAGAAGAGGATGGCTCATCTACGGATGATTTCATTTTTCTCTTCTCTGTTTTTCGTATGTTTTATGGAAATGGGATTTACGAAACAATGAGCAAAGTACCACGGGGTCAGATATACCCTTCTTTCGGACCCTCAACCCCTTTTTATTCCACCCTTTGGCCAAATTGTAGGTATAGAACAAAGTCTGAATTCCCAACCGGACTTTTGTAGCAGCACCAACTCTCATATTGAGATTCTAGGGTCTAGGCCCCGAGGTCTCTCTTCCTATTTATTCGTCAAATTTTTTCATCCCATTTTCCCTGTAATTTGCCTTTCCCCCTTTTTTCTTTATCTGAAGAGGTCATTCTACATCTGGAGAGAAGTGGCGGGGCAGCGTATGTTTGCTTTGCTTTGCATTTTTTTTCTCTTTTCTCTTTCATGTTAAAACAGAAGAATGGCGATTTGATTGGAAAGAGGGGGGGATGGAAGGTGTTGGTTTTTCGGCTGGGGTTTTCCCTGTGTACATCTATCGATATAGCAATGCAGACGAATACGATATCAAAGGCTCTCTCTCTCTCTCTCTTTTTTTTTTGTGCCCATCGTGGATTTGAGTTGGCTGGATGGATTTTCCGATTGCGCGATATTTATGCTACTTTTGTAAGCCGCTTAGAAACGGGTAAGCTTTTTGGATTGTGGATATGGGAATGTGGATGAGGTTTTTTAGTAGCGTTAAGGGGGCGTTTTTGTTTGGGGCATCGTGTTGGTTGTTTGGGTGAATTGTGGGAATTGGAAGTGATCAGTGCTTTTGTTTGACTGGAGTACATTTCATCTTTGTTTGTAAGTGCCCATCTCAGATGTCTAACTGCAAGGCGTGTACAAATGCCAAGGTTGGAGTATTGTCTCCTGAAATACATGAATCAAAATAACGCCGTATAATATAGCTAGCCCCATAGCATGAAACCCCCTATAAACCAAGAAATATCTTATACAAAGCATCAATACATTTCCCCGTTCTTATCACAGCATAGCCTTGGGGAAGTTCTTCATGGCCTGCCTGACACCCAAGTCGCCGAGAATCTCCTCAGCACCACCCAAGATGGCGTCGAACTTGTAGGTGCGGTTGAAGTGCTCAATGTACTTGCCCATGCCGGACTGGGTGAGGCCGCGGCCGCCCCAGATCTGGACGGCCTCGTCGGCGATTTCGTGGGCGCCGCGGGTGATGCTCATCTTGAGCAGGCCGATGGGGCCGGCGAGGTGGAGGGCCTGCTGCTTGTAGGGCATGTTGCACATTTGGTAGGTGATGGTCTCGAGCCAGGACTGGTTGGACTCGACGAGGGCGATCATCTTGGCGAGCCTGAAGGGATTGTTAAATGCTTGTTTTGGCACTGAAGGGGGTTTGATTTGGGGGAGAGGGGAGCTTACTTCTGACGAATGACGGGCTGGTCAATGAGACGCTTGCCAAAGACGATGCGCTGGTTGGACCACTTGAGGCACTCCTCGATGATGAAGCGCTGCGCGGCGAGGGAGCCGCAGGCCATGACCCAACGCTCGTGGTTGAAGTTGCTGAGGATGACGTGGATGCCCTTGTTCTCCTCGCCGAGGAGGTTCTCGACGGGCACCTTGACGTTGTCAAAGGTGATGTAGGCGGTGCCGGCGGCGGGGGAGTAGGACGTCTTGATGGGCTTGGTCTCGACGCCGGGGCCGCGCTCAATCAGCAGCACGCTGAGGGCCTTGCCGGTGCGGACGCCGACGACGAAGTAGTCGCAGAAGACACCGTTGGTGATCCACTTCTTGGTGCCGTTGACAATCTATAAAGAAACAAACACACGAGGGTTAGGAACGCTTATGCTTTTCATATAAAGGAAGAGAAGAAGAAGAAGAAGAAGAAGAAGAAGAAGAAGCAAACTTACATAGTGCTTGCCATCGGGGGTCTTCTCGGCGGTGGTGCGGAGACCGGCAACGTCAGAGCCGGCAAAGGCCTCGGTGATGGCCAGGCAGAGCTTCTTCTTGCCGCTAAAGACTTCGTCCGCAATCTTCTTCTTCCAGGCCTCGTTCTTGGCAAAGTTGAGCACGGCGGTCAGGCCAATGGTCATGCCGGCCATGTTTCCGTCCTGGAAGCCTCGCATCATGGGGCGGCACATTTCCTGGCAGGCGACCAAGTCGTGGAAGTAGTCAAACTCCTCGCCCTTGACGACGTTGTCGAGCATGTTGACGCCGTGGAGGTGCTTGCCCGGGCCCAGGCGCATGTGCAGGATGCCGGCCTGGCTCATCTTGTCAATGACCTCCTGGCTGATGGTCCGGCCGGTGGCCTCGCAGTCGAGGGCCTCGGGCTTGATGACCTCCTCGGTGAAGACGCGGACGGCATGGCGCAGCTTGCGGTGCGAGTCCTTGAAGTAGGGGCTCTTGAAGTGGGGGGTCAACCACAGCGGCTCGGCGTAGGGGACGGGGCTGAGGTCGCCGGGCTGGGGCGTGATGACCTCGGGCTTCTCGCCCTGGACGGTGCCGATGGCGAGGTCGGCGTAGCGCGAGAGCACCTCGTGGCGGTGGAGGTTGTAGAAGGCAGAGGTGGCGTCCTGGCCGGCAATCTGCTTGAGCACGCTCTCGCCGCCGGGGTGGGCGTCGACGAACTCGGTCAGGTCGTAGACGGTGCTGTCGATGATGCACCACAGGGAGTCTTCGGAGGTGTGGTTGCGAACCTCTTCGCGGGTGAAGGTCTTTGCCGGGGGAGCCATTGCGGTGGGCGAATTAATGTGGAAGGGAGAGAAGAAGAAGCTCAAGACGACGATGTGGATGGAAGAAGAGGGAGGAGGAGGAGGAGGAGGAGAAGAAGAAGAAGAAGAAGAAGAAGACGACAAAGAGCTTCAGAGAGACGAGGGAGAGAGGGAAAAGGGAAAGAAACAGAAATCGTATTCGGGCGAGAAGCTTAAAAACGGGAAGCCAGCCTCAATTGGCATTCCTGAGGGCGACGTTGCTCTAAAGCTGGGGTCTCGGACCTGATGCTTGGCCGGCTTACTCCAAATGCATCCAGCCGCGAGCCTCGGCAGAGCTGGGGAGCGGGTGCCCATTTTTGGGGAGAAATAAGCGGCGTGTGATTGGCCAGAGGTGGTAGTGCCGTTTTTGGGTTGCTAGTGGCACACCGTAATTGGAAATTCGACCGTGGCAGCCATGTACTAGTACTATGTTGTATGAGGACTGTTGAGAATCTATTGGCAGTGTTTGGATAGACATTCTAGGACCGGATGTTGATGTTTTGGCGTGTATTCGTCGTGATTCGAGCTGCTGGTGCTGGATGCCTACATGTACATGTATACAGGTTATGAATTCTGCCCCCGAGGAAGCCTGGGGCGGATCATGGCCGGGGACTTTTAGGGTTTAGACTTCAGCCTGTGATCTTTTCAGCCCGCCCTTGTTCCTCCAGTCAGCTTTAGGGGATGCAGTCCGGTGAGAGATGGGCTGATGCGGAGGTGATTCTTCTCACATTTTCGTTTGATTCGGCCAACTCTAACCTCGGTGGGCGAAAGATTAATTAATAATCCCTTGATCCTACGCCGGGATGCTTCAGCTGCAGATTCATTGTTGCCTGTGCGAAGCTTGCCTCATCAAGGCATCAACTTACTGCCGGACAGCATTACGGCATACCTAAGCACCGATTGGTCTCGTCATGCTTGTAGGCTACCAAAATACACTCAAGAATTGTACCAGCCTCATATTTTACGCTAAGGGAATACCTGTGACGAGCTGACAACTTGCAGGTCAGTATGGTATTGTCATGACGCCGGAATGAGGAGCATCCATCGCGCTGTGCTCGAGATCAAACTCTAGAATATCCACCATTATCCGTAACTGGCTTAAAAATGGGAACGCCTATTCAACACCCCAGTTTTACTATTCGTCATTCCACGTCGCAGTTATATCAATGAACACTAGACTATATATGACTATAGTAGCTGTTATTATGTAGATAAATGTAGATAAAGTATATTAAATATTGGAGAAAATAACAGCGCCTTGGCAGACCGACCTCCAGCCTCGGCAGAGATCACACAGCGGGACCAGTGCCGTACGAAGACCGAAATGGCGGGCTGGTGATTGGCTAGGGGCCCTTTTGTAGATTGTGGGGGGCTTGATCTCACAAATCTGTGCCTGGGGCATGTGAAATTGATGCAGTGGGACGATGAATCTGTGTGGGCTTCCCTGTCCGTATCATATCGTAAGCACCTTGCTCTATCACTACACTGGTAGTTTATACAGAGTAAATGATCTGAAGAGCGCAATTTATCAGATGATGCAGTAATAGCGATAATTCCCTTGTTGTCAACTTGTTTTTCTATTGCTACCTTGGATACCTTGTGCGTTGTTACAGGTTTACACTTACACTTGCCCGCATAGATGCTTCTTGCCTGAGTGATGGACGTCCCGGCTTCATCGAGGAACAGTAACGACGATCCATCACTTTCATCACAGTAAAACTATCATCCAGATATAGGTGTACTCGCATTACACAGATGGATCAAAACAGGCATTCTTATTCTAGTTGAAAAAACATTGAAGCCATAATCAGGCCAGGCAATTCTGCCGCTATACCAGAGAGGGCGGAATGGACCCTGAAAAACCACATGGCCTGTTTGGTGCTAATCCGGCCAAACAGTAGCCGTGGAATCCACTTCTTCCTCTGCGATGGACCAAATTATTCGGAACCCGGCGACGACTTTTTTTTCCAGCTTCATCTCGTTGGATGCGTTGGATCTGCAACACTTGCATTACGGCTTACGGAGACAAGACTGTCGGACGATAACACGCGACAACTCATCACGGATTAGAGGTACTTCAGAGGTACATTTGATGCTTCGGCTCCTGAACGCCTGCAGCTTGCGTCTTGGTACATGTACGTTGACTCGAGTCTTTTCTTCTTCTTGTGTCTTGTGTCCTTAGGAATGGATGAAGCTGCGGTCCAGTGACTTAGTATTGCACTGT